TGTTCTTCGTTTACTAATATGAATTGTCCAATAGTTATAAACCAAAACCGATCTGCATAAAGTTGGCATTAAATAGCTAATTTTTCAACCAAGAATCAACGTGGGCCAACTTTGGCATTATCTTTCTTCCAAAAGATATTTTTTGGTCTTTCGTATTGTTTAAAATTCCCAAGTATGCCCACAGCTCTCAAAACTCTAGCTGATTGGTCATTTATTGGAACTCAACAACTATTCTAGTAAAAGCTCAGCTCAGGTAACCCATTTTTCTTTCACCATTCCACCTGCCATTGTTATTGAAGGAAACCATTTAACTATTGCATCTGCTACCTCAAAATTCTTTTGGAATCAAACCTCAAACCCCTTGACTGACCCAAAGCCAAGCTTATGGGTCTTGCCATTCAATTTATTTATTATTTGACTATTGCTATTATAAATAACAATATCTTTGTTTTGGCTAGGCCTTTGGGTTTTCACTTGACTTTGTTTGAGATTTGGTCTCCTTGACTTGGCTTGGAATTGAGACCATTTGACTTAGCTAGAATTTGGTGACCACCTCCAAACGCTCATATAATGTTTGTTGTTCCTTAAAATGGGATGCAATTCAATTTCAAATAGGTGTAGAGTACTTTTCTCTTACACAATCGAAATCTTAGTTATCTTTGTTTTCATCCTTTTTTTTTATATATATATATTGAGTTTCTTCCATTTGTTACTGTATTTGAATTTTCATTTTCGTAGTAAACACCTATACCACAATTTTTGCATATCAACAAAGCTGTGGTGATTAAATGATAATTTTCAGGTATGCATTTGGGTTTTACCCATGGGTATTTATTCAGTTTTGTATTTGTAATATTCTTTTCTTCTTAGTTAGTACCTATTTGTTGAAAACTATGAGTTTTATCTTCAAAATTATGCAGTGTTTCTGTTAATTTAGTATGGATATCATGTCCACTCTTATTTGGTTGAAGTTGGGAAATTTGTTATATATCTTCGTGACTATTTTTTCTTTTTGCTTTGGCTGCTACTGCAGGCTGCTTTTGTTTTTTTTTTTTTTTTTTTTTTTTTTTTTTTTTTTTTTTGGTGTTGGTTTTCATGCAAAGTAACTGAAAAAATGGGCTTAGGTTTTTGAATATAAAAAGAGTGACAAATATAAGAAGACAATGCAAGCTGACTGAAACAATTATAAGAAGGCCTTCAAGTTAAAAACTTCACAAAGGAAATGGTTTCATATCAATTAGTAAAATGAGTCTTTTAGTATTTCGATTTATACTATCTGACAAACTTTGCTTCTACTTTAGTGCTTTGCCTACTCTTCACTACCCAAACAAATTTGGGTTTTGTTTTCTTTTGTTTTTGCTGAATTTAAATTACCGCCATTTTGATGTTGCTCCTAATCTCATGTTGCAAGATTGTCTTCCAACGATTTATCCATTACTGGGAATGGGTATACGCCCACATTCACCTACCTTTACATTACTTTCTTTGTTTGCTAATTATACTTGTTTACCTAATAAAGTAACAAGCAGCTAAAAGAAGAACAATGAAAACATTGAATAGAGAAAATCATCTTGCTTGCTCCTTCTTTGTATTAGATTATTATTATACAAACCATTTGATTATTTGTAACTAATTAATCATTGGTTTGTATTAATAATGGATGTACCCTTATTTGATTTTAATTTTGAACTATAAGTTAATTCATTAACTTCAATTTTTAAGTGAAGAATAAAAAAAGAGCCCAAAACAAATAGATACAACCATTTTGAAAGTGATTTCAAAAAATATAATTGAATAACATTAATGCTTGAAAGTGATTTGCACGTCAAAAAATATATTTGTTGTAAGATAAATCAAATATTAATGCATTGCTATTATTTAAGGAGATGTAAAATGTCACCATGTAAATTTCAAATCTATTCAAAGATAATATAAATCAAACATACTTATACATAAGAAATTCCAGGCCATTTCTGTAAGCATCTTATGCCACAAAAGGCTGCATGGAAGCTTTTTGAAAAATAAAAAGGTGCATAAATGCCTTGCATAGATATTTCACCAAGAATGATAAACTTTACATATAAGTAACAAGTTCAAATTAATCAAAAAACAGTGACTAAAACTCATAATGGTATTTATACTAATTAAAATCTTATAAATGGGTAATTATTATATACTAATTAAAATCTTATACAGAGGTAATTATTATATAATAATTAAATTATTGTTAATTACCTAGTAGTAATAACATAATTACTTTGTAAGCATTGAATGTTCAACTATAGTAATAAATATTGTAGTTATTAATGGAGCGTGCACACAACTGGTTAATGCATGAAATACCTAGATGTTGCTCTATTACTGGGGCCTACTTTAGTATGACAATCATGTACATTTTTTATTATTGGTTTGATCAAATTAATATTTGTATGCTTAGTGTATTTTCAATATTAATACAATGGTATCTAATTATAGATAAGTAGTGAATATAATTAATACAAATACTGACATTTTACACTCCTAAAACTTAAATTCAATAAATTTAATAGAACAAGTTCAACACAAAGGTACAAGTTTAACAGTTGCATCGCATATCAACAATCCTGGTGAAGAATCTATTAAAATGCGTTTAACACATATAAAACAGTTGGCACGTTCGAATAGGTTGCAATTTCCTGATGGTCTTCATTTAATTGCTACTTCTAATAGTGAGCTTAGTAGATATGTAGTTTAAACACATAAGTAATAGATAATTTTAAGTTCATAACTAAAATTTTATACTGAAAAACCAATATTGATTATTACAAAACATAAGTGAATAACGATACATTACATCATCGCGAAGGCCAACACAACAATACCATAATGATGTGCAACATATAAGGAGAGGAATGAGAAACTACAATTGTGCCTAAAATTATAACAAGAACACGGGTGTGCTAGGTAGGGCTGTCAACGGATCGAAGATGGAGCGGATCCACCTATATCCGATCCAATCCAAAATGAAAAATGTTGCAACCCGATCCGATTCGATAATCCGACGGATTCTAAATAATTAGATCCATATCCAATCTGATGGATTATCATATACCAGATTCGATAATCTGATTCGAATTCTTTTATCTCATACATTTTCAAAGTAAAAAAAAAACTAACATAGAATATATACATATATACACTTAAATCTTCCACAAAATAATATGATACATGCATCTAAAATATTCAATTACACTTCAACATAAACCAAAATCTTCCAACTCCACCAAAATACTTTCATCTTCCTCTTTGCATTTTTTGTGTTAGAGAACCGAAATTAGATCCTGAAAAAAATAATAATAATAATAACTGATCTTGAAAATATGACCAATTATTTTGAACACATAAATAATCAATATTCTTACATGCGTATTTTAGAAGGAAGCCAATCTTTTGTAGTCACCAAAGCCTCAACAGTTTCTGGAAGTATACAAGCACGTAATTCATATATTACTCTTCCTCCTACACTAAATGTTGCCTCAGATGCAACAGTAATTGCTGGAATGGCTAGGATGTCACGAGCTATATTTGATAAAATAGGAAACTTAACACTTTTTACTTTCCACCAATTGAGAACATAAAAAGGCTCACTTCTTGGAAATAATGGTGTATCCAAATTGTAACAACCCGGTCCTTAATTAATATTTAATTATTAATTTATTCTGGTAAAAGACACTTATACCCCTAGAATATTTTATTAGGTTTAAAAGTTGACTTTTTGACTGGGAAGGAATTTGGGGATTTCAGTTCTACCGTTGCGTAGAGCGCGACGAAACGAGTTCGTAGACACGTAGTGGACTCAAATCGGAGTTGTAACAAAGGAGTTACAATCAAAAGAAGTTGAGTGGCATAACCGTAAATATCTCGAACTTCAGTTTTTATAAACCCAGATTTTTCTGCAGTTAGACAGCCTCGACCAGCCAACTTTGGGAGCTGTTTTCTCTCAGCTCCGACCCCCGATTCAGGCAAGATCAGTGCCAAATGAACCACGAAACCTCCCTCTTCCAGCCCCAGCCTTTCGCCGCTTCGATCTGCCGCCATAGTTGCCGGAAACAGCCATGACACAGGCGGTGCTGGTCAGTTTTTGATAGAACTTCCAAGCGTTCGTTCTCCGTCGTCCGGCCACCAAATCGGACGAGTGAGGTATGGTTTTCTAGCTATTTTTCATGCTCTAACTTCTAGTTGGGTAGGATTTCAGAAATTTCCAGCGTAGATAGCTCGATTTACGAGTTAGGTTTCAGCCGATTTTCGGGTCACTATTTCGGCCACTTCTGGCCAGTTTTTGGGGCAGGTCCAAGAACAAAAGTGGCTCCAAATGGGGTGTTATACCTGGGATAGGAGTCTTGAGCCTAGATGTTGAGTTTTTCCGGCAGGCGTTATCGCTTTAGGCACCACGCGCTGCCAGCGCGTGGGCAGCAGGGTGGGGACCACAGTCAGTCCTAGAATGATCTCCTAGTCCTCACGAGCGCGTAGGATTTCACAGATCTTAATTCGGATATTGTTTGAACCCCGAACGAATCTCGCCTACTGTGCGATTTTCAGATTCAATACGTTTGAACCGTTGGATCGTAGTTAATTCCAAGTATGTTAATCTAGACTTTCCCAGGATCGTATAGTATTTGACGGATCGTAAAACGAAGTTCCGGATACTCCAGAATGGTCAGCCCTAGAGCAGTTTTACTATAAACAGTTCAGTTACAGGTCAGGAACAGAGGAAAGAACTACGTGTGGCTTGATCCCTCAGAAAGGGTACGTAGGCAGCTTACAGTTATCTGGTGTAGCCACGAATCAGAGTCCCTCAGTTGTGCTTTTGTTTTCAGGGCATTTTGGTCATTTACGACCCACGTTTACCAGGTGTCAGTTTTAAACAGGTTTCGACCCGGATTCCAAAGTGGAAATTGGGTCAGGTTGTCTCACAAATACTCATCTAATTTTGACTTTTTATGTGCATTGATATTGGAAGATCAAGCCCCACCATACCAAGAATCAAACCCACTCAAGTCATCATCGTTGCAAGCCATACCCTGCTCATTATTAGTATCACCAACTTCTTGACTTGGGTACATTTGAGATGAATCCTCAGCATACTCATTATAAAGATCAAATAAAGTATTACGAACTTTTTCAACATAATGACAAGCATCTGACCCATGGACCTTAGCATAATAAAAATGAACCAAATTCATTTTAAATCTTGGATAAAAAAACAACTACAACTGCTAATATCAAGCTATATTGTTCCCTGTATTTATTAAACTTCAACTTCATTGGGGTAGCCATTAAACATAGAAAATCATACTCACTACTCTCCCAAGCAGATAAATGCATTTGAATCTTACAAATATCATGAAAAAACATACGAGTGGTAGGAAAATAAGAACCAGAAAAATTACTAGTTGCAACATAGAAAATTCTCAAGCAATCACATATCACTTTTGTTACTTTCCACTCCTCATCACTTGGATGAAATATATAATTATGATCAGTTTGTGCCAATGCCAAAACACATCTTTCATCTCAAATGCACTTTCAATCATCAAAAAAGTAGAATTCCATCTAGTATGACAATCCATCGTCATTTTTTTCTTATCCTTCAACTTAAGTTGAGTATTTGCTTGATTAAATTTTTTTGTTGCATAGGGAGACCTTTTCAAGTACTTCACAGTTTCTCTACCTTGTAAATCATATATCTAATCACTTTTAACCCATCTTGTACAATTAGGTTAAGAATATGAGCACTACAATGCACATGAAATAACTCACCTTGCAATGATATTGAAGACTTGTCACATAGCCAACTTTTCAATTTTCTAGCCATCGCATCATTGACACTAGCATTATCAACAACCATGGAAAATAATTTATTTTCCAATTTCCAATCCAAAATCAAATCAATAATATATCTAAACAACGTTTCTACCTCATGAGGATATTCAATACATTTGTAAGCAATTATCTTTTTTTCCAATTCCCAATTATCATTAATAAAATGAGATGTCAAGCAAATATATCCAATATGTTGATGATCAACAATCCAAAGGTTAGTAGTAAGAGTAATCATACCAGAAAATTCTTCAAAGTACTTATACAACCTCTCTTCTCTGTTTTGTGAACCTTAAAAACATCATACCTCATTGTATTTCTAGACACAAGTTTAAACATTGGTTGAATACCATTCAAAAATATCTCAAAGTATTCATGCTCAGCCATATTGAATGGATAATTGTGCAAAATAACCATCCTAGCAAAATCAATTCTACTTTTCTCTTGATCAAACTTATGATTTTTAACCATAGTAGAGGAGCCTGAAGTATTTTTTGCTATAGCTAACATTTGTTGACTGATGTCTTTACTTTTTATCTTTGGACATCTAAGCATATGCTTCTTTAAGTGTTTAATTCATTTAATATTATCTCCCACAAATTGCTTACGACAATGGTTACACCTTACAAGTTCACTACCATCTGACCTTTTAAATTTAACAAAGTCTTTCCATACCTTAGATGTTAATTTCCGTTTCTTCGGAGAATTTGAAGGAGAATCTTTCACCTCTATAACAATTCAGGTATCATCATTTTTTCCCTGATCTTCAGCTATCTTACAAGTCTAAAAAATTACTTGAAAAATGGGTAAGAGAAGAGTTAGATGAAGGGAACAAACGTGTGGGAGATAAAATGTAGAGTGAAGATAACCATCTTACCCAGGAATAAAAGTGTGGGAGATTAAAGAAGAATGAAGATAAATAAATAACCTGAAAATAAGTGTGGTAGATAAAACCAGCAAGAAATGGGTAGACAAAGGCTCCGCAATTTGGGTCACTTTAGCTTCTTTCAATACTATATTACTGTTTCTTTAACCAAAACCATATTAGCTTTTTTCAATATACTAACATTAATGTTTCTTTCAATATACTTTAACTTCTTTCAAGTTCTGCGCCCCAAAAGGAGAGGGAGGCATTGGCTTTCGAAATTTGCATGCTTTTCATCTAGCTTTCTTGGCCAAACACGGGTGGCGCCTTTTCCAGAATTCGGACTCCTTGATCACGAGAATCCTTAAAGCCAAATATTTTTCAAATTATTCTTTTCTTGAAACTGTAGTAAGTCCTCATGCCTCTGTTGTGTGGAAAAGTCTTTGTGAAGCAAGAGCAGTTATTATTCAAGGCTCCAGATGGCAAGTGGGGTGCGGGGATACAATTGGCATGTGGGAGGATTGATGGTTGCTACAACCCAATAGCTTTCGGATCTTCTCTCCCAAGCCTCAGAACAGTGCTATCACAAAAGTATCAGACTTAATTCATAGTGACTCATGAGAATGGAATGTTCCGCTGTTGCAAACTTTTTTCTTTCCTGAAGAAGTGATGCTCATTCGCTCTATCCTGTTGAGTTTGCGTTTGACACCCGATATGTTGGTGTGGCATTATGAGAAAAAAAAAGGTATGTTCACAGTTAAGAGTGCCTACCATGTAGCTAGATCTTTGCATTCCCCCACTGGCAAGGCATTCTCCTCAAATCCGGATACAGTCGCTAGGAATTGGTCTCTAATTTGGAAAGCCATCGTGCCAGCCAGAGTCAAGACCTTTTGGTGGCGTGTTATCTCTGGAATATTACCTACGAAGGCAAATTTAGCACGAAAAAAGGTGTCTCTAGATGAGGAATGCATGTTCTATGAGGGCCCAACCAAATCTTCAATTCATATCCTTCGTGATTGCCCGTGTGCAATTTGTGCTTGGCGTAGTTCGACATTAAGTAGTAGCTGGTGGAACAATGATGCTTATTCACCCAAGGATTGGGTATTTTGCTGTGCAGAGCAACTAAGCTGTCATGACTTTGCAAATTTTCTCATGGTGGGTTGGGCAATTTGGGAAGAATGCAATGGATTGCTATGGAATAATAAGAAAAGTAGGCTTGAACAAGTCAGCTTGCATGCATCTCTGAGGCCACATGATTTTTTGTGGGTTAATAATTGCTTGGGGTCTCAAAGTAGGCAAGGTCAAATGAAAAAAATGTGGCAACCACCACATGAGAACACTCTTAAAATAAATGTGGATGGTGCTTGGAAGCCAGGGACCACGGAGGGTGGCGTTAGTGTGGTTGTGAGAGACTCCATCATCAAATTTGTGGTGGGTTGTGCAACTAACTTGACTAATGTTTTCTCTGCGCCACAAGCATAGGCTTTGACTGCAAGAACAAGTACACTATTGGCGATGGAAAGGGGTTATCAAAATGTTGTCTTTGAAAGTGATGCTCTCCAGATCGTTACAGCACTTCAAAGTCACTCCATAGATAGGTCCATCATAGGACCTGTGGTGGAGAGCTTGCTGACACAGATCACTGGGGAAGGTTTTACCCATATTCGTCGTACCGCTAATGATGTGGCTCATTGTTTAGCGCATTTTGCCTTGCATATCGGGGGTTCTCTGTACTGGTTCGACGAACCTCCTGATTTAATTTCTGATGTACTGTACAAAGATTGCAATTCGTGACCTAGGACTTTCCTTTGCCCTTGATACGAGTTCAAACTTCTTGTATTACCTTTTCTACATCAATACTATTCTATCGCTTATATAAAAAAATAAAAAAAAATAAAAACTTCTTTCAAAACAAAACTAACACACGTGATAGACAATCTCTTACTTTTATTTTTTGGTATGATGTGATATATATTATATTTATATAAATGTATAATGTGATAATATATATAATAGGATCAGATTGGGCTAAATTCATATGTGTCCCGTTAATTGGGTCATCGAATCCTACCACTAGATCCATCTCCTATTAATTGCGTCGGATTCGGATCGGATTCAGATCAAGATCTGACTCATTGACAGCCCTAGTCCGGATGTTAAGACCATCTCCAACCATGTTGGGGCTAAACTCAAATTTCCACCCTCCAAAATACAACTATTCATGTATTTTTAGGACTCAAATTTTTTTTTCCTCCAACCTTGCAGACTCATAATTTGAGTCCGTAACTTTATTAAATTGTTTAAGAATGATTAACTCCTATTTTTTTTTTCTTGACATTATTTTTGTTTCAATACTCGTGATTTAATTTTCTAAACATTTTAACCTAAAAAAATTAAAATTCCAAAACATAATAGAATTTAACTTAAAAATAAAAACAAGTACAACACCATACGTATGCCCAGAATAATTAGAACCCTTCATTGAAGCCATTGCGATAATTTTCTTCCATTTTTACTTTTACTTTTACTTCATTGGTTTCCTTTATCCTCATTCAATAATGTTATGAACTTTTGCCCACCTCCACTTGTGTTCTTCAATTATTTTCTGAACTCTTTCCCATCTCCTATTGTCTTGTTTCAATCATGTTATGAACCATTGCTCAACCTTGTCCATATCACTTTATTGGATTCCCTTATCTTTCCCTATCTTTCCCTATCTTCATTCAATTATTTTCTGAACCATTTCTCATCTTGTCTTGTTTCAATCATGTTATGAACTATTGCTCATCTTTGTTCATCTCACTTTATTGGATTCCCTTATCTTTCCCTATCTTTTCCTATCTTCCTTCAATTATTTTCAAACATGTAGGTCATCTCATTCTCTTGTCTATTTAAGAAGTGTTATTCTACTAAATTGACCACACAATCTCCTTCAATTCTCCTTCTTACAATGAATTCATGTGGGAATGCTACACAAAATTTCTTCAATGATGATTCTGATGATGATGACCTTCATCAACAGAGGGTTGCAATGACTGTTCAACACCATATGTTTTTGTTGGAGCAATATGTTCAACAATCCAAACATGGTGGTTCTGTTGCAGACTGTGAATATAAGAATCGGAAGAGAGAAAAACATCATAAGAGTCTCATTGAGGACTATTTCTGTGAAAGACCACTTTATCTCCCTGTGGACTTTCGTAGGCGGATCCGCATGAGAAGAGAGCTTTTCTATCGCATCTTGAATGATGTTGTTGCACATAAGCCATACTTTACCCAGAAGATATACGCTTATGGACAACAAAGCCTATCCCCAAAGCAGAAGTTAATAGTCGTTTTTCGAATGCTCGCATATGGATGCTCGGCAGACTCCACCAACGAGTACTGTAGATTGGGTGAATCTACAGCCCTTGAATGTTTGCGAAAGTTTTGTTCTGTTATTGAAGCCGTGTATGGTCAGTGGTACCTTCGTTCCCTAAATTCGGCCAACCTTTACAGGCTCTTGCACAAGGCTAGTAGTAGAGGATTCCCAGGCATGTTAGGCAATCTTGACTGCATGCATTGGGAATGGAAGAACTGCCCCACTGCTTGGGTAGACCAGTTTACCGGCTGCAAGCATAAGCCAACTATCGTTCTATAAGCAGTGGCCTCGTATGACACTTGGATATGGCATGCCTTTTTTGGAATTGCCGGATCGAACAACAATATCAACGTTCTAGCTCATTCCCCGTTGTTCAATGATGTAGTGAATGGAATGTCTCCCCATATCCAATATGTTGTCAATGGAAATGAATATAATCTGCGTTATTACTTGGATGATGGTATCTACTCTCGTTGGGCTACATTGGTTAAGACAATTTTCCAACTGGATACTCCAAAAAAAAGACTATTTGCCCAAAAACAAGAGGCCTAAAGGAAGGATGTTGAAAGAGCCTTCGGAATACTTCAGGCTCAATGGGCAATTGTTTGGGGACCTGCACGTATGTGGCGCAAAGAACAACTTCATTCAATCATGATGACGCGCATAATATTGCACAACATGATTATTGAGGATGAGTATGAGGATCTAGATGCAGAATCTGATGATGAAGACAATTTATCCACGAACATCTAGAAGAGCAAGAGCAAGACTCGCTTATGAGCTTGAGCCAACTATCACGTACGATATAAACTGAGACAGACAAACTATCTCAGACTACATGATCCGTCATAATAGAGTTCATGCTTCACAAGTGCATCACAATCTAAGAAATGATTTGATCAACCACATTTGGAGATGCAAAGGAGAGGGGCAATGAGCTATGTTGTGTGTTTAAATTATGTAAATGTGTTTAAATTATGTTGTATGTTTAAATTATGTAAGTGTGTTTAAATTATCTAAGCGTGTTTAAATTATGTTGTGTGTTTAAATTATGAAAGTGTGTTTAAATTATAAAAGTGGTTGTGTGATTTTAATGAATTATATGGTTTATCATTGAATTAAAAAAAAACTAATTATAAAAAAAAAAAGACAAAAAAAAAAAAGATAATTATAAATAAAGATAAACAACAATTACAAATAAAGATAAAAGATAATTAAAAATAAAGCTAAACAACAATTATAAATAAAGATAAACGACAATTATAAATAAAGATAAACAACAATTACAAATAAACGTAAATTAATAACCACTATGTGGAGGGCTTGGATAATAGTCTCCAGAGTTGTCTTCTGGATTGTAGGGGGAAGTTGTATTCATCTAGGCCTCAATAATTTCGTCTTGCTTATTCCCCCAATACTTCTTCTTTCTTGGAGTAAATTTGGATAAGTTCATGGACATTATCCTTTGTTCATTGGCCTCCTTATCTTGTTGGATTTGATATGCATGTTGCTCTTGTAGGAGCTCTAACCTTCACCTCCTATCTTCTTTTGTCTCATTTCCTTGTTGAACCAATTCAGACAAGAACTTGCCACTTTGGTTGAGATAACTTTCAACACCTTCCCCTTTCTTTTTTTCATCATTCTGTTTATCTCTTCCCAACGGCCTTGGAGTGGGTATGACCACATCATCTTCATCTTCCTCCAAATTGACTGTATAGCCACTATGAGAAGAATCTTTGAATGTTTGTGTGGGAGATTCACATAGGTCGTTCCATTTTGGACAATCTTTTAAGATTTGCCAAGCATGATACAACTTGAAAGGCATATTCAGAGGTTTATTATCATTCAAGAAAAGTGCTTTTGCATTCATATCCTACCCATGAAATAAAATAAAAATCAAGTTAATAATTGGAAACAATAATTATAAATTTAAGCATTGAAAAAAATGGGTACTCATCACATCTTCAAGATTGGAGCCACTCACATGCCTTGCATTGGCCTTTGTTATACATGCCTTCCAAAGAGAACATTGTTGGTTGATGATCTTGAACCGAGAAGCAATAGCTTGTGGTGATCGTACCCCGACTCCGCTCATGCCCGGATCATTTTCCAAAAAAATTTGGTACACACGCTACCAAAATGAATTGTTTGATTGATTCATGCCAATAGCCCCATCTTCAGAGATAGAAACCCACCCTCTACACAATGCCTCATCTTCTTGTGGTTTCCAATTCACACCTCTTTGGGGTTTTGGGGTCAATCTCAACAAGAATGAATGTAGAATGAAAAATTATAACAAAGGGAGAACGGAAAAAAATAATTTTTGGTGGATTATTTACCAAATGAATGGCTATTTATAGAGTTTGGAATAAGTTTTGGGGTTAGATCTGAGTTAGATTAATTATAAATATTAATTTGACCGTTGGATTTAAATTTGAGCCGTTGGATGTGAAATTTTACCACTGAGATTGCCTAAAATGAATCAGAATCATTGATTTTATAGCTGTTGGAATATAAAATAAAATAAAAACAAAAAAGTAGTTGTTGGTGCTCAATAAAGGAATGGGAATCTTTTTCCCCACTTGTCACAACGGGCCAGCATCAATAGCCCATCACGTGGGCTTCTAGCTTTCAATAAAAAATATATAAATTAAAGCAGATTTGGGCCCCACGAATTTATCAGTCTAGGCAGAATGCAGATTGGAATTCCAATCCAGTTTTGAGATTTCTCAAAATTTCACCTCTCAAAATACATGGGTTGGAGAAGCTTTTTGGAGGCTAAACTCAAAATTTGAGTTTCCACCCCTTGGGTTGGAGATGGTCTAATTACCTATTTCAACCACATGTTCAAAGTGCAATGTGCGATTATTCCCAGAGAAGCATTTAATATGTGTTGCTCAAGTGGAAAAATTGTTCTACCTCATATACAATCTCCACTAGAAATGCTAGCTCTTTTTTCTGACTAAACAACTGAGGGCACACTCTTCAAAAAAAACATTTGGGTCTATAACAATGTTTTTCATTTACTTCAATGGGTGTACATGTTGATGAAAGAATAAATATTGATGAACGTGGGATTTATACCTTTCATGCGCAAAGTGCAATATAGCATAAGATTGGTGGACTTTTACCCAATGAAGGTACTACACCAAGATTTCTATAGGCTTACATATATGACATTGAGTATGAAGTTGAAAACCGTATTACTCAAAGTGAAGTTTTAGATAAACCTGTGGTTGAGAAGATACAATGAATTTTGAATCTACACAATCCTTTTATGTATACATTAAGAAGTCTCGGACAACTCCAAGATTTGCCAAGATGCAGGCTCATTATAAAATAGCAACCTTCTGATTGACGTCAATACAATTTCCATCGGTATTGCAAGTTGCTGCAATCATAGTAGGAGGGGATGATATGGTGAATCGAAATGGAAGAAATATTATTGTTGAGACAATTAGTAGAAGACTTTGGAACGTCCAAGATTATGTTGGATTTGGCATGCTAGATCTTTTCATTACCATGACATGCAACCCAATTTGGGAAGAAATTAAGAGAGAATTACTCCTTGGAAAAACGTCGCAAGATCGTCCCCACTTACTCACTAGAGTATTTCGTGCAAAATTGGAGGAACTAAAAGAAGATATCAATGAAAAATGGGTATTAGGTAATGTTGTTGCTTATGCATATGTTATTGAGTTTCAAAAACGGGGTCTTCCACATGTGCATATGTTGGTTGTGTTGGATAAAAATGATAAGTTCAATATCCCAGATTATTATGATTGAATTGTTAAAGTTGAAACACCAAACGAAAATGAAGAGCCTCAACTTTGCAATGTGGTATTAAAGCATATGATTCATGATCCATGTGGATTTCAAAACCCAGAATCTCCTTGTATAAAAAATGAAAGTTGTAAAAGAAAGTATCCCAAATCATTTGTTGCAGCCACTATTCAAGGGAATGATTCATATTCAGTTTATTGAAGGAGAGGAAATATAAGAGTTGACAAAGAAATATAATAGTTGATAACAGTTGGGTTATTCCATATAATCCTTGGTTGTTGTTGAGGTATAACTACCACATTAATGTTGAAATATGTGGAAGCATAAAAAGTGTCAATCTACACTGATGGGTTGCCACCACATAAGTTAACTTTGAAGAGAAGTGCTCCAATCAAATTTGGATTGTGTAATGGTACAAGATTATTATGTGGTGGGTCGTACCAAAATCTCACTGATGCTGAAATTCTAACTGCACAATCTGCTAGGAGCATGGTTTTTCTACCACGTATCCCTCTCAAGACAACTGAGACTGTTGGGCTACCATTTGAACTGATAAGAAAATAATTTCAAATGAAGTTGAGTTTTGCTCTGACTATAAATAAATCTCAAGGTCAAACAATACCACATGTGGATATTTTTCTTCTAGATCACGTTATCAGTCATGGACTACAAAGTCCACTACGAAAGTGTTAGTGAAAAAAGCGTTAATAGCAATGTAATTCCAATTAGGAGTTGTTAATTGGGAATTAGACAGGGTATGTATTTGGAAAAAAGAAGAAAAAGAATTCCAATCATGAGTTGTCTACTGGGAACGCTAAGAGTAGGAAAGGATTTGATTCAAGTCTTGGCTTTGATTAGCTGTGAGAAGCACAAGGGTTTTTAAGTCTAGTGTATTTGAAAGTTGTTCAAATAAGTTGTTTGTTCTTGAAAAAGATTGGTTGTTCATTGAATCAAACCTTTTGCTGTTATTTATAGCGGTTCTGGCTCCTTGACTTTGCATGTTTGGTAAGGGAATGCTTTGACTATGTACCAGTTCCTTCTCTGCATGCGAGATTGACATACCTCAAATTTCTTCTTAATCCTCGTGATTTAGCTTGCTCTTTCAAGTTAATGCCGATGAGGTCTTTCAACTAAATATGCTTTTAGGCTTCTGTTAATTTTAATCAAGCTATTTCCTTTTTCGGAACCAATCATGAAGCTTCAGTGTTGGAGCGACAATCCTAATTTCTCTTTTAAGACACGTATTTCATAAATTAAAACTGGTTGTTAGTTTATGAAATTTGGAACAAGAATGAATTGGGTATTTGTTGAGATAAAAATCATTTTATGTTTTTTGATATTTGTCCAAATAGCTGGGGAGTGGGTCCTTGCTAATTTTGGTCCAAATAATAAGTAAAGATTATTTTTCGATAGTTTGTCGCTAAATGGTACATGTTATGCTTAAAATATTTCTTAAGGAAATTAAAAAGAGTTTTAAGTGTTTGAACAATTACATTTAAGAATCATCTTTTATGGATCAAATTAATATGAGTTGCATGTTTATATTGAACGTGGAACCCCAATGCCTTAGTGCTTTAAAATCATTGTATTTCTAAGGAAAATCTTATCCACATTTATCTGTTTTCATATTCAAACTCTAAAGAACTTGTGTTCTTTCTTTCCCTACTTGTGGATTCGACAATCAATTTCTGAGTTATATGGCTTACAACACCTGCACTTGAGTTTGACCAAGTAATTTTGGCGCCGTTGTCGAGGAGCAGTTGACAAAGAGCACAGAGTTTCATCCAAGACAAGGTTATTTTATTTTTTGAGTTTCTTCACAATCTTGTAAACTCTTGCCATGATGCCCAACCATTATAAGTACAAGGCTTCCTCTTCATTACTCTTTATCTTGCAAATTTGCTTTCCTCTATTTTCTAACTTGTGAGAAGAATCTTGGAGGAGAAAATCGCTTGTTAAGGAGAGAAGTTTTGTGCACACCAAGGTAAGATGAAAAATAATTTTTGTCGTCTTTATTTTTTCAGGCTTCTTGGCGAGGACTAGCTAGCCAGTTTGGTAAACCGTGGCTAGCTAGCTAGTTGTTGTTAGGACTGTTGGCGACTATTATTTTTATTTATTTTTCTCACGGCAAGGACTAGCTGGCCGGGGATGGCTGGCTGTTGACATGGCAACTAGAGCAATGGAAATGACAGCTGTTGGCAGCTACTGGTAGTTGATGCCACTACTATTTTTTCTTTTTCTTTTTCAATTGCAAATTAGGGTTTTTGACTTGCAATTTTCCTTGTTTTTGCAGCTGTTCCACCATCATGTTATTTGACAAGGGAATTTGGTCATCAGGTTCACAAGTGCCCGTGTATTTGTGGGGTGGCTCTCAAGTATATAAGAAGAGGTTTATAGCCCACTTGCACTATCTCACGAGCGAGGCACACTTCCAAAAGTGGCGGACCCCGTTTGATTTTTCCATACCATATGACGTGCATGTCAAGTCGGTAGAGCCTTCAAACGATGATGTGGCTTGTACGGATGTGTTGGAGGTCAGCGGAAGATGGGAAAGCGACGTAAATGACGATCCGCGGGTTCCTATCACATATTGCCATGGTATGCCACGATCTGCTGATCTACATTTCTTTAGTAGATTTTCTCTTGGTTATTCAGCTAACTAACATGTTACCCCTGCTCTTATGTGATGTCATCAACAAAAGGATTGATCTCGATCTGGACATGGCTAATGTTCACCAAGCCATGAACATTCCTGCAAAGTTTTGCCAATGACGTTGGCTGTTAAGCGAGTATCAAAAGAAAACATGTGGTTGGCCCTCAGCTAGAGATATTGAGAGGTGGAAACTATATAACCCCGACTCGGATGATCAGCTTGACGAATGAGAAGAGGAATGTTGCTCCCATGCTTGACAAATATGAAGCTGCGACCTCACGAGTAAGAGATGTGTCTCTGTTAAGAAAGAAGTGTAGACTTCCTTCTGTTGTGATCAAGTCTTCTTCGAAAGAGATGTTGTCTGCTGAGAAGACTAAATATGGAACTTCTTCTTCATCGTCTGCTAGGGTTAAGCACCTCTTAGGCGTAAACAGCAAGAAGGTTGGTGGCATTAAAAACATTCAGGATATTCTGCTCAAGTCATCAGCTAAAAAGCTCAAATTGTTTAATCTTCTCTATAAAGATGTCTACTCCAGACCTGGTTCTTCTACCGAGAAACAGAGGGCAGTTGACTTTACTCACAGGAGCTCAAGTCATCTGCATCAGTCAAGGGATGAGGATCGAATTGGGAAGACTGCTCCTCTATCTAGCAAGTGTGCGCCATCTGTCGAGTTACGAGAAGTCAAGCATAGAGCTGATCCAACGTCATTGACTCCTTTCAAGGCGAGGATGGTTATGGCTAAGAAGGCCAAAGAGTTGTCTGCTCAGGCGAAAAGTTTAACCAGTGCACGAGCTGATGGGCCAAAAGTTGACAAGCCTAGCTATGTTGGGCACGTGAGCATGTCTGATCTCCTCAAAATGAACTTCTCGTCGAGCTCATCTATTTGCGCCAAATTGGTTGATCATCTACATCAAGCTAACGATGTTGGCCCATTTTCGATCCTTTCTCTGGAGAAGCAAAAGGATGTGGTTATCGCTTTACTTCAAAAAAGAGTGATTTTTGCTACTGAGGCTGTCCGGAGCTCATATGAGTTAGTAATATTAAGGACATCTTATGTAATAGCTTATTAAGTTATTCATGAGCAAGACTAGTTGTTTTCAACTATGATATTCGGTTTATTATCATAACAGTAAAACAACTATAGTCCTAAGAATATATATATATGTGTGTATGTGTGTGTGTGTGTGGATAAGAGAACTAAGTAATGAGATTGCATACATCGAGACTTATCATCATCCCTAATCCTAAATATGTTCAAGGTCATGGGAATAACAATTGGGCATTGATCTTCCGCCAAGACTAATACACATAGTATCTTCTCTATATGTAGAGAATGACAAGGTCTCAAGTCATTAAGTGTAGTGACACTAAGATATGTGTGTAGGTGCTTGTAAAGAATAAGTACATTGAATGCAATCAAATACATGAGTTATAGAATGGAAGTCTTTACTCACATGTCAAACTAGAACTCATAAATTGCAATGAGGCAAACTAATCCTTAGATATGAGACATCATAGATGTCTTGTGGCCATGTTGTTTGTTTTTTTGGGTAATTTACAGTTGTATTGAAGAAGACATGGCTTAAAGAGAAAGAACGCTCCAAGGATACGATTAATTAAATCTCTATGCAGAGTAGTAGATAAGATTTGATAAGATTTGAAAGAAGAAGCCATCAAATCTTACCAAGATAATCATATAAAGGAATAGTTCATATTAGGATATTCGACATTAGATTCCATTATCTAATAATGTGAAAGGAGTATTGCATAAGATAAGGATTCAATTGCCTCGGTCATTCCAATTTGAATAGGTTCTTCCCTACATCATATTTAGCTCGGATAACCATGACATGCTGCGAGGCGTCAACCATGGTTTGTGGAAGTCTTGAAAGGTTCAATCATAAATTAACGTTCACTAATACGAAGAATTAAATAGTAAGATTTAATTCACAAGTCAATTCAGAGAAGTTGAGCCAACCCACTATCTTGCTAAAAGGAACTAGGGTTGAGCATGGTTTGGTTTGGGTTTTACCCAAAACCGTACGCCGAACCGTAGCTTTCGATGGAGAGATTTCTAGCAGTGGACCTGAACCACGAACTCCGGTTTACCGGTGTCTCGGTTAACCGGTCAAACAGTTTGGTTTTCTCAGTTTGGTGATTAACCGATGGCTGCGAAGGGACTGAGATGGAGGTTGCTAGAGAACTGAGATGTAGCCTGCGGGATCTAGGCTCCATGACTTCACAGCTTGCCCATTCACCTCCATAACTCTAGCTTATTTATTCCCTTTGTAAAAATGGATGGTACAATTTTGTTCTTGTTGGATTACCATACTATAAGAAAGAGATGAATAAGAGATAGGGAGGGGGAAGAAGATGAAAAAGCTATAACAGAATAGAAACAGAGGGAGGAAGAAGAAAGAAAAGAGAGAAAAGAGAAAAGAAGAAGTCGTCCAAAAAGAGAGAGAGAAGAAGTTGTGTGGAAAAAGAGAGGTCTTTAACATTTTTTTATAATATTTATTCTACTAGAAAGTGATTAAATAAACTTATTATGTCAATGTTTACAAAGATACTTGATTGCTCCAATGGATGATGGAATACCTAGCAACAAAGGGGGAAGGGGTTCGAATCCCACCCTGCGCAATAATTTTTGGAATATTGGCTACTGAACGGTAACCGGTCTGATTCGGGTAAATCAGTTACTGTGAAAACTTCAAACCGCAAACTGGACCGGATTGACCGGTTTGGTCCAATTTAAAACCTGAAATAAACTTGAATATCTAAAAAAACCGAACCAAACCAACCGGATCAGTTTGGTTCGACCAATTTTTCGGGTTGGCGGTTTAATTGCCCAGCCCTAAAAGGAACCTACGGATTGCACACTGAGAGATTTGATTAGAGGAACAAATGAAGAGAAAAGAGTCAAAAGTCAAAAGTCAAAGGTCAAAAGTCAAAAGTCAAAGTTGACATGTTTGACCAAATCAATTGACCGAGTCAAATAGTTTGACCACGTCAAATAGTAAGACTATAAGTATGACTTAATGGTTAAATTATAATTCATAATTTAAGTTAATTATGAAATTAAATTTGACATAAAGAATTGGATTGTGTTTTAAATGTGATTTAAAGAGTGACAAAATACCTAAAAGCCAAATGGGCCCAAGGATAAGTGTTGTATGACAACACAAATCCTTTTGTTTGTTTTTCCTATAAAAGCTAAACTTGACTCAAAACCTAGTTAGGGTTTTTGGCATTCCACTCTTGAGTTTTTGATGTGTAGATGAGACATCCCCCCTTTCATATTCTTTAGCCAAAAATCAGTTTAACTAGAGAAAGTTTTGCATATAAATCATCTAGGTTGATTTCTCTTTATCGCTAGTCCATTTTGGTGTGGTGAGGTAGAGGACTTCACTCTTGGGGTCTTGGCTTGAGGAGCTTGTAAGAATAGGAAGAAAAGAAGACATTTTCACAAAGGTACTCATTCTTGTCTTCTCCAGGAAATAGTCATCAAGGGTAAAAGCTTAACCTTTCTTTCTTTTCTATTTTGTGCACAAAGAGACTAGATCATAAGATACTTGGGTTAAATGAAAAAGGCTTAACTCAATTAGAATAAGCAAAATTAATCTGCCATTATGATTTTTTGTGTGTTATATGTTATGACTAAATTCATTTCCAAGAAAATATATATGTTTCCTTTAGTTTGCTGTCGCTCCCTCTTTTGCTCAGCTCAAGGAGTTGGAGAAGAAGAATGTTGATGCCTAAGTCAGTTAATTGGTTCTTAGCAAGATGCAACAAATAATGGAAAGGTCGGAGTGTTCTCTCACAGGGAGAGTCGGGTGATGCAGAGCCGTTTGTGTTTGGGTGGCCGAAGAGAGAGAGAGAGAGAGAGAGAGAGAGAGAGAGAGAGAGAGAGAGAGAGAGAGAGAGAGAGATTTCTAGGGTTTTAGAATTATCTCAAGTGTGATGAGATGCCATCTATTTATAGCCTCCTTGTTTGCTAGGGTTTGAAGAATAATCCTTATTTAGTTAGGATTATTCTTATCCAAAAATAGGTGATAGGATAAATCAATGAGATTTGCTGAAATCAGATCTGTGATTTCGGGAGATATTTCTATATTAAATCATGGATAATTGCCTAATTAAATGAGATTTAATTAGCACAATTAGTTGAGCTAAGAAATATTCCTTTTTCCATGTGTCACCAATTTAGTGGTTGTCGAAAATGTGTTCCCACAGTGGTGACCACCATACTTTTTGCCCGTCTTCCTCTTTTTTTTTTCTTTTTTTTTCTCTCTTTCCTCTCCACCTTCTCCCCTTCCCATCCTCTTTGCCTCCCCCTTCCACATTGTCCCTCCCTCTTTGTTTTGTTGGCTTCTTTATGGGCTAATTCTATAACAATCTTAGCGAATCTATCATTTTTCGATGTATTTGCTCTATTTTCCTAAGAGGACAGTCGATTGGTGCGAATATGTTATCTTTTGGTGTTTGTGGACAAGTTGGCTTTGTGACAACGAAGTTGCAATCCGACCTGTGTAGTTTTTATATTCTTGGAATAAGTCGCGGAAACTCTTTTTGAGTTTTCTGCGTAGTTTCCACCTATCTTTTGTGAGAGTTTTTCTACTCTCTTTTATTGTGAGAGTTTTTCACATTTCAAGGGAATATAATTAGTTTAGCCTTAAAATAATGAAGTTGTCATTGTGTCTTGGTTAGTCATTGTTTCATTTTAGGGAAAAAGAAATTTAAAAAATTTATATTGAGTTGATTAACCATATAATCTCAATATAGTTTCAATATGGTGTTGGATTTTGGGATAAGCATCGAGACAGGAAAATCGGAAAACTAAGTCGAACCAGATTGGAAGGGGGGTCAAAAACCCAGTTGACTAAAAAGTTAGTAAAAGTAAATAAATAAATAAAACAAACTAGTTCAACTCGATTCTAATTCTAAATCCAAATTGCATCTTAAAAAACTGGTTTGCATTGAACTGGATCGATTGAGTATATACAGAGAGCTTCTATTGAATGACACCTCTTGTAGGCCCCACTCCGGATTGTATTTCACTAATCCAAACCGTTTATTTTGTAGATACTCATTTAAAGATCATCTCTACAAAAAATTACTTGAATCTGATATCATTTGATACCCAATTAAGTTATTGAAAGTTTAGTACTTACTTGAAGCACCGTGTTCATTGATTTTGTAAGACACAATTGGATGTCAAAACGGTTTCCGATTTGTCTAATTTTTTGTAATGATGATCTATGAATGAAGACCTAAAAAATAGATGGTTTGGATCATTGGGAAAAAAATTGTAGGGTACCCTAAAGAGCGTTATTTGAGGGATCCCTCAACAGAAGGGGACTGTATATATATTGGGAGCTTCAGTTGAGGGATCATATTTGAGGGACACCCTTGTAGGACCCACTCCATATTGTATTTAACTAATCCAAACAAATCTATTTTGTAGATACTCATTCAAAGATCATCTTTACAAAAAAATCACTTGAATTTTATATTATTTGACCACTCATTTGAATTACTGAAATTTTAGTACTTTCTTGAAGCACCGTATTCATTGATTTTGTCGGACACAATTGGATATCGAAACGGTTTCCGATTTTTCTAATTTTTTACAAGGATGATCTATGAATGTAGACTTAAAAACTAGATGATTTGGATTGTTGAAAAAATATTTGTAAAGGACCCTAAAGGGTGTCCCTCAAATAAAATTATTTGAAAAATCCCTCAATAGAAAAGGACTATATATATATATAATATATATTTAATATCCCATACAACTCAACTCTTCTAAACCTAACTAGGCAGCCCAAGTTCAAAGTCCATATATTTTTTAGGGTTGAAGCCTACAACACTGGCGGACCTACATAGAGCCTAGTGTGGGAAACTCCCTACATTTAATTTCTTCTTCAACCATGTAGGCTACAATAAATAAGACATTTGACTAACAAATAAATAAAACCTTCAAGATTTGAACTCAAATTTCCCATATTCAAAATATCAAGGCCCCAAAGTCGACAAAATATCAACGCCCAATTCAAGAAATAACTTAGTTTGTCCTCCCTCACGCATGCATTTTGTCTTCATAAAATAAATAATTATATAAATATATAATATTGCTGCATAAATAAATAGTATTATATTATTATATAATATTTATGCCCACACTTTGACAAGATGTTGGATCCGCCACTAACACACCTTACCTAACTAAAGCCCAACTACTACCCTATCTAACCTCGGGCGGTTATCTAGTGAGAACGCTTGTGTGCGAACGTTATATGAGAACAAAATCCAGCCATCCAAATTATCTGAACGGCTAAAGAGAAAAAGCAAGCTTACGGTAAAAATGGGTAGGTTGCAGTTCCCCTTAGCACAAGTGTCAAGTCAAGCCTGTTTCGAAAAAACGTGCCTTTCTTCTTCCTGACAGTGGCCAGTCGCGCCTTTCTTGTCAATAAATTTATGAATTTATGAATCAACTCTAAACACCCAAAATACCTACCAGACATAAATTTGTGTATTTCTCTTGTCGCAGAAACTCCCTAGTGTAATCTGTCTCTTTCGCTTACTCCCTTATCTAATATTTCTCATTTGAACGTCTGAGAAGGTATATTTCTCACGAATTCCCTCTCTTTCATTCATATTAAAGTTTGCACGTTATATTGCATTCAGTTAATGTTTAAATCACTTAATGTTTAAATAATATTTAGGATTTTAGGGCATTGATTTTCTGGGTAAGAGTAGTCTGTCTCTGGTGTAGGATTTGAGGCTTTGATTTTCTGGGTAAGAGTAGTCTGTCTTTGTAGTAGTTGTGTTTGCAAAAATATAAATTGGCTTCAGTTGTTTTTTTGCGTCTTTTTCTAGTTCCTACTAATTTGTTGAAGCATAGTAACTAATTTTTAAGGTTTTCAACGGTTTAAATATTATTTACTTTTTCCAAAAGTTGGGTTGTCTTTTTATCTCAATTTGTTGTGGTAATTTGTTGAAGTGTAGATTCACAGCTGTTGGTTGTTCCTATTCTTTTTGCATTGTGCTTGCTTGTTGTCTTTTCTTAAAATTCCAGGAACCTTCATGTGTTGGTTATTGTAATCCTGCTTTGCCCATCTAGCGGTGTGAGTGTATGGCATCATTTTAAGGATTTAATGGGGTTTGGAAAACAAAGAATAAGTACCATTAGAAGTAGAACGCAAAAGAGAAAATTGAATCTTAACTGTGAATATGAGATGATTTAGGATGCAGAAGGATCAATGCATCTTGTAGTAGGTATCAATTCTGTATGTTAATGTGTTGAAAATAGTGTTGGTAGGTATCAGTTCTGTATGTGAATGTGTTGAAAATAGTGTTTGTAGGTGAAATTATGCATCTTAATGAGTTGAAAATAGTGTATCAGTTTTGCATCTTAATATGTTAAAAATAGTGTTAGTAGGTATCCATTATGTATCTGAATGTTTGAAAATAGTGTTTGTAGGTATTAATTAGGTATGTTAATGAGTTGAAAATAATGTATCAGTTTGCATCTTAATATGTTGAAAATAGTGTTAGTAGGTATCCATTCTGTATGTGAATGTGTTGAAAATAGTGTTTGTAGGTATTCATTATGTATCTTAATGTGATGAAGATGTGTAGATAATATTGTGAGTAGGTATCACTTCTGTATGTTAATGTGTTCATAATTTTGTGAGCAGGTATCACTTATGTTTCTTAAGCAAAAGGTGTTTGTTGCAATTATAAAATGGAATATGGGTTTGAACTTTGTTTCCTGGAGTCAGAGGTCTATGCTGCGCGGGTGAATAATTTGTGTGCGGCAAATTCAGTCCTGTGTAATTTTGGGGCCCATTTCAGTGAGTCACTTATGAAAAGATTTAGAGAGAGCTGTTTTGGGCACCTGTTAGGCCTCCATAAAATTGCATTTAGTGGTCAAATTGTGCATGCTCTGGCACTCCGGCGAGTCGGAGGACTTGGTGTTAAGGACATGCTGGGCCTTAGTTATACAATAGGGTCCAATGTTGCTCAATTCAGTGTAAAGGATTTTTGTTTGATAAGTGGTCTGAAATGTGGAACAAAGCCTGACATAACGTCCGGGGGGGATGCTCATAATCGATTTATGAAAGCTCATTTTACTAACAGGGGTCACATTACTTGCAATGACTTAGAAAATGCATTCCTAAAGTCCGAAAGAGGAAGCGAGGACTCGTTCAAATTGGGACTACTGTATTTTATGGAGTTTGTGATAATGGGTAAACCCCAAAATGTGAAGCTAAACGAGGAATACTTACATTTGGTTCATAAAATGGACGAATTCAACAATTATCCGTGGGGATCTATATCTTTTGAGTATCTGCAAGATTCTCTGTTGTTTGCTCCCGGGAAGAAAGAGAGTGATGAAGAGAATGATGGGAAGGGAAAAAAGGCGGTGCAGAGTTCAGTGAGAAAAGGGAAGAAAAACGTGGAAGACGAGAAGCCTAAAAGAATTAACAAACCTGGATGGAGTATAAAAGGATTGAGCTATGCTCTGCAAGTATGATGTAGTTCAAAATTAGTGTATGTAAAATTTTAGTTCGTAATTAAATACTGACTTTGATAATCTATTTGTTGTAGATTTGGGTGTATGAATTAATTGCTGAATTGGGAATTCCCCCTTTAGATATTGTAAGCGGATCGAGGAACCTACATTAGTCCCTCGAATTTGCTGGTGGGAATCCACGAATAAAGTGCATGAGTTTAGAAAGCTGAACGCTTATATATTTCAAAGTAAACATGTGTGTAGTTAATAATTTATTTCAGTACTATGTTCGTTTCATGAGGAAAGCTGTTCAGTATTGTGTATGACCTGTTAACTCTATGTGTTTGATAGCTTGTTATACTGTGCCTTTTATGACCAAGTCAATTGGAGATGATCCAACTGTATTGGAGTTGGGTATTAGATGTTCCTGAATGTGATGCACCTAGTGTAGCTCCACGGGTATGTAAGGACCTTGATGAGTTAAACTCTGTTGTGCAGCAGTTGAGGAATGAGGTTGCAGTATTGCACCGTGAGAAGGGTCAGCTAGAGGAGAAAGTTTTACGCTTGGAAAAGTGTATCAGTCATGCAGACGCGAGGAAGACTGGGGATGCTGGAGAGGAGAGGAATAAGACTGAGGATGCTAGAAAGAAAAGTTAGAAGACTGAGGATGCTGGGGAGGAGAGTCAGAAGACTGAGGATGAGGATGCTGGAGAAGAGAGTCAGAAGACTGAGGATGCTGAAAAGAAGAGTGATAAAACTGAGGATGGTGGAGTAGCCGAATCGAGAGAGCAGCATGTACAAAATGCTAAAGAAGAGATGCAATATACACCCTCGGATATAAATTGGGATGATCCAGGTGTGGTGTGTGTCACCTTTGTTAAATTTCTTACAAATCCTCCTCGAAAGATTGACATGTCCACTGCTGAGGGTGAATGTGGCGAAGATGTTATAGTTGGGGTCCAGCAAAAGAAGGGTCGGGGAAATAATGAGATTCTTGGCCTTGCGATGAAGAGGCGAAGGGCAGTGGTGAAGGAAACTCCATGGACAGGTCGGGAGATTCCCAATATTTCGGAGGACACAATTGTTGACCCCCTAAGGCCTATTCCTCGTGATTCCCTTTTAGAGGTTGCGAAATTCTGCTGGGAATGGGGACAAGAAGAAAAGTAAGTTCCCACTGCCCGTCCTTAGTGAAATGTAAATGGTTTATTATGATTATTTATTGAGTGAATGGTGAAACAGGATTGATAAGAATAATGATTCACAAATATAGTTCACATGTGCGGTTATGTGGAGAAGATGGTATGGAAGGTTTGCATAACTTCTTTATTTGATTGCTGACCAAGGATGGTTGGTTGGATGACTCAGTAAGCATTGATTGATTTGGGATTTTGTCGAAATGCCCATGCTATCTAGTGATTTATTGATTTAATAATGGAAACAACTGTTTTATGTAGAACATAGACATGGCCTTGCTTTTGCTACGGGAGCGGCACAAGAGCTCTGGCAACTAGGTAGGTTCTGACTGGACGATACTGGACACCACTGTTCAGGTCTGTATTATTTCTTAAGCATTGTTTATTTTCAAATTTGGTATCCGTTATGATGCATAACTCGTGGGCCACTATGCAAAAATGTGCTGACTTGGATTACAAGCAAATGAAGGCGTATATGGGAAAGGAGGACAGGTAGCACAGCAAGGGTCTACTGGGAATGGTCAAGGGCGAAGGGCCTAAGTTGGCTAAATCATGGTTGTCTGTGAATCACGTTTGTTTGCCCTTCAACCTACAAAGGCAGAAGCACTAGATCTTACTTGTTGTCGATTTAAAACAGTGTAAGATAAGGGCATATGATTCAAAATTAGATCTGTGCAGAACTCAAGCCATCCAACGGGCCACGCAGCCGGTGGTGAAAATGCTGCCCCGGTTGTTAAAGGAATCTGGATATATTGGCGGCGGTCTACTTCTGAAAACTGAGTGGCCAGTTATTCGTGTCATGGATGCACCCTAGCAAGTAGGCGGGTGAGTAATATTCCACCTAACCACATTGTCTTATGAAATGGATTTGTTGTACAATGAATCACAGCTTATTCGCTATGTTTCAGGGGCGACTGTGGGATGTACATCCTCAATTACTGCGAGTTTCTAACCTCGAATGTAGACCTGGCCAAGATTTCCCATGATGCCATGCCCTTCTATCGGTTGAAGCTCGTTGTACAATTGTTGCAGGGATATTGGTAACTGTGATTCATTAGGAGATACTATAACTTACAAAGTTTTTAACTGGGTGGGTGTAGTGTAGTATATGAACTTGCAAAGTTAATTTAACCGGGTGGGCAATTTTGTTGGTAACAGACCTTATATTCACGAGTTACAAAACAAACCTTTCTATAATATAAGGGAAGCTTGAAGTGCTTTCTTCACATGTTTGAGCGCATCTTTCCCCTTTCTATTTTAGTAAGGTTTTGAAAAGGTAGGTTTCTTGTTTGTTAAGGAACAAAGTCTTCTTTATGATCCAACTCCCCCTTTTCACTTAAAATTAAAGAATTAGTTTTTGTATTCTGTTCAAATACAAGCTGTATGAAACCCTCAACACATATTGTTGACAGTATGCTGAACCCGAACCCTAAATGGTGCATGATTATTTTCAAATGTCGAATAAATAGTAATGTATCTTGTTTGGGGCAAACACGATTGTGAAGTTAAGATGCAGGCATAAGAAATGTTGAAGTTTGTCATTGACTAATTGTGCTGAAGGCTTAATTATATTTCTACATTTCCAAACACGTCTTATATGTAGTTGTCTGGATTACAAAATTACAAAACAAATACTTAAACCCAAAACATTTCTTAATTTTTCATCAATTTAACAGCCAAATTCAGAAATGATAGAACTAACAACAATAGGAGGATTTTATTAATGCCCTTCAGTATACGGATTACTTCAGCATATGCATTAAGTTCCTTCACATACACCTGGTTTTGAATGTCAGATTCAGTTGGGGTGTTGGTTGCTGTCACCCATTCATATGTTGTGAAGCACTTCCAATACGGTCTGCCCAGATTCCTTTTGGATTTAGAAATTAGCTTCACCATCTCAGCATTGCAGTGCTGACACCTCTTTGCTTCAGTGTTTGATGAAGAAATTGACATCGCTTTTCCCAGAGTTGAAAATGAAGAAAATAGAAGAATTATACCCTTCCAAATATTTGGTCAAAACCCCCAAATTATTTTCCTCCAATTTTGAAAAGGAATTGGATTTTATTATTTGGTCAAAACATATATGGAGTTTGAAGTTTGAATTCGCCTTTTTTGGTTATGACAATCCGTGAGCGGGAAATTCCAAAGTTGAATATATATATATATATATATATATATATATTTGAACCCTAATGCATGAGCGGGAAAATAACAAGCATTGCTGTGGGGAATTTTTAATAATTTTTTTACCCTAAACACTCCACAGTAAACCCTAAACCGTAGCCTTAAAGACGTTTATCAAATGAAAATATAAGTAAGACAAAAATTAAAAGGAAAAGTGGCGTGTGTCGCTGAGGTCTGCAGCTGCCCACTCCAGCTCTGCCACTTGGCATTCCGTGTGTATTTTATTTCTTTTTCTTTTTTCTTTTTTTTAGAAAATCATAAAAAGTACAGGAAAATTCAGAAAAAAATAGGGGAAAATTCCTAAGTATGTATCAGGATGAATACTTCGTACTGAAAGTACAATAATGGATTTTGGTGTGAGGGAAAAATAAAATTAGGGAACAAACCCTAGTATTGGATGATGCAAATGAAAACACTAGTACACTTTTCAAACCCTAGACTCTTATTTGTTCGATCACATTAATTCCGTATGGACATTTATATGATGCGGCCTTTTTCCAGTTATTTCATGGAAGGAAATGTCATCACGAGTCCGGAGGATTTTTTCTGGAATTCTCCCCCCTTCAATTCGATTTTTAAATGAATATTTAATTGAAAGTTAATACAAAATTTGAAAAGGGGTGTGTGGCGGCATGGGAATGCGCCGCGTGTAGCTGAGGGTTGCAGCTCCCCACTCCAGCTCCGCCACTTGGCATTCCGTGTGTATTTTATTCCTATTTTTTTTTCGAAAAATCGTAAAAAATACAGAAAAATTTAGAAAAAATGGGGGAAAATTCCTAAGTATGTATCAGGATGAATACTTCGTACTGAAGGTACAATAACGAATTTTGGTGTGAGGAAAAAATAAAATTAGGGAACAAACCCTAGTGTTGGATGATGCAAATGAAAACACTAGTACACTTTTCAAACCCTAGACTCTTATTTGTTCGATCACATTAATTCCGTATGGATATTTATATGATGCAGCCTTTTTCCGGATATTTCATGGAAGGAAATATTGTCACGAGTCCGGAGGATTTTTTCTGGAATTTTTCCCCCTTCAATTCGATTTTTAAATGAATATTTAATTAGAAATTAATATAAAAAAATTTGAAAAGGGGCGTGTTGTTGAGGTCTGCAGCTCCCCACTCCAACTCCGCCACTTGGCATTTCGTGTGTATTTTATTCCTTTTTTTTTCTTCAGAAAATGGGTGGGGTGGGGGGGGGGGGGGGGGGGGGGGGGGAAGTATGTATCGGGATGAATACTCCGTTAGGAATTTTGACTTGTACTTTCTCAAGGAGTTTTTGGTTAAATACACTATTTAAATCATTTTGTTAGTCAAAAGGGATTTCCGGATTATTGGATTGAAATTTTGTATTTTTGTTGTTGTTGCAACAATCGTAAACATTGCATGACAAATTCCGAATGTGAAGGGAAAAAACCCAACACTTATTTCCCCCCTTAAATATGATATTTAAATCATTATGTTAGTGAAAATAGAATTTCGGATTTCTTTTTTAAACTATTTTTTATCTTTGAAATATAGTTTCAAATGCAGGACAAATCAGGAAATGTGGGGAAATTGAAAACGTAATTAAAAGATCACCAGAGTATCTTAGAAGATCAAGGATGGCTCAGACCCGGTCTGACTGAAAGGATAATCCCTCATGTGTTGACAACACGCAACCTCCCTGACATTTTGGTGTCTGTCATCTTCAACGAATGATTGCTTCGGGAATCGGAACCAGCAATTCCCCATTTCAGAACACATAGTCAAACCATAGGACCCAAAACCATCCAAAACATATGCACGCAAGCTACAAAGGTCTATGGAACACAAACGTCTACAAACTTGTTCTTAAATTGGATCTTAAAAGTGCACTGATTACAAAAACAGACCTTCAAACCATAAACAGGACTTAAAACCACAAACGTCTACAACATTACCATAAACAGACCTTGAATTAAAAACATTAAACAGAAGGTAAACTTCCCCTGTAAATAAAAACAAACAAAACCCAAAACACACTTTAATACCCATATCATACCATGGATATTTAATTTATTAAATCCAACAGGTCTCCCTATGGAGTTTGCGCTGGAAGTAGTACATCTCCTTTTTCCATTTGTAGAGATCACAGTAGTTCCAGGTAGCTACTGTGTCAGAGTAGTCGCCCGCCCAGTCCCATGAGAATGTGAAATACCACTCCTAATTACCCTTACAGTTAACGCAGGTAAGAAAAAAATTTCTATCAACAGTAAACTTTGCAAGAGTTGGAGGAGTCACCACGCCCGAAATGTTATACCTCATCAGTCGATTAAAAAATGATGCTCTGCACGCTTGCATGTCAATTTTCTTTGTTTTGCTTAGATGGCACAACCATTCCATCGCATCCTCTTCGCCCTCCGTAGGGTTCACTAGCCCTAGCAAGCCAACAATGTAGGAGGATTCCATATGCCCTGCCTTAGCCGCCACTCGGAAGTTGTTGACAGCCTCATCATCTTTGAATATGAAGAATTGAGTTACAGCTTCTCTGTAAATGATTTCTAGATTGTTGTGCTCCTTGCACTTTTGCAAGAACTCAACAAGTTTCTCTTGATAAAACCCGTACCATTCAGGATGCCACTGGTACTTCTCTACAGACACGGTTCGCCAAACCTCAGGATCATTCAACATTTCTTCAAATAACTTGCATGTCCCCGCCATGCTGTACAGATCTTCAGTGGAGTGTTTTGCAACCAAAAGCAGCACCTTAAACCATGCCAAGTCTGGGATGTCCATTTGGGTTGTTGGAGAAGAGGGAGTGCAAAAGGTATGTGGAGGAATAATGAACGGTGTGTCTGGACAAATCAGGAAGAAAGGTATATATTGGAACGAACCATCGTCACCTCAACTATGGATGAAGACAACATTGGGTTTAGATCATGTATTATTGGCTTCGTTTCCCAACTGGTGTGACTAAAAGGACAATTCACACACCTCGATGATCCAGGTTTTGGCGGTAAATTGGTCTTCTCGTGGCTCCATACCTAGGTACACCTTGTGGGTGTTCGCATTTATGATACTACTAATCAACGTCAGCAGTCAAAAAATTAAATATACTTTTTATGATAATGATTATGCAAATATCACATCGCTACTTATGGAGGTAAAATTCGTTGCATTTGAACATGACCATGTGAATAATTTAGCAGCCAATTATGAAACAAAATATCATATCAACGCACCCTTAACAGTACAGAAAATGAAAACAGTGTTTATGACATCACCAGTTATGAAGGTAATCTGAATTTAACATGAGCAAGTAAAAAATTTCATCTTCTGAAATATGATACTAAATATGAACTCATATCACATGTAAAGAAACAAAAAAAATGTGCTTGTGGTACTTATAATGCAAATATCACATCACAAGTTGTGAAGGTAACTTACATTTGAACATCACCAAGTCAATAGTTTCATCTTCGAAAATATGATACTAAATACGAACGGTAAAGAAAATTAAAATATCGTATATGATACAAATAATGCAAATATGACATCACCAGTTCTCAAGGTAACTAAAGTTGCAGCTCCCCACTCGAAGTCAACATTGGCATTTTGGCGGGTAAAATGAAAATGGGGACTACTCTATAAATACCAATGTAAGAGTATTTTACCTCCCATTGCACCTCCACTTGCTCCAAACAAGCCTAAACTCAGAATGGATTCCCCTACAAATATCCCCCCCATACTTATAACAACTCCAACAAAAAATGCAGAACCTTTGCCACAGAGGAATAATAAAGCTGAAGATGTTGCTGATGGAGCTGCGAAATCCATAAACTTTTCATCTGAGGACCACGATGATGTAGCTCGGATCGGCAAGATGAGGTATGGTGCGTTGATCATGGAAATCAAACGCCTGAAGATACGTCTAAGATGGTATCAAGAAACATTGGGGAAGGAGAAAAAGAAAGCGAAATTCCACCTTCGATCAGTCCAAATAATGAAAGTGAGGGTTTGGCTTGCGAAAGGGAAAGGTGTTCAAAGGTTCAGTACTTCGAATAAGTCTGTGCAGATGAGGGAAGCAGAAGCACGCAAAGGGTTTGACCTTTTCCGCGAGTTTGCAAGATGTGTTGTCCCAAGCTACAACTGGGACGGGATCGCCATGGAGTAAACCGTCCCTGGATAAAGTTCATTTTGGGGGTTGTCAGTATTTTGTTCGGAACAAATGTGTGGTTCATTTTTAGTACGTTTTTTGGCATTTTGTGTGGGCTCCTGAAGGTGTAAAAACTGTGGTTGGAAGTGTTTATAGTTCTTAGGTAATGTATCCAACTGTAAGATGTGAAGGACAACTGTAAACGAATGGGGAAACTATTTTGAGTTTTTTAAGCGTACTTTTGTCTACATAAATTGTTGTGCTTTTATGAAGTTTGTTTATATTATTTTCTGATCACATATTTCTTTGTGTTATTTTATAACGCCTAAAAGGCATGGAATAGAAACAACAAAGGTGGATTTGTTGATAATCAAGGTATTTATATCGCATAGTAATCAAGTAATGGAGGGTTGCTTTTATCTCATTCGTTTAGGGATGGCAATGAGTTGAATCGAGGGTGGGTATGCCATTTCCATGGCCTGCCCCATTAGGGAAGAAAAAACCAATTATATAACTACTATGTTGAAAAGAAAAAAGAGCAGTAAGACAACATAATGAATACATAGAATACATACTTAGAAGACAATATAACAATGTTTATATATATGTTGGAAGTTAACTAAATAAATAAGTACTGTGGCTTAAGATTTGTATACAATATAATCTACTAATATAAAATATAAAACTTAGTCGATACTCTGTATGTTCATAGCATATTTATATATGAGGTAAATGCTCTTGTGTGTTTCCATTTTGGGTCATTTGAATAAAATAATGCAGCTATGCAAAAAATATATTAGTAAATACTGTGCTGAATAAATTTATTTAGAAGTCTGTTTTTGTTTCCCCATTTTTTAAGTAATTGGGTGAGTTTTGAGGTTTGAGCATTTATTTGATCATTTATATGGTAGCTAATTATGTTTGTAACTTGGCATTTTAGAGGTTTGCTTATTGGTTTCAAATATATAATTATAGCAATGAAATAACAAGAACCATATTGTGTCTGCCAATTGAAAGGAGAAAATATAGAAATATTTTTCCAAACAATTATATATGAAGCAAATGAAACTGACACTTGTGTTCTTATAAATTAGATAATGAACACTAAGGAAGTATACTTCTAATTTTTTCAAAATATAATGTTACAGTTCAAAGGAAAACAAGTTATCACCATATTCCAATGATGGAGTGTTCACTCTGCATTGTCACATCAGATGAAATTAAGTACAAAATTGAGTTTTCATAATCACTTTGGATGATTTATAGCTTCCCCTAATTTTGTAACGGCACAAGGAGCTGGAAGCAATTTTACGGGCAATTTTCCGATTTTTCTCCTATTTATTACCATTTTTTAATAATTTTGCATTACAAAGTTTAAAACATAAAGAAATAACACACATGGCGACAGCTAACCGCATTCCCCTTCAGTAGGTGCACACGTGTACGCCAGAGGCCATTGCCACATCCTTCCTTCCTGTGTGAATTTAAATGAATATTGTTATTTTCTTACAAAATTCATAACTAAATATACAAAAATCGTGAAAAAATTTCGTAAATTGCTATGAACTCATTCAAACTTGATAAATCTTAATTCAAGTGCGTACTAACATTTTTACTAATCATGCGAGGCTCCTGTGATTAACTAAATCAAATACTCTGATTACTTAAAACAAATATATATATATATATATATATTAAAGTGATGGGACAAAAGGAGAAAAAACTAAATGAAAAACTTCCGGACAAAATATATAAACGTTGTTTTATGCCTATGGGATACTCATGCCTTACATCTCTCTTTTCTTCTTTCCAGTCGTCTTTTTTGCATACAAACCTTCAGCCGAATCCCCCAATCTGACGATTTTTTCAACATGTCCGCCAATTCAAGCGCCAAAGCGAATCATGGGGACTCCAATTCAAGCGCCAAAGCGAATCATGGGGACTCCGATGGCTCATGGGAATATATCCAAGGTCCCCTTCACCACCGCTGCCTCTTTCAACCTCCTCCGCAAGCAAAGGGGACTCCGATGATCCCGCTGTGGAAATAAATGATATGAAGAACAAACTGGAACACAACTCTTCCTTGGTCCATTATTGGACTCAAAAGTGTGTCGGAGCTTAGCAAAAGTTGGCTTATTTGACTCGGCAAGTTAACAAAGCCCGTTACAGAAAAGAGAAGCAGAGAATTCGTGCCCAAAGAAGAAAGCACACAGCAGAGGATTTGCATGTGACATAGGAGGATGCTACGTACGAATCTTTGAGCATCCACAAAGGAGGCGACAACCAAGGCCAGGCAATGTCTGTGGCTTTCAATGAAGGTTTTGAGAAATTCCGACGGTTCGTTGCAGATGTCCACAAAGATATTGACTGGGACTCCATAACCCCGTCTGCTGCACAGGAAATCATCTCCAGCGGTGCACACCGAACAGAGCAAGACCACCAACCAGAAAAAGGCAACATCTGGGTTACTGTTTTAATATAATGCCCGATCATGCTTACGTGCAGCTTATTATTTTGTTTTACACTGCTATCAAACCTAGAATTCAATCACAGTTCGATCACTAACTTCCGGATTAGAAGCGTTCATTTCGTAATAGTGCTCACAATTTTTTGTTTAATTCATTGTCGGTGGGGAGACAATTTGTTTCAAAATTCTCTCACATAGATATTCGTTGGTTGAGACATTTACATAGACAATTTGTTTCAAGATTCTCTTATTGACACATAGTCATGGTTTCAAGATTCCCTTGGATATTTTCATATTCATTGCAACCATTGCAAATTTGTGTAGAAAACCCCTTGCATGATTCCCCCAAACTCATTCTCCTTCAAATAAGGGCTTCAGGTTCTGAAAATCCCAAAGCCCCAGAGGACATCCGGGACATCCACCTTCAACAAAAGATTTTTCCAGCAACTCAAGGTTACGCATTGAAAGCATGCTGCCATTCACGACCAAAAAATATGTAAATAGGTATCAATAAATGTTAAAACTCCGGGACCATAAATGAAATCAAACTCTTTCAGATAGTTATGTGTTTAATAAACCATAGTTCAGTATCAATGGACATGAGGCATTTACCTAAGATTCACTAACGCTTCCAGATACTTTCAAAAACGATGTAAATAAGTATCAATAAGTGTTCAAACTCCGGGACCATACATGAAATCAAACTCTTGCATAAATGACTCTGTCATAGTAGGTTCACTGTCATGCGTGCTTTGAGTGGGCTGCAAATTCTCACCAACTAGACCACCAAGTTCTGTGTTGGAAGATGAAGAGCTGCCACATCGGAAAAAAATAATAATAAACATCAACAACATAAATTTCAAAGCACAATATAACACATATTCACTTACGAGCTCGCAAGTTTTGGACAACTCCGTCTATCATGATCAGTCCTCCTACATTCAGTGCACCGACGTTTATGTCGTTGCGCCACCTTTTCTTTTTCTTCTTTAACTTTTTTTGCACGCCCTTTTACTTTCACTCGATGTGGATCTTTGATTCTGAGTTGGGGATAACTAGTTCCGACATCTCCATTAGGTTCTTCGACATGAGCTCTTGATGACACCAACCTTGTAAGCTTCCCACGAATTTCCTCAAAAAAATTTCCAGCAACTCAAAACCTTCATCACACAACAAAGACGAATCAATCAAATCACTTGCAACTTTGCAAACTTTCGATTTCTTAACCAAAAGCAAACCATCAACGCAATTGTTAACTTCTTTGTGATTCTTATCATATTACACCATTTTTCGCACTTTGAAGCCATCATTTCAATATGTACTTGTCTGGCAAGTGTTCAACCTCTGCAGCTGCAATAAGCTTTATCGGTATCTTTATCATAGCTTTATCGGTATCTTTTCAATATGTGCTTCATTCTTAAGAAAACTAGGATGTGACGGAATACCCCAAAATTCAAATCCTCTGCAGCTGCAATAAGCTTTATCGGTATCTTTATCATGCACAAGCTCCTTCATCCGTGTCACCCCCGGATTTACCCACTCACTTACTTTGTATCTGCACTGAGTCTCATCTTGCTCTACAAGTTTGAACAAGCATAAAAGACTTCTGAAGTCTTCCCTCTCAAACATTTCCAGAATTTCCCGAGTGTAAATGCGTCTCATTTGATGTTGCATTGGTGTTTGAAATGGCAGTGGAGGTTTTTCATTGTTATCAACATGATCAACCATTAACTCCTTGTGTCTTTGTGAAGCAAGAGCTCTCTCAAAATGTACAATGAATTCCATCAATGTGTTTTTCCGGTTAATATATTGTTTGAAAAATGAATAATAGCTTTCGGCCCGTTGACTACTTGACATCCCAGCCGAAAACACATGTTTTACATATGATGCAACCCAATTCCCCCGCATAGCAAGAATTGAGCTCAGCCACGCATGGTCTTGCAGCCCATTGTTTGTGATGATTTCCTCCCATTTCGCATCAAATTCTTTTTTCTTGTCCATACCCTATATGCATTTGCACATTTCCGAAAAACATTCTCCAATGCCGGGTTTCTCTGTAATCTTATTCAAGATATGCCATATGCAATTTCTATGGAATGTTGTCGGGAGAGTTACAACAATTGCCTTTGACATGGTTGCATCTTGATCAATGATGATCATTTTGGGTGGCTCACCCAGCATGGCTTTCTTGAATTCCTCTAACAACCATACAAATGAATCCGTGGTTTCGCTAGTTAGGAATGCATAACCAAACAACACTGTCTGCCGATGGTTATTAACACCTAACAAAGGCGCAAAGATCATCCCATAGCGGTTCGTGTTGAACGTCGTATCAAATACCACCACATCTCCAGAAAAACCCATAAGTCGTCTTGACATTGCATCTAACCAGAAAACATTACTCATCCTTCCTTCCGAATCTACCTCCATCTTGAAATAAAAGGATTCATTCTTTTCTTGCATAGCCATAAAATGCTCCTTAAGCTGCTCTGCATCATGGCCAATCACCTCTCCACGCACGTCCCTTAGATAATTATAGACATCTCTCTTAACAAACCCAACATTTTCTAATCCCCCTACTTGCACCTCAAGAAGGCTTAACTGTTTATGTACTGGAATATTAACTTTGCTCATATCTGCACTATACACCTTTGTAGACTCTGTTAAGTTACGGTGAGATCTCAATAAATGGACTTTATCAACTGTGTTCATATCATGGTTGTGTACCTCATTGAATCCTACAACAATGTACTTATTCTTGTCTTTCACCTTCAATATTTCAAGTTTAGCCTTGCAACCAGTTCGAGTACAACCTCGCCGTCTTCTCTTACGACTAATAGTGCTTGTCAACGCATACCCCTGTTTACAACATACATATTCCTTCCTTGTTACCTCTCCTGTCAGTGTGCACGTCCTCGTTGTAGAACACTGAACGCCAAATTCGGCTTCCACAGCATACATATTATAGAAATTGAACACATCGTCACAGCAATTAAATTCAAGTCCCAATTTTGGTTTCAACTCCGACCTTACTTCCGGTGTCATCTGTCCTTCGCAATCCATTTCACAGTTCTTGCAATTTAACCCTGAATTCACCACCATCATACCAACATTGGCACATGCTTTCAAATAACTTTAAAATATATATATTAACTAACATATGACATGAAAATGATTCCCTAGTGAAATATTAAAGACTTACATACAAACTAATGTAACTCATGCTTATGCCCAATAATAAACTTGACAAATACAGTATAAAAAGCTTCAAAATATATATATTAACTAACATATGATATGAAAATGACTCTCTGGTGAAATATTAAAGACCAACATACAAAATGATGTAACTCATACTTATGTCCAATAATAAACTTGACAAATACAGTATAAAGAGCTTTAAAATATATACATTAACTAACATATGATATGAAAATGATTCTCTGGTGAAATATTAAAGACCTACATACAAACTAATGTAACTCATGCTTATGCCCAATAATAAGCTTGACAAATACAATATATCACTTACCTCGTGAGTCATTTCCAACCCCTGTTTCTCTGGACGTCAACCCCACACACTTTTCTTCTTCCCCAACCCCTGTTTTGACCGTGCTCAACGATTTCAAAACCAAGAGAACAGCACAACGGTCGTGGTCACCAGTTTCCAACTCAAGACGTTGCTCAAGGATTGACGAATGTTTTTTCCAACTCAAGACTTTGCTCAAGGATTGACGAATGTTTCGACCAGAAAGACCGAATGTTCCGACTAGAAAGACCGAATTAGAAACCGAACAGCTGAATGAGAAACCCAGAAAATTGAGGGCTATACTTATGTGTTCTTCCTGGAATCGAATAAGGAATAACATGGGCACTCTCTCTTCAGTGTTATTGGCCTTGCTCAATCAAAGCTGATAAAAAAATTGGCCACTTAGTTGAACAAACCGAACAGCTGAATTGGAGGGGACGTCTGTTTTTGACTCGACATTTTGGAGGGAGGAGAGAGAAGAATGCCTCGTTCTAATACAACACTTACACTTACAATTGCTTTTGATGCAGCCGTTAGATTAGATCCAACGGTGTTCTCACGTAACTTTCGCACATAAGCGTTCTCACTTGATCTAAACTGATCTAACCTCTCTCATCTTCATTATTTTCAGCAGCCATCTTCCAAGATCAAAGAAGCCCAATTATATATATATATATATATATCTCTCTCTCTCTTTCACTTTGTGTCCTTTTCTCTTTTATGTGCTTTGAATCTCACATACCCAGATGTTGAAACAACTTGGAAATTTTTTTTGAAACCATTTGAGAAACGAAAACCGGCGAAATTGCATCAGTGTTGTAATGGAATCGCACTGGCCGTTTATCTAGCCATTTTGGCCATATCCAAACTGGACCACACCTGAAAAAATTTGTAGTTATGATTCCAGTTTTGAGGAGAACCGCACCATGCCCACCCCTAATTAGATATGAAAATAAAGAAGAAGTTAATAAACGGAGACCTCGATAAAAAATCGTATTCAAACAAAAAAATCGTATTCAAACTGTTTAGGCTTTTAAAAAAAAAGATGTTTTCCATATCCGTTATTATTATTATTATTTATATAAATAATATTCTATTTTAATTTAAATTAAATTATAAAGAGCAGGATTTGAACAAAGTGAATAGCATACGTGTTCTAGTCAACTTTACTAACCCAATGTCTTCAACCGCATATCATCATTAATTATTTTCAGTAGATAACATTTGCGATGTTCTATTCTATTGTTGTCCACAAGAAAAAACAGTAGGAAGAAAAGTTGAACAAAGAAAAGAAAGTCAAGAAAAGCAAAATATATAGAAGGCTGAAAAAATTCGTACAAGGAAAAAGAAGAGGTTAAAAAACGGAGACCTCAATAATAATAACCCCAAAAGCTAAAAAATATAAGAAAAGAAAGAAAAAGATAGCACGCGAGGACAACAAAAGAAAAGAAAGCAAAAGCGTAGGAGAACGTACATGTGATTTCCTAGCATGATACGTTTGCTGTTTTGAACAAACAAAACCCATTTTTCTTTCGTAGATTGAAGAACTGCCATTCATTTTCTTTTCTCATTTGGAACCTGGGAAAATACCACATACCCAATTGCTTAAAGTCTTCGATTTTCTGTGGATAACCAGGGAAATAGCTGCAATTTGGTAAGCAATTCATTTGGTTTGCTTTAAACTTTGTTGTGATTTTGAAAATCAGTGGCTGGGTTTTTGTTTACTGCCTTCTGTTGCCTGAAAACTTTAATTGTTATTGTATTTTGTTTACTTTTAATCCGCCGCTTTCTTTCTGTACCGGCTTGCATAAGTTATTTTATATATTTGTTGCTTCCTATTGGGGTTTTACTCTGTATCTAGTAGCTTTGATTGAAAATCTTGTACATTCTTGAATGGTCATGAGTTTGGTTGGTTGAACTTTTGTTTCTCCTTTGATATATTTTTGATATGTTTAACTTCTATGTTGATGTGAATTGTAGATTTCTTATTTTATTTTGCATACTTAATTCAGAGAGATGAAGAACTAGAGAAATTTGGTTCATAAGGAATATAAAGAAAAAGGAGAGGCTTTTACTTTTGCAGTGATTGCTATTTTGACAATGCATAATCCAACTTCCATTTCCTTTTATTTATTTTAATTATTTTTAATTATTTTTTATAGTTCTGCTAATATTGATATACTTTTGTTGAAGTAAATTTGAATAAGTTTTCTCCTTTTCAGATTTAAGGTGTATATTCTTCTCCGTAAGTTGAAGTGGTGGTCTTGGATTCACTTTGACTATTTCAAAATTGAAAGGATCATCAGCTTGATACAGGCCAGTGAATTCGTCAATCGTTAAGCTGATGGGCACTTCTGAAGCAGTTCTTCAAGTTTTTTGCAGGGCTGTACCACGCCTTTGTAGTACTGATTCATGTTTTAGCAAATGTGATCCTATATTTTCTTCTAAATACCAATTAAAATGTCGGAAGAGAAGGGTCTCAAGATACATGCAATTGCTCAGTTGTTCAGGTATGCAACGAAGTCGTATAGGAAATTATCGATTTCGGGGGATAGGGAATGGTTTGTTTGGAAATATGACCGTAGGTGATTCTTGGATTCAGAGTTGCAAGTGCCAACAAGCTGGAAGTATAAGTGGGGCAACTACAGAAGATGAGAATGGGACATGGTTTGTGGATAGTGCAAAGAAATTGAACACAATCAACAATATGGTGAATGCACCGAATGCTTTGGAATTTCAAGATGTTCAGCAGTTGAAACAGGAAAAGGAGGGCTTGTCACCTAATGGAACAAATGGAACAGTTAGAGATGCCTTCCACAAGATTAGTGTTGATTCGCTCGAGGATGAAGCGTGGGATCTACTGCGTGAATCTATGGTTTATTATTGCGGAAGTCCTGTTGGAACCATTGCTGCAAAGGATCCTACCAGTTCCAATGTGTTAAATTATGATCAAGTCTTTATTCGTGATTTCATACCTTCTGGCATAGCTTTCCTCTTGAAGGGGGAGTATGATATTGTTCGGAACTTTATACTTCATACTCTTCAGTTGCAGGTAATGTTTGTAATCTGGTAATAAAGACCTTTTGTTATTCCCCAGTCAATATTACTAAATGGTGCATTCTCATATTACTAAATTTTGTGGACTAGAAACATTGTCTAGTTGAACTTTTGTGGTATGCAATTGTATATATCAAATTCGGTTTAGATTCTCAATCAAATTCGTGTATATGTGTGTCTATGCTTGTATTCATGTGTTCATATATACGGAGAGGGATTCAAATATGGGACACAATGTTTGAGCTCACCCTGAAATGGTGTCTAATAAGCGGAATTGTCTATTTTTTGGTCCACTTGAAGAATAATGCTCGCAAAAATAATCCAAATTGGAAAACATTTAGCCATGTGATTATCATCACAATTATTTCAGTGTTAATCAGAAAACACTGTATTTATTTTATCTCAATTAGATGTCTAAATGGTTCTGATTTAGCTAATTTCTGCTAGGATGATCCTTAAAAATAGACAATCTAGATTTTTGCACTGCATTGCGAGATGGGGCCCACCATGTTTTCCTTACGTCTTAAGGATCTCTTACTTGAGGCTTCTTTGTGTGTGTTTAGGATCTCTGTCCACGTAACTACATTCTTGTAAGAGGACATTTCGATTTCAAAGCAGACACCCATTCATTAGATAGAGAAGAAGATCACAAAGATTTCGTGATCCGCTGCCGAACTTATTCAAATTATACATCATATCATGTGTATTTTTTATAATCATTTATGTTTGTATTCTTGTTTGTTAGCATCGTGAATCATTTGTAAATTTGTTTTCTGTACTTGTTATCCTATTTAGTAAGCGTATTCCTTATATTTCAGAGCTGGGAGAAAACAATGGATTGTCATAGTCCTGGTCAGGGTTTGATGCCTGCTAGTTTTAAAGTGCGTACTGTTCCTTTGGATGGTGATGAATCTGCAACAGAAGAGGTACTGGATCCAGACTTTGGAGAGGCAGCAATTGGCCGTGTTGCCCCGGTAGATTCTGGTAAATTTATCTACCAGATCATCAAGTGTTTTAAAGTTAAAAAGATAGCTTTTTCTTTACCACTTGTTATATTGGTGAAGTCTTATTCATATTGTTATGTAATTTTCAGGGTTATGGTGGATAATCTTGTTACGTGCATATGGAAAATGCTCGGGTGATCTCTCAGTTCAGGAGAGAGTTGATGTGCAGACAGGGATTAAGATGATTCTAAGGTTATGTCTAGCTGATGGTTTTGATATGTTCCCTACATTATTGGTAACAGATGGTTCTTGTATGATAGATCGACGTATGGGAATTCATGGTCACCCACTGGAAATCCAGGTATCATATTCTTGAACAGTCATTTTATGTGGCAAGGAAATATCAATATGAAGGGGACAGAAGTAGTCAATCAGTCTTGTTGACCTCTTCCAGGAACCATTTTTCTGTGCCAGTTTGTTTTAACTTGTAATTTAGAGTAATGTTTTAAGAAACAAGCATATTTATCCAAGTTGAAAATGACTAATTAATGATGGGAAGAGATAATCTATCGGGTCCAGAAAACAAAGTATGAGATTGTAGTAAAGGGGAATGATGGGCCGGGATCCAAAAACACAATCAAGATGGAATGAAAAAGTTTAATCTTTTGTATCTTGTGATTTGCATTTTTCGTCTGTGCAGTCCCTTTTCTATTCAGCATTACTTTGTGCACGAGAGATGCTTGCTCCAGAGGATGGATCAGTCGATCTTATTCGAGCACTCAACAACCGTCTGGTAGCTCTGTCATTTCATATCAGAGAGTATTATTGGGTTGATTTGAAAAAACTGAATGAAATCTACCGATACAAGACTGAAGAGTACTCATATGATGCAGTTAATAAGTTCAACATTTACCCAGATCAAATTTCTTCATGGCTCGTGGAATGGATGCCCAATAAAGGAGGCTATCTAATTGGAAATTTGCAACCAGCTCATATGGATTTCCGATTTTTTTCTTTGGGAAACTTGTGGTCTGTAATAAGCAGTATTGCAACAACAGATCAGTCACATGCTATTTTGGATCTAATTGAATCCAAATGGGGAGATTTGGTGGCGGACATGCCATTTAAGATTTGTTATCCTGCTCTTGAAGGCCAGGAGTGGCAGATTATCACTGGAAGTGATCCTAAGAACACGTAATAAGTCAAACTTAGTAATAATTTATTTTTTTGGGTTGTTATTTTTTGGTTTTTCCATCTCACACTTCATATTTTTTATGCAGGCCCTGGTCCTACCATAATGGAGGTTCCTGGCCAACTCTGCTATGGCAGGTTAGTTAATGTTGTGTTGTTAGGTACTTCTAACTGATAGATGGACCCAAGAGGCAATATATCAACTTTTGATTTTGAAATACCCATTTGTGAATAGAACTGTATTGGTAAATAGTTTGTGTAATGTATATAGTGTGTAAGGCTGTTTGGAACTCTGTGCGGAATTTCTGCTATATCATTTCAATTGTTTATTAAACGCATACGGCATCTTGATATTATTAGAGTATTGGTAGTCCGAAATAATGACACATTATAGATGTATTTCACAGCTCACTGTCGCTTCCATAAAGATGAATAGAACCGAAATTGCAGCAAAAGCTGTTGAGGTTGCTGAAAAAACGGATATCGCGAGATAAGTGGCCAGAATACTATGACACCAAAAGGGGTAGGTTCATTGGAAAACAGGCACGCCTGTTCCAGACCTGGTCAATTGCAGGATACCTTGTGGCAAAGCTCCTGCTTGCTGATCCTAGTAAAGCCAAGATTTTGACAACTGAAGAGGATTCTGAACTGGCCAACGCCTTCTCCTGCATGATTAGTGCTAACCCAAGAAGAAAGCGTGGTCGAAAGGATTTGAAGCAGACCTACATTGTATGAGTCTGGTTCCATTATGATTCAGCTCCAGACTGCTAGTTTCGATTGTCTACGTACGGCCAAGTATTATTCTGATTTTAATAAATTATATTGGTGATTATTTGGGAATTGGCTAAGTGTCAAATAGCACTTTGCTTGTTCCGTTTGGATAAGCTGATATATTTCATAAGCTTATTCATGTAACACTAAATTCTGTTGTAAAGATTATGTACTTTTACCCAGACAGAGTTTGTAACTTGCTATTCTCTTGCCTAGCAGGCAAAGATTTACCTTCGTGGAAAGGTGACTTTAAATTTACAGTTACCCATTTGAAGCATCCGTTTATTGTATGAAGTTATGAACTCTAGAGACAGTTATTTGTAAATATATATATCTGAGTTACAAAATCGAATGATGTTTCATTTGTCAGTTTATTTGTTGTTGTAAATTGCCACTATTTTACTGTTGGTTTCATTAGATGCCCCTGGAATACAAGCTTTTCTCATGTTTTTTCATCTTTGGATAAAAGCTTTGCAAAAAAATGAACTGTTGAATCAACTCCTTAGTGTGATGCTCTGGTAAGTGAACTTAGATCAGTGCTATATTTTTCTTGGGAGACTTTGGAAAAACACAAAGGAGAGAAAAATTTTGTAAAAGAAGCCAAAATGGACAAAATTATTCTTATTTATTTTTGGATTTCCTAAAGAATCCTTCACATTTGCATGTCTTTAATTTGAAAGTTGAGAGGTTTTTCTGTCTTTTTTGAAAAAGCTTTGGTTTTTTTCAAAAGTGAAATTTTTTTTATAGCTAAAACCTAAATTTACTATTTTTTTCTTTCACCCCTTAATCCCATCCAATCCGAAGCCCAAAGGAAGAAAATATGAATCGCTCTAAACTTGATAAGAGCAGAATTTGATCTTGCCATGTGACAACCAAAGGACTGTCTGCTGAGAGTTTCAGATTGGTGCTACGTCTTTCACAAAGCACAAAATCTTGCAATTGCTGTTTAAGCAACAAAGGTTTTTCTTTTTTGATACAAAGAACTTCGAGGAAGTGAGAATTCGAATACAGGACCTTATGTAAGTGCTCTTTAACTATACTACTCGAGCTACAAGTCGCTTGCAACAAAGTTCAATGTTGAGTATATGGGCGCTTTTTAATTTTTCTTCGTTGCAGTGTACTACTTGAGCTACAAGCCCCTTGTAACAAAGTTTAAATATATTTTGTTGTAGTGTAAATATAGCAGATAAAACTGGACAGGGAGATATAACACATTAAAAACGCAAATAGAATATATATTTTTTCCGTTCGCAAAGAGAAATTCCTCCTTTTAGGTTAATTAACCAGTATTTTTAATAGCAGACAATCTTCTTTTTATTTTATAGAAAGAAGAAAGAACTCCACCTTTGACAGACACAATACCCTTCTTCCTCCTAAAATCATAAGAAAATAAAAAAGCTTCCTCAGCTCCATTTGTAGTCACAGCAGGTATTATTTCCTGGGTTTTGTTCTCAGATCTCTTTTTTCATTTATAAGAATGGACATTTGGGATTAATGGGTTTTTTTTATTATTATTATTTTTTTATCTTTTTTCTCATTTGTTTCGATTTCTCGTTCATAAAGTGGAGAGTGGGTTTCATCTAGTGAGTTTTTTCCCTTAATCTGTTACAGTTAAATTTTTTTGGTTTTTTCTTGATATGAATGTCACTCTGCTCTAAGCTGTAGCCCTTTTTCTGTATTTATTTTTGGTTAATTTATAGCTCATTTTCATTTTTGCTCTAGGTAGGTTTGCTGTTTGATTGTGCATTCTTTTGAATTTAAATTCTATCTTCCTCTGTCATTGTGGAGATGGCAGTAAGGAAATTGAAATTTGAAGCAATGATACACTCTTGTGACTGCCCATCAAGTGTTTGATTAAATGCTGAGTACATTTGGATGACTGTCGTAGCGTGTTTTGATAATTTGCCATTTTTGTTTTCTTTCTCAATATCATTTAAACGGAGGACCATGAAGAAATAGGTGTGCAGATAACTGTTCCTGTTTGAGTGCCCAGCTCATTGCTGTTGGTGGTCTTATGGTCAGATATGATGTTTGCCTTACTCATCTGAGAGTTCTTCTCCTAGTTATGATTATGCAACCATCTGTGGAATGATTTGTTATGTTATTCAAAGTCCTGATAAGATTACAAATGAAATTTCCTTTTCTATTTGGCTACAATGCCATCCACAAATCAAACCCTATGTAATTGGAACTCAAGTTGCCGTTTTCAAATTCAGTTAGGCTTCTTGGCAGGCCATAGAGTTTGTTAGACCGCCAGGCCTTAAAGTTTCATTCACCAAAATTTTTGTTTTGTTTTTAAAATTTTAAAATTTTATTTTATTGTTATGGATATAGTCACAACTAGTTGGCATTACTATGGTTTTCTGTATTCATTTTGGTCCAAAATGATTAATGTTGGATATTAGTTTCTAAAATTCGTTTGATAATTTTATATGCAGTAAGTACACCTGGCAGGACTTTGGAGCCAAGCTGCAAGAGATTGATAAGCCTTCATCAGATTGCTTAATTTCAGGTAACTCGCAGTCCTCCCTCATCTTCTTTCACACTTTGGAGATACCCAACTCAATAAACTGCTTCTGTTCGATTCACCACTTGTTGTGCAATTTACTCCCTGCATTTTAATGGGCATCCCTAAATTTGAGAATACAGAGCTTTTAATGTCCTGTGTGCGTTTACTTCTCGTTTAATTGGTGTCCTTCATGGATTTATTAAGTACTGCAAAGTTGCACAGATAATAAGTACCAACCATGAACTGTATATCCCTGTTTGCTACTCAAAAAATTTCTTGTTATGTTGTCATAGCATGAAAATTAACTGATTATATGGAGAAGTTTGGATTTAGACTCAATGTTAGATGAGAAAGAGAATGTTTATGAGTATGAGAACCATCCCCGGGAGTATTTCTCGCTGAGATGGAGTTCAAGAATTCGAAGATTCATATCACAAGGGTTCTTGAAGTTCTTCAACAAGATGGCCCTGGGTTTGATACGAAAGCGGCTTTGGATGAGTTGCATATAGAGGTTTCAGGTCTTCTTGTGAGAGAAGTTCTCTTCAAAATTTTGAAACAAACAAATTATTTGAGTAAAGTTGGGGTATAAGTTTTTTATGTGGTCTGGTCAGCTTGAAAATTACAGACACACAGCAAACACATATCATTTAATGATGAGGATATTTGCAGATTGTGAGGAGTTTAAAGCAATGTGGAGGCTGGTTGATGAGATGATTGAGAAAGACTATACAACTACAGCATAAACATTCAACATTTTGATACGCACTTGTGGTGAGGCAGGCCCGGCTAAAAAAGTTGTGGAAAGATTCGTCAAATCAAAGACGTTTAACTATAGGCCATTTAAACACTCATACAATGCAATTTTGCACTCCCTTCTTTTGGTGAAGCAGCACAAGTTGATTGAGTGGGTCTATCAACAGATGTTGATAGATGGTCACTGTGTAGATATTCTAACTTATAATGTTATGATGCATGCAAAATATAGATTGGGGAAATTGGATCAATTTCAGAGACTCCTTGAGGAAATGGGTAGAAGTGGATTCAGTCCAGATTTTCATACTTGAAACATTCTTCTTCATGTCCTTGGTTAGGGAGACAAACCACTTGCAGCTCTTAATCTTTTGAACCACATGAAGGAAGTGGGTTTCGATCTAAGTGTTCTTCACTTCACAACATTGATAGATGGACTGAGCAGGGCTGAAAATCTGGATGCCTGCAAGGCTGTAAGTATTTTTTTGATGAGATGATAAAGCATGAGTGCTTGCCGGATGTTGTTTGTTACACTGTAATGATCATGGGGTATAGGCTGGGGAGCTTGAGAAGGCTCAAGGAGTGTTTGATGAGATGATCACTAATGGGCAGCTTCTGAATGTATTTACATACAATGCTATGATCTGTGGGGTTTGTATGGCAGGAAAGTTAGAGGAAGCATGCTCCATGCTTAAGGATATGGAATCCAGAGGCTGTAATCCAAATTTCACCGTACACAGCACCCTAGTAAGTTATTTGCAAAGTGCTGGAAAGCTTGCCAAAGCTCATGAAGTAATAACACATATGGTGGAGAAGGGGCAGAATGTGCATCTACTTTCAAAGTTCAAGGGATATAGGAGATCTTAAAGTCATAGATTCTGTTATTCTCAGTATTTACTTGCAATCTTATAAGAAGAAACTAATTGATCCAGCTGAGTTAACATTATGTAGCTCCTGGCTATCCAGTCAGACCTTGTACCCACAGTTAAAGAAACTCATTCATCCAGCTAACACGATGCAGCTCCTGGCTATCTCAGTTACACCATGCACCCACACCTTATTCCAGTTGTCTCTGGAGTAAAAAAAAGTGAAGTATGCACAAGTTGTTTGACCTTATTTTTGTAATGCAAACTGATTGACATATAAACTGCAGTTTGTCCGTGTTTCTTCGTTATATTTGCACCTGTGCTATCACTATATTGTTTGTCCATGTTTATGCCAGTATTGTTTTTATGCTCTTGAGAAGTCAAAAGTGCTAACTAGAGACTAGAGTACTAGACTGGTTTCACTTAGTATAATGAAACATACTCCCTTGCTCGCTCCTTCATCTCTCACCACCATTTCACCCACCCATCACCCCTCTCATTCTGCTACACTTCCCATCACCACACCCACCAACCTCACCTCTATTTCTTCTTTCCACATTCCACCATCACTTCACCACCTACCTACCCTTTCTTTCTCTTTCCTTCGCCTCCCACCACCACACTCACCTCTCTTCCTGCTTCAAGGTTTCTTTTTTCTGTTGCTTTTAGTATATTCATTCTAAGGTACATACACACATATACAGTACTATGGGTGCGCCTATGCATAGCCACATACATAAGAACATGTAGTTTCCATTTCACACAGATGCAGATATCACTGGCATTTGTTTGAAAACCATCTTTGGATCATTAACCAAAACAGATTTAGCACAGGGCTTGCAGATACAGAGACAAAAGAAGAAGAAGGGGAACCTGAACCGGAATCAGACTGTTGCAGTGATAACCATACCGGTTGCTCTTAAGATCGCCATTGAGTTTAGAACGAGGAGTTTGTCTCAGTTGCAGGAGAAGACGATGAAAGTCAACATCTTGCAGTGGCATGCTGTTGCTTCATGGACATGGGATGCACAAGATGAAACATGTGGGATTTGCAGGATGGCATTTGATGGTTGTTGTCCTGATTGTAAACTCCCTGGGGATGATTGCCCACTAATTTGGGGTGCATGCAACCATGCGTTCCATCTTCATTGCATCTTAAAATGGGTAAATTCACAGACTTCTCAGGCGCATTGCCCCATGTGCCGCAGGGAGTGGCAATTCAAAGGGTGAGAGAAAAACTGGAATCACTTTTAGGGTTTTCCTGCTTGCTTTCTCTTTCTTCAAGTGCAGGGGTTGCCAATGCAGGCTTGCAATTGTTTGATTATATACTGGTTGATGTAAAGTCAAGCACCTCCTTTGTATTTGTTTTGTATTGGTTGATGTAAACAGTAGCTACAATCATTTATTATATTCCCCAAAACACATTTAGCAAACCATCTCAATTAGATCATTTACTATGCACAATTTAGAATCCCAATCACCAAGGCTTTTAATGATACGACAATGAAGGGCAAGCTCTTCCAGCTTGACTTGGTTTGAGACCTACTCAGCTGTTGTCCTCATCTCAGAGAAAAGTTCTAGATCGGTTTCAGCATTTGAATTGAGAACTAAATTGTGAATCCTAGCAGTGAAGCTGACTTCATTCTTACATCCCAAAGGAAACATTTACAGGCCTAAAAGACCATTCCAAGACTACCCGTCTCTAAAATCTGAACACACACTATATACACTAGCAAAAGGGAAGGAAAAGGGTCCAGCTTATGACCTTTAGAAAGAAATGACATAAAAATTCAGGCCTCATTGAGGGAAACTACTGGCTCTTTACATAAGGAGCTAAGCCTCCTTGTTGACAAATCACAGTCTGATATGTATGCATCAACTATGCCCTATGGTCCCAAATTGTTGAGATGCATATCTCACGCAAAGACAAATTGGGATATATCAATGGAGAACTACCACAACACCCCATACGGACCTGACGTTCAACAAATGGCGAACATAGAATTCAATTGTGAAAGGATTTGTGATCAACTATATGGAGCCAAGATTGATTTGCAATTTTATTCGCTTTCCGACGGCAAAAGCAATATGAGATGCAATTACCACAACTTACTTTGATGACAAATACACCTCTCATGGTATCAGAGCAACTTACTTTGATGTCATTGCTTGGAACAGGCATTCGACGACAAAGTGGTACTGGGAAACAAACACTAGTAACTTTTTTCGTTTTCCAATTTCATTTTCGTTTCGTTTGTTAGGGTTTCTAATTTCACTTTCCAAAAATGCCCTTGATAAATAAACACTCATAACATTTCGTTACAACTCCGATTTGCCTATCGTTTGCTCCTACGCTCTCATGGAATTGAGCTCCTTCACGGTGTAAAGAAAATTCCAAAATAAGTCTTGAAACAAAAGAGCCTCAATATCCAAAGTCAAAATCCTAGGGGCGAATTCATCCAAGTATGCTAAAATTTTGAAATTTAAACGAAAAATGTGGGGCGGGTCGCTACACATTAGACTACGAATTTTAATGTCAAACCCATGTACTTTTTGATTCTTGCGTGTTAGTAAATCAAGTAAAATCATGAATCAATACCGATTTCAGGTAAGTAATCATGTCTTTAAAATTTTAAGGAATTCTCAAGCATCTTCTCTCTTGTTGACAAAGTGGCATTTGAGAAACTGTTTTCCCTTTCCTCTTTGCCTCAAAAGGGTTTATGAAATGATAAATGAGAAGCTACTACCAAATTACAAATTGCATATTCATCTTTTTTTTCTTTTTCTTCCGGGGCTAATCCATCATGCTATCCAAGATCTTGCGGCTGATAATCTTTCTCTAAATATTTTGTAATTGTTGTATGTAATCACCAGTTGGTCCGGTTATATGAAAAGAAATCTACATTAACTTGGTATTATTTTATTATTATCCTACTCTCTTTATGAGGGAGTATATTCCAGTGGTATCTAAGCATAATTGATAAATACCAATATTTTTCCTATTAATTTAGACGGGATTGTAATAAAAGATTACAACCATATGATCTTCTAGCTAATCAAACAAAAAAGGTGCCATCCCTAAACAAATCCCAAACCCTAAAATTCTAAATGCAGAGGTTCGGGATCCCAAAAAAAATGTCATGCTTAATAAAAAAGGAACAAAATAAAAACTGGATCTTAAATTTATATGCTATATGTCACAGTAATTTTTTTCGCCCACTTTTTAATGAGCACGATAGCAAATCAGTAATTTCCATTTTTAATTTTTTGGGTCTGACCATATTTATTTTTCTTGGACTACCCTTTTTCTTTCATTCTCAGGATTTGGTATTTTTACATGAATGCTAAAAATACTAGTAATTTTTTATTAGGTGTATATGCGTACGCAACAGTTATAACCAGAGAAAAATAACAAGGCATAAAATCCAAAATTCCAAATATGCAAATGCAAAACGCCAGAAAGGAAATCCAGCAATTGGGCCCACTGTGGGCCCTTATAACACAATAGGCAGACACATGGCCCATCCCCATTCCGCCGGCCCTTTCCACCCCTCTTCAAAATGCCTCATTTCTATAATTTTCCACTCTCATTTGAAGTGTGTCTCCACCTCAACTCACCACCGCCACTACCACCACCATTCTCACAATCATGCAACAATGCGTCGACGAACTTGTCAACGACATAGGCAACCTTAATCTCGAGTGTTCCACCTCCGCCGCCACCGACACCGACACTGCCATTTCTGTCAAAACCACTTCAAGCCACATCTCATCTGCCTGTAAGCCTCACGCGCGGCCAAGCGATCCATGTTGGGACGCGATCCAAGGCAAGAAGTTCAATGGCACCGGGATCAGCCTTGACGACCTAGGCCTCGTGCGTCGCCTCGGGTGCGGCGACATAGGGAGCGTGTACCTCGTAGAGTTAGAGGGCAGTGATGGGTGCATGTTTGCTGCCAAGGTGATGGACAAGGAGGATTTGGCAAGTAGGAATAAAGGAAATAGGGCAAGGATAGAGAGGGAAATATTAGAAATTTTGGACCATCCTTTTTTGCCCACGCTCTATGGCTGGTTGGAGTCGGACAGATGGTCTTGCTTGTTGACCGAGTTTTGCCCTGGCGGTGACCTCCATGTCCTCCGCCAATGCCAACCGGACAAACGCTTCAGTCGAGCGGCCGTCCGGTGCGTACAATTTGAACATAAATTTGCAATTTAATTATACTACATGATCATATGCGTGACATATATACATATGTGTGTTTGAATTTTCTTTTTCATAAAAAAAAATGTTGATTAAATTTGCAAAATGGTACAATATAAAACGAGTCATAATAAGTGGGGTTCCAATATTTGCTTGAGACTATTGATTATTTTGTGTGGGTTCCATAGCTGGAGACTGGGAAAATCTATGAATGTTGCAACCCCACAATGCTTTTGGTAAGTGCCATGCACTCGATCATGATCATCATGATTCAATGCAAGTTTCTATAATAGGCCTCGATTAGGATAAATTTTTATTAGATTACTTTTTTTGTTTATTGCCTAATTACGCATGGATTAGGATTGATATTGAATTACTCAATTATGTGATATAATTGGTAAAGAATCACCAAATCGATTAGGCCTCATTACTTTGATATGTATGGTTATAAGATCTGTCGAGGATCTTCTTTGTAATTTTACATTAAGTTTTTTGATATAATATTATTTTTTCCAAATTTACAATCTAGTCTTTTTGGTGCTTGAAGATTTTATGCATCTGAAGTGGTTGCTGCTCTAGAGTACCTACACATGATGGGAATAATATACCGTGATCTGAAGCCAGAAAATGTACTCATAAGATCAGACGGTCACATCATGTTGACCGACTTTGATCTCTCATTGAGAAGCAGCACTTCAACATCAACGGCTCAGCTTGTTTCTGATCAAGACCCACAAAACACCGATCGATCCTCTTATTCCACCAAGCAACCACAATTTGGAATATCACCATGCATCCTGCCTAGTTGTATGGTTCCGACGGCATCATGCACGCACCCAAAAGGCAAGCGCAAAAAGAAATCAGGTCACCGTGTGTCCCTCGAGATCGTGGCGGAGCCAATCGACGTCCGATCGATGTCGTTTGTCGGGACCCACGAGTACTTGGCACCGGAGATGGTATTAGGTGAAGGCCATGGCAATGCAGTGGATTGGTGGACTCTAGGCATATTTATATTTGAAATGTTTTACGGTGTCACACCCTTTAAAGGAACGAACCATGACTCAACTCTGGCTAACATTGTGGCCCGGGCCCTTGAGTTCCCAAAGGAGCCTACGGTGTCCGGACACGCTAAAGATTTGATCACGCATCTTTTGATCAAGGACCCCACAAGAAGATTGGGGTCCACAATGGGTGCGACAGCAATCAAGCACCATCCATTTTTTAATGGGGTCAATTGGGCATTATTAAGATGTAACAGACCACCCAACATTCCTCGGCCTGTTGCTCACCGGGACCTTGTGCAAGCCGAGAAAGGTAAGGACACTCCAGTAGAATACTACTAGCAACGAGTTTGTTTAATACAATTGTAATATAGTTTCATGTATATATGTGGTTTTTTTATTTTGGATGCTGTGAAGTTGTTTTCTGGGTTATGTCATTTCAATTCCCTTTTGTAATTGAAGAACTCTAGTCCCTCCATTTGCAGTCATGCAGTACCCTTTCAATTTTCTGGGTCATGTAAAATTGACTTACCGACACCCAAAGTGTTGAAATCTACTTATGTTCTCCAAGAATCGCCCTTCACAAATTCTCTCATCTCACTTCTGAAATGTTGAAATCTACTTAAATTTAATAATATGCATTAAATATTGTTAAGTTGATCAAACAGGTGTTGGAAGTTTGAAAGCAAATTATCCCACATCGGAGGAAACAAATGGTTTTACAGGCATTATAAGCACGATACTTTTACACGAATTAAATAAGATTGGTGGGCTGATGGACTTGGTAGTAAAGGCTACAAATGGTTGGTTTGATTAATAATATTTAATTAATCAAGACTTGGGCCTTGGGTTTCTTATTTTTTGGGTTTCTTATAGCAGAAGTTCAATTAAAACCAGCAGTCTTGATCATTTCGTGTGAATTTGAACATGTATAACTGATACTAACTACTATTTTAAAGGGGTGCAATTGTGTTATAAAACCACAATTCCTAAGCCAGGCGAAATTTTGATTTTAGGACATTGTGAATCCGCAAGCCTCTATCTTCAATAAACGTTAGTGTTCTACACTTAAATTTCTACTTATCCATTTATACAAGTTTGTATTTTTGTTTCTGTCTACACTTATTGCTTCGTGCATTTATATAGTGATCAATATTATAAGTCATTTACTGAATTTCTTCTAACAGCAGGGATATGCCTGTTTTTCCATTTTAGTTAGATTAGCCCTGTCCAATCCTAACCAGGACTAAGTTGAGCCCTGACATGACTCTTGGTGGAAGAGTGGAGACCACTGTTGTCTACCTCTTTGCAACACTTTGAACAACTTGTATTTTTTGTTGTCACTGCAGTAGTACCACCAATTAATGCTGTGACCAAATCTGCATCTATCCATTAAAAGAGGGGGGTGGGAAAGAACCATGAAAAAAAAATCAGAGACTATATTGCTGAGAGACATAAAATTTACATATTGGCTTTGTTTTGATCCCTTCAATCTCTTTCACTGCACTTAAAAAACTGTTACTACATTTTTCTCTACAATGGCTGAGCTATCTCTGGATTGCTATGATGGTGCATCGACGGTGATGGTTCCTCAGCAGCATACAGGTCATGGCCATGAATCAACGGCTGCAGTGAAGTTGCAGAAAGTGTACAGGAGTTATAGAACCCGGCGTAGGCTAGCAGACTCGGCTGTGGTTGCTGAGGAGCTATGGTTGGTGCCCCGTTAATTAATTTTCGTCTAGTCTTCAACATTTTGATATTATTCTAATTCTCTATCTATGGGATTAATGTTTGGATTGGAGGTGGCAAGCTATAGATTATGCAAGGTTGAATCATAGTGCGATTTCGTTCTTCGATTATCGTAAATCTGAAACCGCAGCTTCACGGTGGAGTAGGATCAGCTTATTTGCATCCAAGGCATGTTTGCTTATATTTCATACCACAAACTTTTTATAAAATTAAGGAGAAAAAAAAAGGTTTCATGAATTTGATTATTTTTTTGTAGCTGGGGAAGGGATTATCAAAGGATGCTAAGGCACAAAAGTTAGCTTTCCAACATTGGATCGAAGCAGTAAGCTCGTAATCGATCTAGACTTTAACTCTTCTTGTTGTGCCTTGTATTCATCCTCATCATGAGGCTGGTTGTTGCAGATTGATCCAAGACATCGGTATGGCCATAATCTGAACTATTACTATGATGAGTGGTGTAGAGGTGATGCAGGACAGCCCTTTTTCTACTGGTACAATTTACCGTCTTCATTCTTTCTTTTTTGGTGACTATTTTCTCTGCACACCTTGTAATTATTTCAGTCAAAATCATCGTTCTTGTAATTATTTTCTCTGCAGATGAAGTGATACCTTCTTATTTTTCGGGTGTTGAGTTTTTGGCTTGGTGCAAATAAAAGTTCCCTATTTTTGTAATTACATATCTACTTTTTAGTAAGACATAAGAACATCTGTCCACTGAGGAGGGATATGTGGAAGACAAGCATTCCAGACTACATCAAAACATGAACTTTTACTCAAGGGCTCCCATAAGGGTTACTAAATTACTGTGTTAGCTTTACATCCCATGAAAATAGTATGGATATTTCAAAATCAACTTCGTTAAAAGAAAGACTTGCTAATATACTTGGTAAGATGATTTAGAAAGAAGAACCTCTGCCTTTTGTAGGTTGGACGTTGGAGATGGCAAGGAAGTTGATCTCAAGGATTGTCCAAGATCAAAGCTGCAACAAGAATGCATCAAGTATCTTGGACCGGTACCATACTTCTGTGCTGCATACATATAATAGGATCAATACACGGTCAAAATGCAATCCAATTGTTGCAGAGGCTCGTAGCTCTAATGGTTACGAGCATTTACTCCTATGCCTGAGGTCTCGACTTCAAATCCCACCTACCCCTCCTAGTGTTAGAATCTAATGAAATATCACATTACTGATATAATAATTTCCAGCCACCATCACATTTGTATTTCAATTTCAATTGTTGCCCTGTTTTTTTAAGATATTTGCATCTCCAATTCCCTTTATGAGAACATTTGATTGGGAAATTTATTACTATATACCAGACTTCAGAGAGCCCTCTGAACTCTGCATGAAATAATGTATGCTAACTTGTTCGCATTCATCTTGTGGTGACCTTTCACGCAAATAAGCAAGAGAGGGAACACTTCGAATATATCATTTGTGAAGGGACCTTGGTGCACAAAGGAACAGGACATCTTCTTGATACAAATCAAGGAATGGAAGATTCCAAATGGATTTTCGTGATGAGCACATCGAAGAAACTTTATGCTGGCGAGGTAAGATTTGATATGGACATCAGACCATTGGGGCTGCAGTCTCCTATCTTAATTTGCAGATGACTGATTCTCTTCCTTTTCTTCTTCTTCCCTCAAGAAGAAGAAGGGATTATTTCATCATTCCAGCTTCCTTGCCGGGGGGGCCACCTTGGCTGCTGGAAGACTCAGAGCAGAACATGGAAAGCTCAAGGTATATTAATCATTAATGCATCAACCTGCATGCTCAGTAAAATAGTCTCTGCTTCTTGAAGACATAGTTTACGGATATGGAATATGTATATTTGCAAAGATTTCAGCACCCACTTGGTAAGACACACACACACCACAGAGAAAATATTTGTAGAATTCCTTTCTTTGAGTGTTATTTTAGATCAAGGAAAAGCCTGCAGCTTTTCCAACTGAATTCTGTATGTCCTTTTGATTTCCAGTCTGTATCAGCATACAGCGGACATTACCGTCCAACCAATGAGAACCTTGGCAGCTTCCTCACCTTCCTTAAGGAAAGTGGAGTTGCCCTTGATGGAGTTCAGGTATAGAACTCATCCTATTCAATTTTATTATATCTGTTCCCAGGGTACTCTGCCTACAATATAAAGATTAAGTTGAAACATTCCAGGGGACATAGCTCTTCAGAATTTAAGGAAGAAGGGTTCAAACTGAGACCTTTTAGCTTCCATTAATAATCGAAAACCTGTATAATGTATGGACATTTATCTGTGTTTCTAGCTAGGCTTGTTTCGTCTGAGCTTTAGCCATTTAAGCAGGTACTTTCTCCCATGGAAGACAATGAGAGCTATGGTTTGAGCAAATCAATTCAACCTGGAAGAACATACGGACAAACAAAAGCTGAAAATCCTGAGCTTCATGCTTCCAGGGTGAAAGAAAGCAATCAACAGTCTGAATCATGTACATTTTCAGAAACAAAAAGAATAAGTAGTTACCAAAGAACCATATCCAGAAATCTTTTCAACCTCCGAACAAGTGTCCCTAAGAAAGAAATATTGCAAAGGATCAACTCCAAGAAGGAAGCAAGTTCATGTCAACTAGGAGACCAACTGTCTTTGAAGTGGTCAACAGGAGCAGGCCCCAGGATTGGGTCTGTTGCAGACTACCCTCTGAAGTTAAGGCTACAAGCACTAGAATTTGTAAGCCTCTCGCCTAAGGTTTCCCTCACGGCATCCCCATCGGAACCTCCATCAGGTCTCACATCATTTACAACTTCTTGCAGGATAATGTGACCGGCATTGTAAGTCTGTCTTTCTTAAAGAATGTGACTGTAAAACCACTGCACTCAAGCACAAGAAAACATATGAATAGTACTTTACTGGATTGAACACCCTGGTTTTTCTTTTGAGTTCACACTTGTGCTAGGATACATAGTCTCATGGAAGACAAAGTAAACTCGGAATGTTGTAAAGGAAAAGTACCTCAGAAAACGTTTAACTTCTCTGCTTGAATGAAATTCATTTAGGCTTCATTTAAATGGAAGGATTCCAAATCTATGAATTTAGATGAGATTATGTGATAAAATTGTTTTGTTTAGACTATTGCAATCAACGTATGGCTAGATCTAGAAAATAAGGAAAGGAAAAACACAACTGGATTTCAAATGACTCCTTGCATATAGTCATTTTAAATATACTACACGTAGTTATTTCAAATACATTCAATCCAATGTGATTATTTTGATACATGCGTTATCGGGGATGAGGGTTTTCTCATACACACTATCAAGGTGTCATGGGGGTTTGAATCTAGTGATTATTGATTTTGTACCAAATTTAGCTATGCTGTCAAATCCAAATCCTTTCCTTCAAATCTCTTCATCCAAAACAGAGCATTACATTAGAGTAGAAAACGTTAATGTTTTTAGCTGAGAATGGGTGCTGAAAAAAGCAAATTCTGCATGTGTTAAGGCCGGGACCATCACTGCAGATGACTAAACGTGGTGAAATGAGTGAATGGCTTTGTTCAAACCCTTCAAATAGCATGTGGTTTTCAAACTGAAAGGCTTCAACACTATCAGTGCATTTCATGTCACACCATGATGTTCATTTATTTCCACTAAGGCTTTCAATGAGATTTTTTAATTTTATTTTTTAATACAAGCGATAATCTAAACTACAAGGGAGAGGGGGGGTTTCTCACACACAGAGCCGTTCTATAATATATGCGGACCTAGTTTTAGCCGTTGGATTATTTTGATCTTGCCAACTTCTTTGTACTGACCATTATATACTTGTTTTAGTCTTTGAAAAATATTATGGGGCTTCTTCGGTGGAGCCAAAGCTTTTGCTATTTGTAAATGGAGTGCCTTTTTGAATTTTTTGTATGATGTCAATTCATCCTTTCTTTTGGAAGTCATTGCCGTTCATATTCTTGCCTATTGGATTTTGTCTTCTTTTGCATGAGTGATGGTCATGAACTCGAGCTGTTAAGATATTCTTTAGGCTTCCATCATGTTCTCAATATTGTGCAATTCTTCCTCTGTTAAATTATCCCAATAGTCTTGGTTGTCAGCTTGGTCATCCATGTAATCAGTTAGCTAGTTGTAGAGTACTTCATAGACTTATTTTCTTGCTCTGCTGATCCTGAAATTGGTTGAGTCTTGTGGCTTCTTCATTGGAAATTTAGAGTAAATCTTCATGACTCTGTTTTGATAAAGAAGATGGAGGTGTTCGTCAGTGGCTACTTGGTGAAATGCCATTTGAGCTCCTCTATGTCTTTCTATGTCTTGCTTCGCCGGAGTGATATTTACTGGTTTTAGTTCTGGAATAAACTGCTGGCTGGGAGAGAGAATAATATTATGTCTTGCTCTTTCCGGATATATATTGTCTTCGAACCATTCAGGAGGAATTCTTTTAACTTCTACTAAAATATTTGTCCACAATTTTAAATATTGGAGTAATTGGAATTTTCTTTTCGTTATGCTCTAAATAAACTTCTTTATACTCAGTCATATTCATAAGAGCTGTATATACAGTACTGTAAGATGGAAAAGAAAGAGATAGATGGCTAGTTGGAGAGAGGTACTCTTCTCATAATCTAGTTTCATAAAATGGCTTTTAGGACCTTCTCGAAGGAATTTGAATTTTTCTCTTGTCAAGGCTTGGAGAAAATATCGACTATTGGTATTTTCCTTGACAAATGTGGCTGACACTAGGCTATCTTTATGCTTATAAAAAATTCTCAAGAATACTACAAGATTCTATCATGGATGTTATGATACTATTAGGGGGTTCAATAACCTCCTTTATTCATGCCTATCACCGGCGCAATAGCCTCTTTTCCTTTGTCTTGTATACTCATGCTTTTTTGGTTGGGCACTTCCATTGGTATTAATTGCACTGACAGTATCGAATCATGCTTGAGTAGCTTCAATGAGTGTGAGTATTACTTTTTAAAAACCAACCGTTGGATGAGTGCATGGGGGGTGATGAGCGAGTAGATACAGCAGTTATGATGAGGAGAGTGAAGCAACTCCTAAGTGGGGGTGTGTGGCGTGCACTTGGGTGGGCTAGGTATTAACGTTGGGCTATAAAAGATCAAATCACTTGGGTTATAGCCTAGGTTAGCATTTGCGTAGGTCCGTACTTGAGTCTTTATCCATACAATATATCATGCTGGCTGATATTCATATTTTAGCATGTCCGTATATGGCGGCCACATTATAGAATTTTCTCTCACACACATTACTAAGGTCACATGGCAGTTCGAACTTGAAATCATTGGTTTGCAAGTCAAGACCTATTTCAACTTAGCTAAACCCTGTTGGTTCAATAAGATTCCTAGAAGCCCACATTTTGAGTTAAAATCAACTTCATTTCCTATGAATATTTGGTTGAGCCCTTTGTCATGGGACTTGACAAACGAGCCGGGAGCAGCCTAAAACGGAGCAAAGAAGAGAGTTTCAACAACAGACTTTTTTTTTTGGGAGCAATTCTTGTATTCAAATGTTGACCATGTCTTGCAAATCGCTTGTATTGTTGATAGGACTTGTTCTAATAAGCATAACACCTTGCCCCTGATGCCTTTTCCTCCATGTATTTAAGGTTTTTCTTAACAAAAAAAGTCGCAAGCATTAGTATTTCAATGAAAAACAAAGCCTAAAATAGGATCTTAAAGAATGCACGACACAACACAATGTCTCTCATCAATTTATTTATACAGAAAGTCACACAACTAGTTCAGAGAGAAACATTGTCGCTTACAAACAAGCAAAAGCTGAAAGAGCACTTGATAGTTTACAGGACACCATACCAAGTTCATTACTCTTGGACATATTCAATGACTCATACCACATTAAACAGGGAAAGACTAAGCAGCAGCCACAGCTTCTGCAGGCTTTGCTTCGGGCTCTGCTGATGCTTCTGCAGGCTTTGCTTCAGGCTCTGCTGGTGCTTCTGCTTCCCAATAGGCAGTCTTCTTGCCAGTTTTGGAAATGGTTTGCAGGACTGTCTCGGGTGGTAAATTGCTTTTCACCGTCACTTTCTGTGCATCGAAATCAATGTCATATGATTCTACACCTGATGATAATAAGAAAGAACATGTCCCATCATTATCAAGATAATATGAAATCAACAAAGTATGGACTCTACATTTTGTTAACAGCTAGAAAACTGATTAATAGCAAGATTCCAAATAAGCACTAACTAAATCATCGATTTTTGGAGTACATAATATAGGTGGTACCTATATTCCTCTGCAATTTCTTACTTTCTTGGTTCCAAGGGCCCTACTGCTTATCTAAAACCTAAATCCAGGTGGAGAGCAATATCTCTACCTCAACTTTTTAAATGAGTATTAATAAGGGAATTGGTACACGATTCAAAGCACTAAACCACCTATTGAACAGGAACATTTTCATGGTCTCTCAACCGAAGGTGATGCATACACCCAGCTGTCAAATGTAAGAACAATGACCTACTTCTTTCTTTCTATGTGCTTTTTGGGACACCAAAGCGATAACCAGTGTGTACAGAGGTTCAGCTTCAACATACAACACAAAGATATAGCAAACTTCACAAGATAGTAGCATTGCAAAATTAAAATTAACATTCATGCACACGATTTCGTACTCAATTGCAATATAGAAGTAATTATAAAATGGGTTAAGTCAATGTGTGTCTAGGCAGGCAAATACAAATACAAATCAGGAAATCATCAGTAGTGCATTTGGCATTGTTCAAATACTATTCTTATGATATATTACAAACATTTAAAGAAGCACAGTCTCAGAGAAGAAGAAGAGCAAGACAATGGAACTGCATAAATGAAAGAGCTGTCAACAAACCTTCAAGTTTTCCAAGAACCCTTTTCACAGCACCAACACAGCCTTGGCATGACATACCAACCTTGAGCACAGTAGTCTGCAACAACAACAAAATCCAGGATTTAATAACTGATATTAGAGAAAACAAAGAACCAACAGATGCCCACTTTACATTATCAAACTTATGCTAACATATTGGCACTCTAATGAAAATTACAAACTCTCCAATCACTTTTGGAGATATCCTCCAACTCAAGACATAGTTTCTTTTCTTTCTCTCAATTTATGTAGTTCATTCGAAAATCACATCCCATCCCAAAACAAAATAAAACAAATTGAGACCATCTGGAAGATGCAGAACGCTTTCAAGTGGACCAAATGTTCCTTTATATATCATCAAATCAAACAATTCCTACAAAACCAAGAGACCGTTGAACCAAATAGCTGTGTTTCTTCAATTGCTTTTGGTCAGAATAAAAACCTAACTCAGTGATAAAATTCAATAAGCAAAAGAAAAACTTCAAAATCATTGTAGCCTGGACAAGCTTCAAGCTTCAAGCATCATATTCCTTATGAAAAACTGAGAAATATTTGTTGCACAATCCAAAAATTTTGGTTCAAAAAGTTTTTGCATAATCCCACTGAAATGACATTCTCTACACAAGCTGAAAATACTAATTGTAAACAGAGAGAGAGAGAGAGAGAGAGAGTAAAATTTTAAATTAAACCCAACAATATGTTTCAACAAATTTCTGTACAATCTCAATCAAATTTGACTTAGAGGGACCTGAACTGACATCAAGCACCAAAAATCCCAACCCATATATGAAATTGAAACAAGCAGAAGAAAACCCAAATAACATATTGGTATGAAAGTAAAGGAGAAAAGCTGAGCGAGGTACCTGAGACGCCATCTCTGGGTATATGGATTTCAGGAAAGCTGAGGAAAATTGAGAAATTTGTTGTTGTGGATGGTTCTGCAACTGAAAACCCAGAAGGTCCTTTTATAATAGAATTGAAGTAAAAAAAAATAAGGGAAGGAAAAGGAGTTGAGGGAACGATATGCTGTTGGCGGTGGGTAAGTGGCAACAGGCTCTGGAAAGGTTGACCCGCACCTTTGGATTTATCACCCATGACGTAACGTAAAAGCAATAGCTGTTGTTTTCAGTTACTTTACTTTTATATTTGTTATTTGCCATTCCTTTTCTCCTAATAGTATTTATCATTCACCCCAGAGTTCAATTCCCCCTTTCTTAATATTGCTGGTATAAAATGCTGCTTTTTTCACATTTTAGTACTTTAATTTTGTAACACATTATATGGCAATGCCATATTAGGGATGATAATGGGCTGGTTTGGGGTAGGGTATGACAATACCATCCCCATCCCTCTCTTGTCTTTTGTTTTTTTTTTTTTTTTTTTTTTTTTTTTTTTTTAAATCCCAATCCCCATCCCCATAAGGTGACTACCTCCCAAACTTGCCCGAATCTCCGAATTTTTATTAAAAATATTTATTCAACATTATAATACTTAAATTTCATTTTAAATTATCTTCCAACTTAATTACATTCAATTGAATTATAAAATTTAACTTAACAACTCAAAATAATCTCAGTTCAATTTGACAAAATTAAATAAATATTATATTATATCATAATCATACACGGCTATATTATATTATATATGAATTAAAAATAAATATATTTCTTATTGGGCTGGGTTTGGGGATGACATTAACAATACCTGCCCCCAATTATCCCCTAAAATCTCTCCCCATTAGGGTCGGGGACCTGATGGGAACCCAGCTCGACGGGAATTTATGCCATATCAATTAACTTGGCTCCAACTATATTTTAAAATTTTTTAAATCATTTTGAGAAAAATTTGCATTAATATCATCTAAACTTTTAGGGATGTGTGTGCCTACTTAAACTTCTACTTCCTATTATTAACCACCTGGACTCTTTAAAGTGTTGTAAGTAACTTACCCTATGCTTCAGATTTCATTCATTTTTTCATTAAAACATATCGTGTAGCCTTCAATTTAAGTCTATCTACGTATTAGATTGGATTGGACCAAGTCCATTCTTATGAGTCTCAGCCTTCTAAGTGAGATTTATAAGACACAATATGTTGCAATATTGTCCAATTTAATAACTACAATTCAACATACCAAATAACGGCCATGATACTTATCTAATTTATTAAAATAATTCAATCCAATTCCATCCACCAAACATAGAAGTTGTGGGTTGGCAAAAATAATACATGGGAGTGGTGGATTCTTTTTTGTTTTCCCCAATGTTACCATTCTATTATCACTAAGATTTTTATTTTTATTTTGTTTTTTTTTTTGTACTTTTGCAACTTCCACTTTGATTATTAAAAATATATATTATAAATAAATAAATAAAACTCATGGCAAGAAACACAACTCAAAATTCTGGCGTCCAATCATTTGATGCTAACCATACTAAATATATCGATCCTGAACCACCAATAAGCCACAATTTAAAAATATCTGAGGATAGTTGTTTTTCTTTGTTTGTCTCAACTCTCAACTAGGAAAGGATCTAAAAAACATCACACAAGACTCCATCAATTTGATAGAAACTAGCTATAGCCTCAATATTCCTTTACAACATTAAATGAGCTTGATAATCGACTAACATGAAGTTAATAGGTTATAAATTTGTTTCTATTTTATTAAAAAAAAAATTATAAAAGAGTGATAGTATTTTATTGATAAGATATAGGCTTAAATGTTAAAATGATCCTTGTGTTTTAGTCAATTGGCAAATTTAGTCATTATGTTTTTAATTTGACCAATTTAGTCCCTGTGTTTTACTCCGTTAGCCAATGTTGTCTATTTCGTTAAAGTACTGTTAAAAAATTCATCTAAAATTTTAAAAATTATTAAGTTCTATTTACAAAGCAAACAAATATGAATTAAAATAACAAAATGTTAAAATACACAATCTGGAAACCCGACAGCCTCTATGTTCTCATGCCACCACAACCACCATGAGGAATCCCAACCACCACCCTATTCTCTCTCTCTCTCTCTCTCTCTGTTTTTCAATTGTCGAATCCCAACATGGCAACCAAGTTCTTCAGTTCTTTTCGCTGATTCTTTTGCTCTGCTCCACATTCATTGCAGTAAAGTGCCTCACCTTTTCAATATCATGAGTACAACAATTGGAGGTTTCCTTGATGGGTTATCTCTTGGAGCCATCAAAGAATCGAGCCCTAGCCCAGGTGAGGGGCACAAATTTACGAACCAACAAACCCTTGGAGGGATAAAGAAACCTAGCCCGAGCCCTCCCTTCCCTCCCCACAACTCCTCCATCTCTCTCTCTCTCTACCTTTTTCCATCCCACCCACCCCCACAAAATATGAGTGAAATAAATATTCAACATCAGTATTGGCAGGCAACTGATGGTTATGGTGTTGGGTTGGGTGGCGGCAGGAGCATGAGAGAAGGACAGAGTCTGTTGGTTTTCCAGAATTTCTTTTTTATTTTTTTATTTTGTTATTTGTATTAATATTATAAACTTAACTCAACAATTTGTTTATATTAATTTTTAAATTTTATTGAATTTTTTAAAGGTAATTTAACATAATTGACAATATTGGCTAACAGAGTAAAACACGGGGACTAAATTGACCAAATTGAAAACACAGGGATTAAATTTGCCAAACGTATAAAATACATGGACCATTTTAACATTTAAGCCTAAGATATATAAACAAAAATAAGTACAAAGTAACTAAGATGTCGAATATAGATACAACCCTTCCAATGATCAAAAGCAACAAATTGAATTGATCTGGAGAGGATACGCACAACCCAAAAAATTAATTAAAGTCTCCGAATCAACAACCCAAAGGCACATGTACATAAATGGGGATTCTTTACACCTTAACTTTTTTTTTTTTTTTTTTTTTTTTTTTTTTTTTTTTTGTGATTCTGTATACTATTCATGTTTATATATTCAGCATCCAAAAATGGGGATTCTGTTTTCGAAGAAAAATAAAAAAGAACATATGAATGATTTATTATACTTCAGTTCCAAAAACAAAAAAAAAAAAAAAAAAAAAAAAAAAAAAAAAGATATATGTATTAGTTGGGTTAATTTCAATTTAGTACTTTGAACGCTTACCTTAAAGGCATGTTTGCCCCTACGTTCTCAATTTTAACAATTACATACCCTAAACTTTTCAATTTTTGCAATCTAGTTTAGTGGCTAAGCTTTTTAGTCGATTCCAATATTTAGGGGTCTTGGAGAGAAAATGGTTAGTTGAACAGCTTCTGGAGAGGAACCACCAACTTGGCAGAACAGTACAAGGGATCGTACATGCATCAAGAACTTGCAATACACAGTAAAATAATTATATCCCAACAGTATAAGGGATCAAAGTGCACTAACTAAAGCTTGTGATTAGCCTAGTGATGAATAATGAGTTCGGATTAGAATATGCTCAGGATTCGATTCTCTCAAATGTAACTTTTTTTTATTTTATTTTATAAAAAGAGGTGAAATATAAACAACTAAAAAGAAATCCGGTATGGTGCGGTGTCGCTATTGCCGTTGCTACCCATTAAATAGAATGGCCAACAGGGATACATTTTTTTGTCTATTTGGTGCCCTTGAAAAGAGAATTCATGGCAATTTAGTAAATTAAATAATATACATTTCTGGTTACTTTGTGTAATGTTCTCTTTTTGTTCAATATTACGTTCACATATTTAGCACAATCAACAGTGCAAGCATGAGCGGCGTCCATTAAGAACTTAGTACAAACGTACCAATACCAGAATTCGAACTTTTCCAAAACCTGTACTTTTCCTTCCTTTGTTAGAGAAACCAGAAGGTTGGTGGTTTGGTAGAGCAACCCATAACTATAAACATCTTAAATGGGGCCTTCTTGTTTCTGGTGCCTGGGGTTCTGTCCCTATGTTCCTTGTTGCTGAAAATTTGCATGTCAAGGAAGGAATAGTACTATTTCCATCCAATTACGTTTTATTGTGTTATCCCATCCAATCATATTTTGCATGTGAAATTTTTATTAAGTGTGGCAAAACTTGATTGTTGACATGCAAGTTTTTCTCGTATTTTCATATTTGTAGTGTATTTAGCAACAAAAAATCCTAAACCGAACAACTATTTACCCATAATGTAATTGGTTGAGTATAACAATGTTATCTCCATGACATACAAGTTTTTCTCGTACTTTCGGATTGGTTTGGTGTATTTAGCCAAAAACAAAAACAAAACAAAAACCGTACAACCATTTACCCAAAAAAGTCCTAAACCCTAAAGTGTGTGATTCCGTACCTTAAAACCCCTTAATTAAGGTTTTAACATGTTGTCATATAGCCCATTAACTGTAAAAGGACATGACAAAATCTGTTACATTAATATCACTATCCTATATACTCATAAACGATGTCGTTTTTGAACTTTCACATATTGCTATTTTTTTTTCTTCTAAAAATAAAGATTGTGGCAATGTGTGGTTGTTGTGAAAGTAAGAAAAAGTAACAAAGGATTTGGAAAGCCCACATTTAAATCACAAACAATTAATGCTGTGATTTTTTCACCATCGTGTTTTAAGAATAGGGTATGGTGTGAATTAGTTTAAGTGTATCCACAATTCTTCATAAATTTAGCAAATCTACCAAACCATGCCATGGGAGACTATTTTAACCTAGGTAAAGATTTTTTGAGCTTGCAAAGTTGATTTTTCTTATCAGGAGCTACATTACATCCTGCTTGTAAATTCATGTAGACCTCTTCCTCCAAGTCTCAGTATAATAAGGCATTTTTAATATCGAACTTATGTAGTGGCCAATCTACATTTGCTGCTAGAGGAAGTATGACTCTAATAGTGTTGATCTTGGCTACTAGGGCAAAGGTCTCCTAGTAGTCCACCCCATATCTTTGTGTGTACTTCTTTGCCACCAATCTAGCTTTGTATCTTTCAATGGATCCATATGTTTTAAGTTTCACAGTATCTATCCACCTGAATTCTACCGTCTTCTTTCAGTAAGGTAAATGCACGAGCTCCCATGTAGCCTTCTTCTGGAGCGCTCGCATTTCTTCATTCATGGCTTCTTTCCATTTTGAGTCTTTTAGTGCTTCAGTCACACTATTGGGGACAAATATATCGGCCAACTGCTTCACAAAGTATACACATGATTCAGACAATCTGCGTAGAGATATATAATTATTGATGTGGTATTTCCCTTTAGCTTTAAGATCTACTTCATATTGTACTCAAGGTTTACCACAGTTCTTCCTTTCTAGAAGAGGATATGTAGACTCTGTGCTTTTTGAAATCAAATCATCATGGTATATTTCATTAGTGTTATCAGATTCAGGAGAAGATCGTACCTGAATGACTTCCTCAGCAAGGGATTGGCATGGTACTAGAGATGTAGGCAGGTCTGGAGCAGGCAAAATCTCAAAACATAGTTCAGTTTCCTCAACTTGATTTTGATAGTGTGGAGTTGACAAGTCGTTTTCCATTGGCGATTGGTCATTTTGACACAAAGTCTCAATAAGCGGCAAATGAGGATAAAGTGACTGGTCGGTGGGACAAAGTAACCAGTTGTTTTGACACAGTGCTCCGCCTGTGAAGGAAGACTGAGGGGCAACCGGTCGCTTGGAGGAGTCGACCCAAGACTCCAAGAGTGAAGTCCTCTATCTCACCACACCAAAATGGACTAGAGATGAAGATAAATCAACCTAGAGAACTTAGGTGCTAGTCTTTTTTTAGGCTGGACCAATTTTTGACTAAGAAATGTGATAGGGAGGATGTCTCTCCTACACATCAAAAACCCAAGCTCTCTCTATGGCAGGCCTTGGGAGGGGATGGGCCTCACTTTGGGTCCTTGGATTTGTGGTGTCATACAACACTTATCCTTGGGCCCAATTGATTTTTGGGTATTTTGCATTTTCTTTAAAATCATATTTAGAAACCAAATCAAATTCCTTAGTTGAAGTTAATTCTATAATTAACTCTTGATTATGAATTATAACTTAACCATTAAGTTACACTTATAGTCTTACTATTTGACTCAGTCAATTGCTTTGATCAAACATGTTGATTTTGACTTCGACCGTTGACTTTGATATTTGACTTTGACTATTGACTCCTAATTTCTTTTCTCTTCATTTGTTCCTCCAATAACATTTCTCGGTGTGCGATCTATAGGTTCCTTTTAGCAAGGTAGTGGGTTGACTCAACTTCTCTGAGTTGACTTGTGTATTAAATCTCACTATTTAATTTTTCCTATTAGTGAAGGTCAATTATGATGAAATCTTTTAGGACTTCCATAAATCATAGTAAACGCCTAGCAGCATGTCATGATTATTCGAGCTAAATAGGGTGTAGGGAAGAACTTATTCAAATTGGAATGACTGTGCAATTGAATCATTCTCCAATACAATACTCGTTATTCACATTATTAGATAATGGAATCTAATGTCAATTATCCTAGTATGAATTAGTCATTTATATGATTATCCCGGTAAAATTTGAAGACCTATTTTTCAAATTTTATCCACTACTTTGGCATAGATTTGATCAATCATATCGTTGGAGTATTCTCTCTCCTTACTGAGAGTAAAGATCTTTTGTTATACATTCATTTACCTTCATGACTTTATTGAGAGTCATGATAAAACACGTTTAGGTCATGTCTTCTACAACACAACTGTATAGTGCCTTCAAAGACAAACAATATAGCCACAAGACATCTATGATGTCTCAAGTTTAAGAATTAGTTTGCACCATTGCAATCTACAGTTTTAGTTTGGCATATGAGTAAAGACTTCCAGTATATAACTCATGTATTTGATCACGTTCAATATACTTGTTCCCCGCAAACACCTACATACATATCTTGGTGTCACCACAATCAATAACTTGAGACCTCGTCATTTTCTACATATATGTGTGTACTGGTCTTGGCGGAATATCAATACCTAATTGATACTCCTATGACCAGGAACATATTTAGGATTAGAGATCATGATAAGTCTCGATGTATGCAATCTCAATACATAGTTCTCATGTCTACTTATATGTTCCTAGGACTATGGTTGTTAATTGTTATGATAATAGACCAATTATCATGGTTGAAAACAATTGATCTTGGCCATGAATAACTTAATAAGTTATTACAAAAAATGTCCTTAACAATAATTATCCTATAATTAGTTAGCCTTAAAGACATACTACTAACAGATTTTAGGTTCGGATTGCTTTTTGGTTGCTGGGAAAATAGCAAGAAGGAGGAGGCATTAGTTAGTAGTGGTCGTTGTGGGTGAGGTGGCTGGAGATGGTGGTGGGGGAAGGGGGCTATCGGGAGAGAAAAGAAGGGTTATAATTTTTTTGAGGGTTAATTTCAATTTAGTACACTGAACTCTCACCCTTAAGGCATGTTTGTCCATGCAGTCTCAATTTTAACAATCCAGGCTTTTTAATTTTTTGCAGTATGGTTTTGGCCGTCAAAATTTTCGTTAATTGTTTATGTGGCAGGCCTGGGTCCCCTTGTTTTGCTTCTTTCAATGTCAATTGAAGGGTATTTTAGAGTAATTGGTGTCTTCCCCAAATAATTTTGTTAAAAAACTATGACACATTTTTTGCAAGTTGGGGAGGGAATGCACCAATTGTCCAAAATACCCTTCAACTGACATCAAAGAAGTGAATAGGTGAGACCTAGGTTAGCCACGTAGGGAATTAACGGAAATTTTGACGGCTGAAACCAGATTGCAAAAAATTAAAAAGATTAGGGTACATGATTGTTAAAATTGAGAGTGCATGGACAAACATTCCTTAAGGGTGAGAGTTCAGGGTACTAAAGTGAAATTAACCATTTTTTTAATTTTTAATTTTCATTACTAATTTTCTCATTTAAGTATTTGAAAAATAGGGCCTATATATGCCACATCAGCATTTAACATATTTTCTAATGGTTAAGTTAACATCGGGTACGTCATTGTTAAAATTGAAACCGCAAAAACAAACATGTCTTAAGAGTACAACTGCAGAGTACCAAACTGAAATTAACAACAACAAAAAAACATTTCAGATTTCTTGAAAATTTGAAACGCCGCATGAGAATGCTACTAATATATATGTTTTAAACTTATCGCTAAATGTCACCATCTTAATGTCAACAAACATTATTAATTTGGAGCTTTATTCATTAACTTATTACAGCTTGAAAGCCTTACTTCATTAAGAATCTTTCATAAGTTCTTAATCCAATCTTTATGGGATGATTTGGTTGAATCTTACAGAATCTGTCAGGCCTGAGACCGGAAATCTTATCCAAATGAAGTTAGTTGCCAAATGCTTCAAGACAAAATCTAGCTAGGAAAGTTTTTATTTTTTCATTATATATATATATATATATTTTTTTTTAATTATTAAGAAAACTTCGATCCTAGTCAATGGTAAATTCATTCAAATGAACGGAGTTGGCAAAGGCGTCCCGGCATCCTGATGCACCATGGAAAGTTGATTTTATCATAATCTAGTGTATTGATGCCAACAATTGGATCCAACAATCAGAGAGTCCAAATACATTGAATTCATGAATATTTTCCTACCTACTTGGACTGATGGGTTTCAGCGTTATGATCAAGTGTGTATCTTTGGATTCGGTTGAGCTCTTTTATTTGGCCTTTATATATATGGTGTGAGATTCTCTTTCCAAAGCACGTATAACATTTCGATATGGCCTCAAAGGATGCTTTTTAATAAGATGATAACTTCTTATTATTGACTGTAATAAAGTAATAAGAAGGGTCTTAACTTACATAACAAAGGTCTCAGGTTCTATGACATATTTGTTGTGTGTGTGAGGGAAAAATCCCTACAGTGATCTTAGGTTTGAATTTTCATAACACCTTAATTTGACAGTGTTTGTGCGCGAGAACCTTCGCCCCTTCAGTGGCGCCAACCAAATGCTCATGGCCTGTTTGGGAGTGCTTTTGGACTGACTAAAAGCGATTTTTGACAACCAAAAACACTTTAATTCCTTATGAAAATTTTAATGTTTTTATAACAAAATTGCTTTTGCTAGAAACAATTATGAACATAAGTGCTTTTTAGAGAAGTAGTCCCAAATGGACTCAGTTTAAGGGGGATTAGTTTCATGCTTTTTGTATTATCTAGCTGAATAGCTAGTTAAGCCCAAGGTTCAAGAGAAGGGTCAAATGGCCCATGTGTTTGGCCATTTCCTTTTAGATTTCTTGAGAAGCATGGTTCCAAGTCCATCCAAAGCTAAAGAAGACCCAGGATGTATGTTTCCAAGGTCTAGACCAGATCCACACCTACAAGTCCAAAGTTGACGCCAATAGCTACTACTTGCCAAGAATGGAACATATCCAAAGATGTTACAAGCCCAAGTCTAAATCCTTATCGAGGAGCTCAAGAACAGGAAGAAATGGTTCCGTAATTCAACTTATTTTTTGCTTTTGTTTTTTTCATTTCAATTTTGGCAATCTTGGCCCTGTTATTTAGTTAGGTTTGCAATCACAAATTAACATATGAAATTTGATGTGGTAATATGCAACAACTATATCAGAGTGCTTTTTTATCTCTTTAAAACATGTGAAATCAACTCAAAACATAATATTTTTCATAACAAATTTTTACCTGCAGGACTTTTATTTATTTATTTTAGACGATGGGATATATCTTTAGAAACCGTCATAAAATGTTACAAAAGAACCTGCATGTAGGAACGCAACCTCATTAAACGAGAAATTTTTATATGTTCCGGGTACACCACGTGGTTGGTGTACTATCCAATAGACGGAAGACATTTGAAATTATTGTCTAACTTACTGCATTTCTTTTTATAACATGTGGCGGGCTGCATTGTAAACATTCCATATGTCTTCCGTCTATTGGATGGTACACCAGCCACGTGGTGTACCCGGAACACCCAAAAATTACTCCATTAAAACCTATAGGACTTAAATTTCTAACTAAACAACAGGACTAAAATTGATAAAACTGAAATGATATATAAGAATCAAAGTGGAAAACCAGCCATATACTACAAACACTAAAAAAGTCATTTGGCCCAACGTATACGTAAGGTATTGTGTATTGGCGGTCCTACTAAATATTCATCTCTCTCTCAGATTTGATTCAAACACCCCATGAAAGAAAATCGATGAAAAGGAGAAAGAATAGATTCAATTCCTTGCTATCCATCTAACTGCCACTGAGAATATTATTGATCGCATGGATTCTTTGAAAATGCATGTATCATAAATAATGACGGTGCATTATTGTTCTCACTTGATGTTCAGTGAGAATATTGTTGATCTGATTGAACATCCAATGGCCAGTATTTTAATGCATTGGCGAATTTGTGTAACATTAATAATGCATGGCACATCAAAATTCCCACTTGTATGTACAAAATTTGGCATATTGCCGTGTAAAATACGTATCTACATACATGCATTTCTGCACAAATGATTCTCAAAAGGAATCAACTATTAATAAAATATTTCAATATGGATTCCCTTCCTGATAAAAGCAAAGACATGCATAAAAGGATGAATTTAATAAATTTGTGGCGAATATATGACGCTTGACGCATCCAAATAATGGATGCTTTCTGGCCTTATAATTAAGTGTGTGCATGCTCTGGCTTTTCCTCAATACAACAACATACTAAAAGATAGCAACTACTTTTGCATAGATATTGAAGAGAAGGGAGAGGCATGTCAAGGTCATCAAGTCTCATCACTTTGCAGAGCTCAGAAGCAGCGCCACCACGTCTTGTTCGTGTGGAGCGCAGGCCAAGCTTTGGAAAAAGATTGGAAACCATCGAGGAAGAGGCCGATCAGGGAAGTCACGGTCGCAATTGCAGCGAGAAACAACCGGCATTTGGATCGGGAAGTAAGGCTGAATTTCCGAAACAAAGTCCGGCTCTGGTGGCTCGCTGAACAAGTAATAATACTGTGCAAATAATGCATCAGAAGTATTAAAGTAGTTCAACGTGTATAAATACGAAAATGCTAATGTCAAAGCTAAACTTGTTGCCTATAGAGAGTTACATGCTTACGAGAGGTGATTGTATATTGCTCTAGAAGCAATAGTTTAGCTCTGGAAATAATATATGCCAAATTTTATTATAGTTCTACATTGATTGCATACTGTTGAGAATTTGGATCTGCCCGTCGGGTCCCACTCTAACAACACTGATACTGTCCCCACTTTACCACCCGCCCAATCCATCAGGTGTGGGGTTTTATCACAAAAAGCCTCGGTATTAGTTAGAGTGTGGTAATTCTATTTAAACCCATTTGTTTTCTTTCACTCCACCGATGTGGGATTCCAACACTCCCCCTCACGTGTAATCACACGTGAAGATCCACACATCGGCAATTGAAACTCAGAGGTCGGCTCTCGTTGGGCCCACTTGTTTTCAATGGAACTCAGAGGTCGGCTCTTTTCAAGCTTCGAAGCTTCGTTGACTAAATTTCAGGCTATTTAAACCGATTACTTCAACATATCATTTGTGATATTTTAACTTTATCATCACAAAAGAGATCAAAGATATATACTTGATCTACAAAATATAAGGGGTGATCAAAGATACATCTTGATTTGAAAAATATAAGTGCTTCTTCAATCGTGTACCTGAGGGTCCGAAGATCCTCATTATTGTTCATGCCTTTTTGAGTATCTCCACTCCTTGAGAATGGAGTAGGAAAAGAGAGGAGGCTGAGTCCACACCAATGCCCTGATTGGATATCTGGCTCGTGAGAGGACTTTCAATTTTGAACAAAATTGAAAGTTGGATCAAGTTGAAATGGCAGGAGAGCACGAGCTGAGCCCTGGCGACTTTCTTTTTCTAGCCCGATTTGTGGTTTGCGTAGGCATGCCACTAATAGGGATGAGACCAGCCCAATAGACGTGGTATATGTGATGTAGAATGTTTTGTTCGATAGATTTGCGCTTGTTTTGGACCTCTGATGAAAGCCATTGTGCTCGGGGGGGATGAGTTCTTTTCTATGCCTCAATTAAGAGGACTTCAATATTCTTTCAATTGTGCGTCTATGGCTTTGGCTTGGAAGGTACAAATGATACCTAGCTAAATAGAAAAACCAATGTTGTGGTCAATGTTCCCTTCAAAAACCTAATTCGGGCCCAAGATAACCCTGGATTAGATTAAGACTTAGTTAATTCGGGCACAATGGTATGATTCAGGCCTAAATAAACCCTTGTTTTCTAGCTAAGAAAATCCTATTCGGACCTAAAAACCCTTGTTCTAGGCATGTCCAGCAATGAACAGTTATATTATTCTGGAAAGTAAAGATTCAAATATAAAGTGCGGGAAAGTAAAGTGCAAGAAAGATAAATGATAGGAATGTAATGTACGAGTAAAGTAAATTGCAAAGGACATAAAGTTCCAAAAACTGGAGATTTCTCTATCCATCCTAGGCATGATAACAAGTTAAGACAAATGCTAAAGATTTCTCCATTTAGTTGTTTTAAGGAACAAGTTACAATAATGAAGAGATTGGAGATTTCTCTATCCAATCCTTTACAAGTTTTAGCTGTTTAGAAGGAAGCTAGCCTAATTATTTAACAAAGATCATACCAAGAAGATGACAGAGCAGTAAAAGATAAGCACATGAGCTATCAACTAGTTATCTGGGTAGCAAGTTGGTTGTTTGAAAAGCCTGAAGTTTGTTTAAGTGTTGAAGAGACGTTGCGTCTAATTTTGGAGAAAGAGTCATTGAGTGCTGCTGTTGAGCCTGTACATTTATAAGCAAAAAATTCCAACAATGGCGGTGACGGGTGGAGGATAAAACTTGAGTGTTGTCCAATGTCCGCTGTAGACATGCCCTCGTGAGTTAATCCACAAGCAAGAGAAAAAGTATCTTAGATGAAAATATTGGTTTTAAGGTATGTTCCTTTAATTTGCTATCCTTTTGCAGCTGGAAAACCAATTGGAAGATAGCTCCTTTTGGTTTTGGTGTCAATCAACCATCCTGCTTCCTTGCTGAGAAAAATGGCAGTCAAGTTGCTCTTAATGGTGAAAACCCATTTTCAACAGGTCATGTGAGTCAACCTGGTAACAGCTACCCATTTTCTAACTGTAATGTGGGTCAAGGCTAAGTTACTTCGAGATATGGGCCTTTGAGTGAATTTAAACCACATAGTGGCCCAAACACAAAAACAAAAGCCCTTTTTGTTGGTTTTGAAAGAATGAAAGTGGGCTTGGGTTCAATGTAATTTTAATATTTTAAAAAAAATTAACCAACTTTGGTCCATTTTCCAAATATGGTACAAACAATTATATAATCCAATTCCTCGAACTATAGTTTCTTAAAAATTGGAACAAAAAAGTACTATTAATTTATCTTTTTCACTAGAACTTAAGTTTGTTTACCGTAATTATATAACTAAATTACATTCATTAGTGGACGAACATAGCTCTCTTCAAAGGCGGAGCCAATAAAGGCCCACAAGGGTCAGTAGACCTTTCTGAAATTTCATAAATAACCATGCATTCATTACTATTTACCCTTTGTATTTATTATTAAAATATGACCCTTCTCAGCTTTCCTTTTTTCTTATTTTATTTTATTTTATTTTTATAACTTAATTAAAGAATTACTAACCTAAAAGCTAAAGCAGGCAACCGAATGAGAGATATATGGTAAAATATGAATATGGTTTGAATACTTTGGGTTAGGTTTTATTCTTCTCCATAAGGAAGTATATATAGGAGTTTACATGAGTGCTTTACAAGGAAATAGATACAGTAATCAATTAGGATAGTATCTCCTAATTAATCAAGAAAATAAATCTCCTTGATTAATTAGGAGACTCACGTCAACACTCCTCCTCAAGTTGGTGTATATATGTCACCAATGCCCAACTTGGTAAGTGAGTCAACAGGTTTGGTTCGATCATGTTGAACTAGATTATGGGCAATATAGATAGCTGACTTGTTGTCACAATGCAACTCCATTGGCTTTTCTGGCTTGAAGCCCAATTTTGTCAAGAGTCTTTTGATCCACAATAATTTACAAACTCTTTGAGCCATTCCTCGATACTCTGCTTCTGCACTAAATCGAGAAACCACATTTTGCTTTTTACTCCGCCAAGTGACTAGGTTACCTACCATGAATGTAAAGTAACCAGAAGTAGATCGTCTATCTATAATGGAACCAGCCCAATCAACATCTGTATATCCAAGATCTCCATTTTTTGAGAACATTAATCCTTTCCCAGGGGCTAACTTTCAGTATCTTAAGATTCGATCAACTGCATTCCTATGAGAAACACTAGGCGAATGCATAAACGGACTAACCACACTCACAGCATATTCAATATCTGGTTTTGTGTGTGCCAAGTATATCAACCTTCCAACAAGGCATTGGTACTGTTCCTTATTGGTTGGTTCTTGGTCCATGTCTTCACACAACTTGTGATTCATCTCAATGGGTGTGTCAGCAGGCTTACATCCAAGCATTCCTGTTTCAGTTAGTAGATCCATTACATACTTCCTTTGAGACAGAAATATACCAGTTTTTGACCTTCCTACTTCGATTCCGAGAAAGTACTTCAAATCACCTAAATCCTTCATCTCAAATTCCTGAGACAAATACTTTTGCAACTTCAGTTGCTCTTTTGCGTCGTTTCTAGTTACGATTCTGTCATCTAGATAAACAATAAATGCAGTAAGTTTTCCTTCATCATGCTTCAAGAACATGGTGTGATATGAATACTCTGTGTATATCCAAAATTCTTCATAGATTTAGTAAATCTGCCAAACCATGCCTTGGGAGATTGCTTTAACCCATATAATGACTTTTTGAGCTTGCAAACTTGATTTTTCTTGTCAGGAGCTGAATTACATCCTGGGGGTAAGTCCATATATACTTCTTCTTCCAAGTCTCCATGTAAGAATGCATTTTCGACATCAAACTGATGTAGTGGCCAATCGAGATTTGCTGCTAGAGACAATAGGACTCTAATAGTGTTAATCTTGGCTACTGGGGCAAAGGTCTCCTCGTAGTTTGTCCCATATCTCTGTATGTACCCATTCGCCACCAATCTAACTTTATATCTTTCAACGGATCCATCTGCTTTGAGTTTCACAGTATAAATCCACATGCATCCTAATGTCTTCTTTCCATGAGGTAAGGGCACGAGTTCTCATGTGACATTCTTTTGGAGAGCTCGCATTTCTTCATTCATAGCTTCTTTCTATTTTGGGTCTTCTAGTGTTTCAGTTACATTGTTGGGGATAGATATGTCAGCCAACTACTTCACATAGTGCACACGTGACTCTAATAATCTGCTGAGAGATATATAATTATTGACGGGGTATTTCCCTTTGGCTTTAAGATCTGCTTCATATTGTACTCGAGGTTTGCCACGGTTCTTCCTATTTGGAAACTGATATATAGGCCCTGTGCCTTCTGAAATTAAATCATCATGGGATATTTTATTAGTGTTATTAGTTTTAGGTAAAGATGTTACCTGAATAACTTCCTCAGCAGGTGATTGGTGTGGTACTGGAGCTGAAGTGGGCAAAATCTCATAAAATGGTTATATTTCCTCCCCCTGATTTTGACAGTGGGGAGACAACAGATCGTTTTCTTTTGGCGACCGGTCGCTGTGTGCTAGCGATCGGTCATTTTGAAGCAAGTTCTCAAGAGGGGGCCGGGGGGGGCACCGGTTGCTTTCCACTGGCGACGGGTCATTTTGATGCAGAGTGACGTCTTAGGGAAAAAAATGGAGAATTGAAGCAGTGGCGAATTTTCGATTCTCCTCCTGGGCTGTTGAAAAATATAAGTCATGTTCCCGAAACCCAACATCTATAGAGGTAAAGACCTTATGAATAGGAAGATGATAACACCGGTATCCTTTTTGATGAGGTGCATAGCCAATGAAAACATACTTTTCGGCTCAGGGATCCAATTTGCTTCGTTGGTGATCATGTAAGTGGAAAAATACAACACAGCCGAAAATCCGAGGTTCCAGGTTTGGGGGTGGGAGGTGTTTGGATATGGTGGTGAAGTGTTTGAAGTGGTGTTCGAAAATTTAGGATACTAGAGGGAATCCGATTGATAAGGTATGCTACAGAGACGATGGCTTCGCCCCAAAAGGATTGTGGCATATTGGCACCAAAGAGAGAGGCACGAACAACTTCCAATAAGTGTTTGTTCTTTCTTTCAGCCACCTCATTTTGTTGGGGAGTGTAAGGGCATGAGCGTTGATGTATGATGCCATAATATTTTAAGAACTGGTTAAGATCATGGTTGAGAAATTCTCTGCCATTGTCAGAACGAAGAACCTAAATTTTGGCATAAAACTGAGTCTCCACCATTTGATAAAACTATTGAAACCTGGAACTGACTTCCCCTTTAGTTTTGAGAAGGGAAACCCAAGTCATGCGTGTGCAATCATCTATAAATGTGACAAACCATCGCGCCCCTGCCGGGGTGGCAATTTTTGCAGGTCCCCAAACATCAGAATGAACAAGAGAAAATGGAACCAAACTCTTATTTGAACTTAATGGGAACGGGACACGATGACTCTTAGCTAATTCACACGTATCACACTAGAAGCTGGAAACATCAAGACTGGAAAATAATGATGGAAACAAATTCTGAAGATAATTGAACGAGGCATGCCCAAGACGTTTATGCCATAACCATATTTTGTCTCTCTCCCCCTTAGAATGAGTTCCATTGGTTGTGAAAGCTTGACCAACCTTGACCTCACTATCCGGTGCCTAATCCAAGTAGTAGAGTTTGCCCCGCTGAGTACCACAACCAATCATCTTTCCTGTGAGGATGTCTTGTAAAACACAATGATTCGACCAAAATGTTACAGCGCACCCCATAGTAGTAGTAAGTTGTGCAACAGATAACAAGTTATGGTCCAAAGATGGAACAAGTAATTTAGAATCCAGATGTAAGGAAGTAGAGAGAGATAGAGAGCCCTCCCCAAACACAGAGGAGGGGGTACCATTAGCATTAGACACCACCGACGGAGTGGATGATTTGGGACTAATAAGTTCGCCAGGATCAAATGTCATGTGATCCGTAGCACCCGAGTCGATAATCCATGCGGATTTTTGAGAGGACATATGAAAAGTAGAACCTTTGGTGGTGATGATAGAAGTATGAGTTCGGGTAGCCGAGTCAGCAGGATTGACCGTATGCTTCTGTGAGTTTGCAATAAGGGGGAGAATCGTAGGGGTTCTTGACATCGCAGCGGAAGTAAGATGTGATATGAGAATGTGAGGAATTGTGATTGGAGGAATTTGATTTGAGGAATTTGATGTATGAATTTGATGTAGGAATTGGATTTGAGAGGTATGTGTATAAGATTTGAGGGTATGTGTTTAGGGATTTTGATAAGAGGATTTGAGGGATTTGGATTTGGGGAAAAATATGAGGAATTTGATTTAGGGTTTTGGATTTGAATATGAGAAATTTGAGATAAGGGTTTAGAGGCAACCTAGGATCGATTGCTCTGATACCATGCTAAAATATGAATATGGTTTGAATACTTTGGGTTAGGTTTTATTCTTCTCCATAAGGAGGTATATATAGGAATTTACATAAGTGCTTTACAAGGAAATAGATACAGTAATCAATTAGGAGACAGCTTGATCATATATATTGAGAAAGATTTGTCAACTATATAGAATAAGAAAGTAAATCCCTTAATTAATCAAGCAAATAAATCTCCTTGATTAATTAGGAGACTCACGTCAACAATATATGGATGAATGACAGCTTGATCATATATATTGAGAAAGATACATTTGATATTGTTGATAATTAAGTGATTATGAAAAGATTTCAGGAGATGAAAACTCGTCGAGGACGATTGTGAATGTATTGGAATGACATATGAGTTATTTCTAAAGACTCTGCATTATTAGATATATTTTTCTTGTTATGCAATGATTTTATTTTTTGAGATTGACCGTACTTGATGAATTTTCTGACTCCGTCATTGGCTCTCTTCACACTAGTAAAAAATAACCCTTGCGAGACCAAATTTTGCACGACGAAAAACTATTCGTCGCACAAAGTCACTTTGCGCGACGAAACTCAAAACTTTGTCGCGCAAAACTTTGCACGACCAACTTTTGCTTGATGAAAAACAATTCGTCGTGCAAAGTGACTTTGCATGACAAACTTTGGCGCGACGACAATACATTGTCGCTCAAAGTCTTGCGCGACCAAATTTGCGTAACGAAAAACAATTCGTTGCGCAAAGTGACTTTGCGCGACGACAATACATCGTCGCTCAAAGTGATTTTGCGCGACAAAACAATAAACTTCGTCGCACAAAGTCCTTATAAAAATAAATAAAATAAAAAAATTATTTTTTAAAATTTTTGCATGGCGTAATCCAAACATTTTGTCACCTAAACCAATTTATTTTTGTTTTTTATTTTGTAAGCATAACACTTAAGAATTTAAACGGTATATATATTTTTATTAAGTAGCTTTAAATTTATTATTTTAGATCGGATTGGATTTTTGTTAGAAAAATATATTATTTTTGTTCGGATTGGGTTTTTGTTAGGAAATACATTTTTTAAATTGACGATCGAATTAGTTCATTGTATTCATATAGGGTCAAGGAGTGTAGCTGTAAAAAAATCATCAAAATAGGAGTTAAAATAACCGTTATATTGTGATTTTTCATTTATAACCGTCGAAAAGTTTTGTCCCATTACTTGATCTCTGAATGTTTATTTTTTCCGATTTTTGGCGTATATGATCTTGAAGTATAAACAAACAAGTTTGACGGTTGGATCATTGAAACTAGTTTTGTTGAATGCGTATGCCATCAAAACAATATATTCACTAACAATTAAGAGTTTATTTATATTTGCGTTAAATATAACATAAGATTTTGTGGTATCCACTAGTGTAAATTTTTTAAATTGAAGATCAAATTCAATCATTGTATTCATATAGGGTCAAGGAGTGTAGCTGTAAAAAATCATCAAAATCGGAGTTAAAATAACCATTAAATCATGATTTTTCGTTTATAACCGTCGAAAAGTTTTGTCTCGTTACTTGATCTCTGAATGTTTATTTATTTTTTTAATTTTTGGCGTATATGATCTCGAAATATAAACAAACAAGTTTGACGTTTGGATCATTGAAACTAGTTTCGTAGAATGCGTATTCCATCAAAACAATATATTCACTAACAATTAAGAGTTTATTTATATTTTCGTTAAATATAACATAAGATTTTGTGGTATCCACTAGTGTAAATATTTTAAATTGAAGATCAAATTCAGTCATTGTATTCTTATAGGGTCAAGGAGTGTAGCTGTAAAAAAAATAATCAAAATCGGAGTTAAAATAACCGTTAAATCGTGATTTTTCATTTATAACCATCGAAAATTTTTGTCCCGTTACTAGATCTCTGAATGTTTGTTTTTTGCGATTTTTGGGGTATACGATCTTGAAGTATATACAAACAAGTTTGACGGTTGGATCGTTGAATGGTGTGTGTATATATATATTTATTTATTAAGTAGCTTTAAATTTATTTATTTTGTACGTATAACACTTAAGAAATTGAATAGTATATACATTTATTAAGTTGCTTTAACCTTATTTATATTTTAAATCGTAAAATAAAATAATTTTATTTTTTATTATTCATAACAATTATTTTTATAAATATTGTACTACGAACCAATTTTTCGTCGCTCAAAAGTTTGCGCGACCAACAATTCGTTGCGCAAAACTCTAAAAATTTGGGCGGGTACCAAAAATGGGACGCGGTATTTAAAAAACAAAAAAATTTTAGACTTTGCGCGACCAATATTTTGTGTCGCTCAAAACTTTGCGCGACCAATATTTTGTGTCGCTCAAAACTTTGCGCAATCAATATATATTTTTCGTTGATCAAAAATTCGGGCGGGTACCAAAAATGGACGCGGGAATTTTTTTATATCATTTTTTTAGACTTTGCGCGACCAATATGTATTTTTCGTCACGCAAAAATTTAAAAATTTGGGCGGGTACCAAAAATGGGAAGCGGTAATTTTTTATTTTTATTTTTGACTTTGCGTGACCAATATTCTAATATTTCCAATATTCGTCGCGCAAAACTTTGTGCGACCAACAATATTGTTCGTCGCGCAAAGTGATACGGTTTTTAAAACCAAAATAACTCCACCATTTTCTCAATGTCTTTCTCTACTCCTATTTCTCCCCTCTTTTTCCCTCTCCCCAAATCCCACCCTTTCTCTCACACTCACTCCTCTCACTTAATCTCTCATCATATCTCTCTTCACTATCTCTCACTCTCACTCACTCTCTCATCTCTCACTCTCACTCACTCTCTCATCTCTCTATCACTATCTTCTCTAATTCTCTCACGCTATCTCTCACTCTCACTCACTCTCTCATCTCTCTATCACTATCTTCTCTAATTCTCTCACACTCACTTCTCTCTCTCATTCTCACTCACTCTCAATCTTGCCAAAAGGTATATTCTCTCCAAATTTTAAATTTTTTTCATTAATATGTGTTTTTGGAGTTAGTTTTGAGTTTTTGTAGGGTTTGGGGTTGAGTAAAGGGGAGGGAATGGAGTTTGGGTTGGATTTGTGGTATAACAATTTTAGAGGAGATTATGCCTTTTTTTGTTGTTGGTTATTTGACCATTTTTTGTTTGTAGGGAATCATCGAGACTTTGATGGCTAAAGTTGAGGATTAGGAAGCTATCAAAACATATCATCCGCCACTACCACCACAATACGCTTGTATTAGGATTTTATTATTGTACTTCGTTAATTTATGTGTACATTTTGAATATTATATATATATTTATTGGATAATTTGATCACTATTTTGAATATGTCAATTTAAATTAAAGTAATTAAAAATCATACAATTAAATTAAATTAAATTTAAAAAGTAAAAATTGGAAAAAATTAATATAATTAAATTAATATCAATTTAAATTAAAGTAATGAAAAAAATCATACAATTAAATTAAATTTAAAAAGTAAAAATTCAAAAAAATTCATATAATTAAATTCATATAAAAGAAATAATAAAACAAAAAGTCAAAACCCTTGTGCGACAAAATACTTCGTCGCGCAAATATTTGTGCAATGTTAGTATTCATCGCGGAAAACTCTAAAAATTTGGATAGGTACCAAAAATGGGATGCGGGAATTTTTATTTATTTATCAATTTTTTTAAGACTTTGCGCGACCAAAGTTTTTCGTCGCGCAAAACTTCGCGCGACCAATGTTTTTCGTCGTGCAAAACTTTGCGCAACCAATGAAAAAACTTCGTTGCGCAAAGTCTTTCTTCACGATCTTTGCGCGACGGATTCTGCGCGACGAAGTGTCTGTCGCGTTGAAATTTGTGCAACTACAATGTATTTTGCGCGACGAAATTCTCTTCGTTGCGCGAAGTGTAAAATGTAGTAGTGTCATATGCTTCTAGAAGTTGACTTTCGATAGCTAAAGCTCTAATTATTCTGACGAGCTTTCACTATATGTTCCCAAAAGCTTGATCTTGTCAACAAAGTATTTCATATTCTATTACATGTACTCGAACACATTAAAAAAGTACTTAGCATTGATGGTTGCAAGCTGTATTTTTAAACTCAAATGTAAAAGTCGTACTATTAAAGATATTAAAGCTAGAAGGCAGAGAAGCAACAACAAAAGTTTTTGAAAAAAAAGAAAAAGAAAAAAAGAGTCCTTAAATCATCTCTCCCTGTAATTTCCTGTCTACCACTGCTGAGCTATCCTGAAATCTTGAAATTGGTGAGACAAAACTAGAGCTTCCATATCAGTTGCAAGTGAGATTACCAATTAATGAATCTAATTTGCCTTCATTTCAATTACTGGAATTTTTTGTTTACGTAGATATAGATAATTGACAACCCAAACTGAAACTTGGTTCAATGGAAGGCCGTAAATGTAGGGTTTTCGTGAGTTTGTGTATGAGTTTGTACTATGGATTTGAAATGAACATTTTAATTGCGAGTGGTTTAAGTAGCAACACTTTATTTATTGTTTTATTTATTTTTAATTTATAACAGTATAGCAACTGGAGCCCGTTTATGAATCTTAAATATTTATAGTACGTATTTGAAATTGTATGTGCAACTGGCAACTGCAGTATGAATTTTCTTATTTGGCTGCTAAGCCTTTCTTTAATTGCTAATTGTCAATGAAGATAAATTGATAAATTAAGAACATAAAAATACTAATTAAAGTATTTGTTTGAGTTATATGTGCACATCGCCAACTGCGTCACTGAATGCAAATGGTATATTACATAATTATAACTCTGTTACCCTCCGCACTACTTGTAGCAAACAAAACACAAATAGCAAAGCATCCTCAGCCATATATAGCAGCAGTCTCTATTTGCTCATGCATGTGTGATAGCTTGACTAAGAATGGCAACAAGTGCCGTCTCCGCAGGTACAATTGTTGTGGAAGTCCTTAACAACCGTAACTATGTGGATTGGAGTGTTTATCTTAGAAATTACTTGTTGGCTCAAGACCTTTGGGATGCAGTGAAGGCTACAGATGAAGCTCCTGAAGATGAAGAAAAAGAAGCTAATGATCCGTTCAAGGCTCGGAGAAAGAAGAATGCCATGGCTTTACATACAATCCAAATTTCGTGCGGGCCAGAAGCTTTTGCGCTTATTAGGGACAGCAATTCAGCCAAATTTGCTTGGGATGCTTTGGCAGCAAACTTCAAGACACAAGCATTACTTCCAAGTGATTTGCCTGTTGAATCTGCAACCTCATCAAACAACCCAGGTATATACTTGGTTCTCTTTCTGTAAGAATAAATATGTGGAGAAGAACTTTGTTTTTTATTGGATCAAAAACCGCATATACATGTTAATGTCCACTCCATATATAATTTCTTTACACTTTCTAGCAACATATTCTGGATCTGACACCAAAAAAAACAAAGGAAAAAAAAACACAAAAGCTGCATACATATATCATGCACGGGTACAATTCATTCAAACAATAGAAATAACTGGATTATGTTATCTATCAGAAATAATTAATTAACCAAAACTCATCGCAGGATATGACGAGAGTGTGTGTGAGTATCAGCCGTTCTTCAATGCTGTCAGGAGTGGGGATTGGAATAAAACAAAGGAGCTTCTTACCCTACATCCCAATGCAGCAAGAGCAAAAATTCCGTACTCAAACAAGACAGCTCTTTACATAGCAACAGAATTAGAACACGACAAAATTGTGGAAGAGTTGGTGCAATGGATGCTAGAGGAAGACTTGGAAATAAAATCTTCTGGTTGGACAGCTCTTGCTGTTGCTGCAGATAGAGGAAATATCAAAATAGTTCAATGCATGGTTAGTAAGAGCAAGAAAATACTTAGCATTGCCACTGAGAACAACAATATGACTCCAATTCTCTTGGCCTGTATGAGTGAGCATTGGGATGTTGTTCGTTATCTCTACTCCGTCACTCCACTCGAAGATCTAATGCCTGACAAAGGCCCCTATGGCGCTGGACTTGTTTGCCATTCTATCGGTGTCAAAAAATTTGGTATAAGCTTTTACTTATGACAACGAATTTAATTAATCTTTTATTGAATTATAAAACTTCTTTTCTCTACTACAGATATTGCACAGGAATTAATTAATCGTTGCCCAAAATTGGTCCTTACGAAAGATCCCTTTGGGATATCCCCGATGCATGCATTGGCATTTTTGCCTTCTCTATGCCCAAGTGGAACACGGCTCAAATTTTGGCAACAATGGATCTATAATTGTTAGTATATACTATTTTCTCAAATTTTGGCAACAAGGGATATATAAATTGTTAGTAGTACTTCCAAAGTATTAATTAAGGTTTTCTTTTCTTGAAAGGTATACATATAGAACCTACTCATGCCATGAGTGACATTCATGTTAGTGTTGAAAATGAAGAAGGCAATCGAATGGATCCCACTTGGTCAGGTATATATGCTGCAACTCAAACGTTATCGGACTATTCTCATTTACTAATACATCCAATTTCTTATTTTTAGTCATTTTTCAATAAGAATAGTGGTCAATAGCTAGTATTCAAGAGCAAATGAGAATAGATCATTGCATAGTTTCGAGAAGAAAACAATCCAAGGAAACAAATTTACAATAAAATTGTGTAGAGACTAGAATTAAGGCAACTAGGTGTATAGTGTTGTACGGAAACACTCAGGACCCTGTTATCGACGGACTATACGATGAGCGCTCACAAACCACAAGAAGAATCAAACGCACACACCAAAAAGATAAAGTCCTCTGCATAATCTGAATCCACATAACCCCTGACACACATGCTTTCCTTTGTTGTCTTTCAAATAAAATCTCAAATTTCTTGGCGCCCTTCAAATACCAAAGAGTCCACTTTATTGTATTCCAATGTTGTTTATTTGGATTCGTCATGTATATTGACACTAAACTCACTGCTTAGGCCAAGTCGGGACGAGTTCAAACCATAGCATACATAAGACACCCTAATGCTCTTGCATATGGAATTTTACTCATCTCATCCTTCTTTTCATTAGTACAAAGGCACAGTTGTGCCCTCAATTTAAAGTGTTTCACCAAAGGAGTAGACACAGTCTTACAATCCAACATATTGGATTTTGCAATTACTTTAAATATGTGCTTACCTTGTGACAACCACAATCTTCTTTTTTCTCTATCTCTCCATATCTCCATACATAGGATCTTCTACGCATAACCAAGATCCTTCATGCCAAATTCCCTTCCAAGCATCGTATTCAAATCTTGAATTCTTGACACACGATCAGGATATTATCTACATAAAGCAGCAACAAGATGATCTCCCCATCTTTGAGTACATGAGTGTACACACGACAATCTGATTCACATATTTCATGCCCAATTTTCAGCTTGTAGGAATCAAAGTGCTTGTACCACTACCTTGGAGATTGATTCAGCCGATAACTTTTTTAATCTTTTGGTTTAGGAACCAACTCCCACATGGAGTTCTTGTGTAGAGATTTCATCTCTTCCATCATAGCACCCATCCAACTTTCCCCCTCCTTGCCCTCAATTGATTCTTGGAAGTGGTTGGATATTCTTCACTTATGTTTAAGGTATAGTGGACTGCATCCTTTTCCCTTCCAAATGGTTGAGGAGCTTTAATTGTTCTCTTGGGCCTCGATTGTGCTATAGATGTCGGCTCTCCACCTCAGTGTTAGACTCCACCTCTTTCTGAACATCTTCAGTTGGCTGCTCTTGTGAAGTTTCTCTCATCACTTTCCTCAGTGGTACTTCGACGATTCTCTTTCTTTTCCAACAATATTCTCACTCAACTAAGACTTCTTGATAGTATTCGTAGGCATGGTCTTCTCATCAAACACTATATCCCTGCTGAATTTTTTCTTCATGTTCACCGGATCCCAAAGATTGTACCCTTTAACATCTCTCTGAAAGTTGAGGAATATGCATTCAAGAGGCTTAGGCTTCAACTTGGACGCCTCATCAGTAGGAATAAGAGCGTATGCACTTCATCCAAATATTCGTAAATTAGAATAATCAATTGATTAATTAGACCATACCTATTATGCACACTTGAAATCAAGCAATCTTGATGTCATTGGTTAACCAAATATGAAGCGTAGTTAACCGCCTCTGCCCAAAATAACTCGGGCAATCCTGTATGAATCCTCATATACCTCTTATGCTGAGAAACCTATTCATCCTCTCTCCGATTCCATTATGTTAGGGAGTCTTCTTGATAGTAAAGTGCCTTTTGATACCATCATTCTTTCGAAACCAAGGAACTTGTTATATTTATATTCACCTCCATTATCACTCCTCAGCCTCTGCCTTCCACTCTACAAATTTAGTGAAGACCTCAGATTTCTCCTTCATGAAGTAGACCCAAACCTTCGAAAAAAATTGTCCATGAATTTGATGAAATAGCGAGCTCCATCCTTGAATTTAACTTGTGATGGCCCTTATACATCTAAGTGAATATAATCTAGCACACATGTGCTCTTAATATATATATATATATATATATATATATATATTTTTGCTGCTTGAATACCAACCTTTACTGCTTTCCCATGGTACAATACTTGCAGAAGTCAAGTGTGAAGTGTCCTTGCCTCAAATGCCAACGTTGGGTGCAATCTTCTGAGTCCTTATTGGTAGATATAGATGCTCCACCTATTGATATTGTACCACAAAGTCTATATAGGCAATTAGGTTGAATCTCTCCATTCATAATCATAAGTCAACCCTTTGAGATTATGAGTTTCCCTCTCATGGCTTTGTAAATGTAGCAATTCTTATCAAAAGTACCAATGGAAATTAGCTTCTTGCGCAAACTTGGAATATATCTTACCATCCCCAGTGTCCTAACAATGCCATCATGCATCTTTACCTTGACTGTACAAGTGCCCTCAACTTAACAAATCGAACCACCCCCATCACAACTTCGTTGTCTTCTTCTTTCTCATATGTATCCAACCACGCCATGTTTGAACACATACGATATGAGCACCTGTAATTCAAATTCAGAATCTTCAAAAAGAAATAGGAAGTAAATTAGAATGAGCTTTGCTATTGACACATTAAAGCTCATTGATACTATCTGTAGCCACCCCATTTGTGTCCGCTACCTTCTTCCCTTTGACCAACACTCACAACCGCCATTCTTGGCCTTGGATTTTGATATTCCCCTATTGCCCTTGTTGCCATTATGCTTGTTTGAACGGCCCTTATCTTCGGTTTTCACAACTAAAACTTCACCTTGAAAGCTCTGGCTAACATGTTAAGACATCCAATGGTGGTTAAGAATGCCTTGTACCACCTCCTCAAACTTGAGAGTACTCTTGCTGAATATAAGCATTATTCGAAAGTGTCTATATGATGGAGATAAGGATGTCAGCAACATAAGAACTTATCCTCCCACTCCTCTGAGGTCATGGTTTCTAGCTTGTTCTCGCCTACAAAGACAACATTGAGACCCTAATGGGCTAGGGTGTATTTCATCCTTCTTTGCCATAGTGTGAAGTTCTCTTTGCCAGTGAACGACTTCAACTCAATCTTCGTGTTAGTCGTCTGTGGTTGTTTCGGCTTCTTCTCTTCAACATGCTTTTTGACCGCCATCTCAAACATGCTAGCGCTTTGAAAGCTATAAGAGCACTTGGGCATAGACAAACACCCACTACTAATGATGCGATGATACCATTTGTTGTGGGAAACACTCAAGACCTTATTATCAGATGATAAAGCAAACAAACACTCAACACATGCGCACACACCGAAACGGTAAAGCAAACAAACACTCAACACACGCACACACACCAAAACGATCAAGCAAACAAACAAAGAACACAAGGAATATTTATAAAGATTCAGTGTTGTGCCTATGTCCTATTTAGTGATCACCCTGAGAAATTTAACTAGTAATAAGAACACCTTTGGTTTACAAGAAAACCCCCTTCATTCTTGAGTACCCTAGGTCTTAATTTCTTTCACACCCTTGCTCCAATCCAATTTGATGTCCTTGTGATCTTTCTCAAATTGACCTAGACCCCAAAAGTCCTATTTATATTAATAGGCTTTGGGTAAAACAAGTAATAGGAAAGAAACATCCCTATTAAAAATAAGTTAAAAACCCTGCAGCCACTAGGAATCCCTGCCGAACCCGACCTGCTCCTTGCTTCCTCTACAATCTTGTATCTATAAGGGAGAGCCAAATTCAACATATAGTATCCCGCTCTCAACCAAACTGTAAATTTTTCAAAACTTTGTGTTAATCCCTTACGTTTTAGGTTCTAAAGTAGTTGAAGTTCTAAAGGGTCATTATTGTCGTACAATAATCGACAATGTCAAAAATGATGGAAGTGTCATGTTGTTTTAATGCCAGTCAAAAGGTTATGTGGATCTTGGAGATGTTATCAGTCTCTAGAAATTAACCAAAAATTTGGCTTGTTAAAATTGAGGTAGAGCCCTCCTTAGAAAAAATGGGATTTTGAAATTGTCAACTTTATTTTTTTTTTTTTTTTTTTTTTTTAAATTTTGAAATTTGCCAAGTATCAAAATTCCATTTGATTTGAGGATGAGCTGCTCCTTAGTAATTAGATATTAGAATAGGAATCGATTAATCATATCCTTGGCCATTAACTAATTGATGTTCGCGTTTGTTTATGTTTGAAAATATTCCTTATGAAACTTTTCATGAATTAATTAATACTCTATCATTATATGTAAACACGTGCAACTTTTGTTCTATTTTACATTGTTATATCATACATATTTGGATTTTGAATTTTCATTGCAGTGCTTGGTTTGTTGCAAGGACTGATCTCGAATCTCCTTAAACTTTTGGGTATGCCACATCTTTTCGTTGTTTTTTTTTTTTTTTTTTTTTTTTTTTTTTTTTTTTTTTATATCACAATTTTCTTTACAATTTTTCCAACCTAGGAATCAACCGCATACGTGAAATGAAATTGATCCATGTTCAAACCCTTGAAATTCTAGATCGCATGTGTGAAGTGATGACACATTCAGATGGTAAAGAAATGGAAGATGTACATGAAGCAATTTTCCGAGCTGTTGAACGAGGGATTTTTGAGTTTATTGATCGTGTATTCCAAGCAAGTCCAAATCTTGTGTGGAACTATAATCGAATGAGAAGGAACGCATTTCAATTTGCCATTGAATGTCGTCAAGAAAAAGTTTATACCCTGATTTATAAACTTGATAAAAGAAAAAGAAGTTCGATTGCAAATCTTGTAGATACTTCTAAGAATGGCATGCTACATGTGGCAGGGATGTTATCCCCGTTAGCAAAGTTGGATAATATCTCAGGTGCAGCTTTGCAAATGCAGAGAGAATTGCAATGGTTTAAGGTCAGAATATATCATTCCATATAATTGACAACTATCTTTTCATTTTCTTATGAATTATATGTAGGACCCCTTCTGAAGACCTTTTCTTTTATGTAAAAAGTGAGAATCACAATGTTCTACTTCAATTACCATGAGAGCATTCACAATGGGCTCTCTAAACAACCTCTTTATACAAATTTTAGGGAGAAATTAGAAAAATACAACTTCAACCATACTCCATATTCACCTCATAAAATAAGGAGACCTAAAGGAGCTCCTAAATTTAAGGAGAGAGAAAGAACTCCTAGTGGCTCCTTATAATTTAATGCTGCTTTGGTTTATGCATAGTTTAAACTTTTAATTAATGCTAACTATTTTATTATTATTATTATTTTTTTTTTATAAAGATGGACCAATCATATTGAATTAAAAAATAACTATCGTACTTATGACTCTCTAAACTAAGGAATATGATTGAAGTTCAAATTTTATAGAGAACGCCTAAAACATTGTGTGTTTTTTGCTAATTTGAACGGAAAGATAGAGAGCATGATTATAGATGATCTTAGGTATCAACGCAAGGAAAAAAAAAAGAAAAAAAGAAGCTAAATCGGACATATTGTTTTTCGTAAATATTGAAATGGTTAAACGGTTTCCAATGTTAATAAATATTCATATGGTCATCATGCAAGTCTTCTTGTACCTCTGCCCTTAATGGTTTGAGCTTATCTGGCCTCTCAAAATTCAAAGATTTAAGGGTTTGTAAGAAAAATAGAGCAATATTAATAACACTGAAGTCGCATGAATCTTTTGATCAACAAAATGCAGGAGGTGGAGACTATTACATTTCCCAGGAGCAGAGAAGCTTTAAATGCAGAGGTTTTGGCACCACGTGATGTCTTTACCAAGAACCACAAGGAATTGGTGAAGGAAGGAGAAAGGTGGATGAAAGAAACTGCAACTTCTTGTACATTTGTAGGTGCTCTCATTTTTACCATCATGTTTGCTTCAGCATTCACGGTTCCTGGTGGAATCAACGGACAGACAGGCATTCCCATATTCTTGAGTAAGAAGATATTTATGGTTTTTATAGTTTCTGATGCTATATCGCTCTTTTCTTCCACAACTTCAGTGTTGATGTTCTTGGGAATCCTTACATCACGTTATGCAGAAGATGATTTCCTCAAATCCTTACCAACAAAGATGATAATAGGGCTTTCCACACTATTCTTCTCTATTGCCGCCATGATGGTTGCCTTTTCTTCTGCCCTTTTCATTATGATCCATCAACAATCATGGATTGTTATTCCAATCATATTCCTTGCTACTGTTCCAATCACCTTATTTATTTGGATGCAGTTTCCTCTTCTTGTTGAGATGTTCATTTCTACTTATGGAAGTGGAATATTCGATAGGAAAGTGAAACAATGGACATAAATTATTGGCGGTACGAATGTCTAATATTGTATATTTTTCGTAATGTTGTCACTTCTTAGATGCTTGTATGTATTGTACACACTATATTAAAAACAAAATTTTCAATATCCATTCTATTTGTTCTTGAGAAGATATAATTGAATTCGTGAACCTTTGGCTTGGCTCCTCTCCCCTCCCCACCCCATGTTCCTCCTAGTATAATTTCATTCTTTGTGAAGAAATTAATCATCTTAGAAAGAATTGGGGATCGAGTCTTGAAGTTTTTTTATACAACCGATATTGAGGGAAGGGTTATTTGAATACAGAACTTTGAGTGCAAAGGTAATTGCTCTTAAACACTAGAGCTACAAACCCCTTGCATCGAGCTTGGAAATTATTTGCTTTGCTTTGGGCTCTGCCCCTCACACACAAAAAGATGGTACAACTAAGAATAGGTAAGATATGCCTGTTAATCACAAATACCGTGAAATATTAATCTAATTTCAAGAAATTAGGAAATCAAATAATGTTAATGTATTTAATATGCTACTATGGATTACATGCCTTTGCATTTAGAGATCAGAGATCGTACATTTCCGTGCATATCCTTGACCAGAAACTCTTCATGGGGTTTTTATGGCAACATTTTAGTAAGGCCACATCTAAGCATCTCATATCCAGTTTTCTGGATTGCCAATATTATGGTTTGAAAGTTTTGCTATTTTCTAGTTGGATGAAGTTCTTTTCTTGGTATTAAAAAAAAAGTTTACTGCTTATCTCCCGACACAAAGAAATTTCTTTTAATTCCTCTAATTTCTCTTTGTGTCATGAGCAAACTCATAAATTTTCTTACATTCAAATTGATAAATAAATAAAACTTAAATATTGGATTAAAAAATGAAAAAAAAAATATAATCTTAATAATTAAATCTTGTGAGATTTTGTCCCTTGAAACAGGGTGTGTAGGTCTATTTGTATCTCCTTGTAGATTTTGTGGGCTTTGGTGGTGGTTTTCGATGGCTTTTTGTGGTGAGCTAGAGGCGGCGGCACCACCGCATCCTCCGTAGGCCTCCATGCAATGGCGGAGCCATAAATTTAAGTAAGAGGGGGCACCTTTAAAAATTCAAACACTTTCTTTTATGACAAATCAACCTAGTTTTTAAGAAATCCCTAATTTTATCACTTTTCTCTATTTTTTTTTCTTTACTTTTTGTATGAATAACCTATCACTCTTTTATGATAACAAGATACATGCAATCCAAAAGAAATTTAGACATAAAAATGAAAGAGAAACAAAGAAAATAGAGGCCATTTAAGAATTTGTGAGGAATTTTATAATATTTGTACAATATACTAACATAAAATTGTATGTACAACAATAGTTGAGAGGGGGCCAGTGCCCACCCTGGGCATGCACTGGCCCCGCCAGTGCCTCCATGTATATGTGCGAATTGTGGCTGAGAAAGTCCCCAACAAGTCGGGCTTTATAACGTTGAATCGATCATCTGAGTTCCGTTTTAAATGGAAAACCCACTTATTGGGCAAAACATTCATAGAAGATGTGAGAGGCATGAGGACCCTGGTACCAGCCCGCTTAAGGGAATTAAATTCATCAGCCATAGCTAACCGCCATTCCCTAACTTTATTGGCCTAAGTAAAAACATGTAGGCTCAACAATATCATAAGTAAAAGACAAAGAAATAGCAGGGTGAGGATATTTAGCTCTAGTCACCATAGAATGAGCAGGAGGGTCCCTGACCTGAGGCACAGCAGGAGAAGGTGAGTGTCTGGAGGAACTTTGAGAAACAGTTGCCGTAGATGAGGGTGATGGGAGAGGAAAGGGAAAGATATGGCGATTTGAATCATGTTGGTAGACGAAGAGTGGGCTAAACAGGTTCAGGGAGTGGGGAATGGCCAGATTGAACATGGGGTTTGGAATTAGGCCGAGTGTGCATGGGTTGGTGGGTGAGGCGGTTGCGAGTGGAAGACGAGTAGACTGACTATTGAGCTGGGAGGACAAAGGAAAAGTCTCAGTTATATGGAGAGGTGGCATAGGAACTACCGACGAGTTAGACACCCTCGGAAACGGAGCTGGGAGGACAAAGGAAAAGTCTCAGTTATATGGTCTCGTGAAAAGGAAAAGATTGTTCATCAAACAACATATGACGAGATAAAATCACCTAGTTGGTGGAAAGGTCCATGCACCGATAACCTTGGTGATTAAGAGAATAGCCTAACCAAATGAATTTAGTGGAACGAAATTGAAGCTTATTATGATTGTTAGGTCTCAAATATGGAAAGCAAGCAGAACCAAATGTTTTTAGAAAACCATAATTAGGAAGGTTATTAAATAATTTTTGGTATGGAGAAATAAAATCTAAAGTTTTGGATATATATATAATGAGATAAACAGAAGTGTGCATGGCCTCAACCCAATAGAAAGAAGGCATAGAGGCACGGGCCGATAAAGTAAGGCCTGTGTCCACTATATGATGGTGTTTACGTTCTGCTAACCCATTTTGTTCAGGATGATGTGAAGATGAAAGACGATGTTCAATGCCATGATGAGCCAAAATTTGAGTAAAAGCTCGACTAGTGTATTCCTCTCCCCTCATCAGTTTGTAAAGCCTTAATTTTAATAGAAAACATATTCTTAACAAGGGTTTTGAATTTAACGAAGTGGGAATAAACCTCTTATTTTAATTTCATGGGAAAAATCTCAGAATAGCCTGAAGAAAGTCATCCACAAAAGCACATAATACCGAAAACTAGAAATTAAACTCGTAGAAGCACTCCATACATCAAAATGAATAAGATGAACAAGAGTGTGAGTAAGACAAAGAAGCGGCAAAAGGAAGTTTAACATTTTTTCCCAATGGACAAGAATGACAAACGAAAGTATTAATTTTTTTGTGCCATAAAGAGGAGTGCATTGTTCAAAATTAAAAACTTCAAAATATTTATTTATTTTTTTGTGACGAACGAAAGTATTTATTTTTTCTTTTTAATAGTTTATTTATTTTTCTGCTTTTTTAAAGTATTATTGTGTTGAAAATAAAGCCCCTAATGAAACTAGTACGTGTCTTCAAATTGACATATTTAAGACATTTGGACTTGATTTTTCAATGATTGCAAGAATAGTGTTGAAATCGGGAAAATTAAAATCACAATGACTAAATTTGATTTTGAGCCAAACCCCAGTGACTAAAAATGTAATTCAACCCTTTTATTATTATTTAAAGGGGTCTGTTGGATGAGTGAGAGGTTTGGGAAGCAATGGAAAGAGGATATGAAAGAGGACATGAGGATGAATATGAACATAGTAACATGAGGGGATATGATAAATGTGGACTGCATAGAAATATATATGCAAATCAATTATGACGAGAGATATCCATAATTGTAATATAAATAGTAATTTGAAATGTTGTGCAAAAACACTCCAAGACCTTATCATTGATGGACTACACAACTACCACACACAAACCACGCAAAGATAAAGCACACACACCAACTGAAAAGTAAACAAACAAACAAATAACATAAGAATTTATAAATGTTTGGCGTTGTGCCTACGTCCTCTCAGGTGGTCCCCGAGAAATTCACTAGTAATGAAGACCCCTTTTGCTCTCTCACAAACCCTAGCTCACTTATTTGATGCCTTACTTTTCTCATGTTCTGAAAAACCTATCGCTAAAGTGCCTATTTAGAGTTCATAGGACATAAGTACACGCCTAATAGTAATAGAAGACTTAACCTAGCCCAAATGGTCCCCAACAAGGTAATCCAAAAGTTAGGATAAAATTGGCTCGGTGCACAACTAATATGTTCCAGCATCTGCTGCACACAAGGGCGCAACGACAATCTAATAAACTCATACTTGAAGACATCGGTAAAGATGACCACATGCCTTTTCCTAGGACAACTTAATGATTCGGTAGGCTCTGGTAATCTCAACCCTAGCGAATTTGGGATGTCATGGTTTTGCAGAAGCTCAACCAAACCCCACTAAATTGCGGTTCTTTGGGTTAAGCAAATGGCACCCGTACAATCCCCCCTTCTACAACCACAACGACATTACTAGGCCCACATGTCGTAGATGAAAATTCGACAACCTCCACATGCCCAGAAGTTGAAGCTTCTGACTTATAGCTTGAATGCCGTTCGGGAGGATGCGTGTCATTCATGAGGAAGTCAATGAACTCCCCCATTGCTACATCATTGGCTTGCATCGGCATCCTCATTGGGATTGTTTTTGGTTGCCATGACATCATCAGCAGGCACTTCCAAATTAGCACCCCTGGTAGGACCATCTTCGACTACCATGCCATTGTCAACAGGCACCTTCGAATCGCTACCCTCATCACATTCAGTACCATGCTTATCATCTGATGATTCCTCATCGAATGTAGGGGAACTTTGTTCATATTCTGAATCACTCTGTGATATCTACAAACAAAAACTATGGAAAACTAAGGGTCATGCTTGGATCAAACTAAGGGCTCTAAGGTCTTTAACACCTACGTTTCATGCTCTGAATGGCTGCACGGAAGTCGTCTTCATCGAAAAATAAGTTCGCCATAAATCGGCTCACAAGCTTTCAAATTTTGGCTCAAAACGCAAAAGTTTTATCTCAAATATTGAAGGCTCGTATGGTTCACGTCGGTTCACCGAAGGAAGCCATCATGATGAGCAAGAACCTCTGGTGTGTTCTGCCATGTGGCGTCATGCTTCAATGAATAGCCACCCACGTAGGCACAGAAGTCTAAGCATCAAGTTATTTAGCCTTCGCTCAAGACTTCCATAAGGTGAAAAATCACAAGTCTATGCCTATTCGATACCCCAACAGATTCTTTTTGGCAAACATGAACCCTTCGGAAACTAAAGGCTACCTCGTCTTTCTACTGAACGGCAGGATACAAGTTCCCATAAACCTACAAATGATACTAGGCTTCACACTGCCTATTGTTATGCTACACCTTGCATGATAACTTGACACAGAGACGTGCCTTCTCACTGAACGACACTTACCACTCCATTACCCAAAAGATGCTTCTTACTGTTCTGTAGCACATCCATTAGATTGTAACCCACTCCACGACCAACCTACCGTTTGGTAGCAGATCCTTTTCTGCCCCTCCTTCCAAGCGCCTCCTTGATCAGAAACTTAGAGGACCAAGGAACTACCATCAGCATGAAATAAAAAGCAAAGGACATGCTCATAGTCTTTGCGAAATCACTCTCGGTTAGAATGCTGAAGACAAATGCAAGTCCCTAACCAAGAAGTCCTCTTCTCAATCGGGAACTTAGGTGACTCCTGTTTATATCACATCGAAACGGTCAGTCATTTCAAGACACGTGGAACATGGGACCTACAAGGGGAGCCTGCATAGCCTGGTTATAAGACATTGAGGCCCTTAACAGCCATCAACAACATGTTAGCCTTCGACAACCTAACTTTTTGATCTGGCTAAAGAAGGTGCCTACTAAACAAGGTTGGACACAGACATGTGGTAGCTTCTTAAGCAATGCCCACAGTCCCACATAGAAACTATAACCTAAAGTCCCTCACCTTGAACCTCTATAAATAAGGCACAAGTCCCAAAAAGAAAGGTAATCGTAACATTCCGCTACTTAGCCCTTACTTTGTCCAAATTACTATTCACTTCATCCTTAAGCAAACTTAAGCATTGGAGAGCCTTCGGTCGGTACCCAAAGTCTTATCGATGCTCTGTCTTGTAGATCCACATTTGTCAAAGAGCCCACAAGACTGAAGACATCCTACTTCGAGGTTGGGTCCATAAATGGTCATCTATTTTTGGGCATCAACAACATTAGTTTCCAACATCTTTCTCTCATTGTCAGATAATATAGAACCCTCAAACTGATTAGAAGCTTGTGAACAAAAATTCAAGTTCAAGGTGTTGATGATGTTGGATATTTTCAAGCCGGTAGAATGAAAGATTTCTTCAAAGCATGTATATATAACTACACAATCTTTTAAACTTTATTTGTCCCAAAACTTGTGTGCAAAGGAAATACACAAATATGAAGCCTAGAGTAATTCTATGTGAGTGTCAACATTTTGCATAGCCAAAACAAACCAAAACACACTAAGACATTTTACAAGACTCAAGATGCCAAAAAAACACAAAAGATTCTATTTACAAATCTAATTGACTACTACACCTGTCTTAAACTAACACCACATTAGAGTTTGTGTTGGGCTTTAGCCTTCCTTGTTACCAAAAACCAAAAAACAAAAAAACAAAACAAAAAAAAAGAAAAAAGAACTAACCTTTGTTTGTTGCATGAGAATTTCATGTAGACACCCTCAGGTTTAGCATAATTATAGTGTGACCACAAATAACATCACATAAAAACAAGGTTAAACCCCAGTTGCCGAGAGAGAGAGAGAGATTTGGCTGGGAAATGACGATTCTAATGTTTTGAACATTTGATGTTGGAGACCGCTTACAAATCCTAACACATTTTAAAGATAGGGGGTGTTACTGTAATTTTTCCAAACCTGTGGGGTCTGACTATAATTATGCCAAACGTCAAGGGGTTTAAATGAAATTCTCTCTATTGCAGGCCATTCAAGTATTTCGTTAAGTTTCTGGAAATCCGGTCCCACATTGCTTTACATTGTACAAAAATCTTAACTTCGGTTTGTTTTTTTACCCATTTTCCTCTTTTCCTTTTTATTTTTGCAGAGCTTCCACTGAGTCCTTCGTACTTGCTTGACCACATATCCGTTGATATGTTAGGTTTCAGGTTTAATTTAAAAGAAGAGAAAGCAAAAGAGAGAAAAGCAACTATGAAGAAAAGCAGTACGTGGTCCTGTTAAAGCATAAGCAATCGAAGGGATGATTGGGTTCTTTACAAGTTATTACAAGGATGTTTAAACCTCTCTTAAATTTTTTTTCTTGTAGTGTGCTTGACTCAATAAGAATGGCAGCAAGTAGCATCCTCGCAGGTTCAATTGTTATGGAAGTTCTTCACAAGAATAACTATATGCATTGGAGTGTATTGGTCAAAATTACTTGTTGGCTCAAGACCTTTGGGAGGCAGTGGAGGCTACAGCTGAACCTCCTAAAGGAGAAGACCAAGACTCTGATGATCGGCTCAAGACATGGAGGAAGAAGAATGCGGCAGCTTTACATACAATCCAAATTTCGTGCGGGCCAGAAGCTTTTTCGGTGATTAGAGACATGACTTCAGCCAAGATTGCTTGGGATACTTTGGCAGAAAGGTTAACGCCACAGCCATTACTTCCTTGTAATTCGCCTGTTCAGTCTGCAAACTCATCCAACAACCTAGGTATACTTGATTCTCTTTCTGTGACGAGTAAAGGTGCTGATCATTTAAGGACTAATTAGTTTACTTTTAGTTCCTTTAGGTTTGGTCCCCCTAACTGTATATAAAAGAAATATATATCCTCATGAGAATTACAGGCATCAATATCAAATATATGTGCAGTGCGGAAATTAATTAAAACTTCATTCTATAACAAAACATGCTCCAAAGTCGAGTTGAAGTGAATTTCTACTTTACCTTAAAATAAGTAAGAAAATGTTTTAGTAAGACTTTGCATCACAGATTCACATGTGTGAACAAAGACAATAAAAGCAAAAGCAAGTAGTAGACAATATGCTAACTAAACAAATACTATGACAATATAGCATTCACACATACAAAGACTATGACAAAGACTTTGCATGATATCTTGTTTACTTTTAAAAAATATATATTATTAATAAGACACAATGATATTAAGAAAGCATAATTTTGACTTCGCATCATTTTGTTTACTTAAAAAAAAGTATTAATAACACACAATGATATTAAGAAAACATAATTTAGAAATTAACTGGGAAAAATAGGCATTAAGCTTTGATGTATAATGAAAAGCCTCTTTTAGGTGGTGCTCCCCATCATATATTTAATTTCCCTGTAAATTGAATTGAAGCTATAATTATGATGGTTTGGTTTGATTTGTTAATTGCAATGCAAGTTAATGGAGATAAGGTTGTGGTAGCATATATTTCGGCAACTAATAGGAAGATGACATGTGCACTATGCCAAATTTTACTTTCCGCAACACTACATAGGCATCAGTGAAATTAAAAATCGATGCTATTAGTATATTAGGCATCGATTTTATAAATAATAAGACTAAACGTATATAAAGGCATCAACACAAAAGTTTTGGTTTTTCCTATCGATGCCGTTGATTTATTTAGCATCTATGATATAAATATACTGACGCGTAAAATGGTTTTGCAAAAAACAAATTTAAGCAGTACATTTAGCACCGATGCTAAAAGCATAGTTGACCACTACAGTGATTTTTCGCTAAAAATTTTCAATCCCTCATGAAATTTCAGACTCCCTCTCATATTTTTGGCCAAAAATTAAACTCCCTCTCATATTTTTGGCCAAAAATTAAACTCCCTCTCTTCTCTCTTGCGATACCCACAGTCACCCTTAACCATATCTTGCTATACCCACAGTCACAATCACTCTTTCATCCCTCTCACCTTCAGCATCTCTCTTCTTCACCAATTTCTTCTCTGTGCTCCAACTCTGTCGTCATGTATTCCTAAACCCTAAAAGAGAGAGCCATGGAAGTCCTCCTAGTCGTCGAGAAGAGCCATCGAAGTCCCTTCGTTATCAGCATCCTCTTCCCCAACGGAGTCCTCTTTCTCTTTATCGTTGTCTTCATCGTCTTCCTTCAGGTGAGATTATTTCAGTTAGGGTTTCAATTTATTTGGTAATTTCTCTGATCTTACTCTGTCTTTTTCTGTCTTCAGCTGGATCGTTGTCTATCTGTCTTTCTGTCTAATCTTACTCTGTCTTGTATATTTGAAGCATCAAAAAGAAAAAATTGTAGTCTTCCAGACAAATTTCTCTTTTGCGCATTGTATTTTATCCTAATCATGCTCTTATATTCCTTAGTTTGCCATAGTTTCTTGTGCTTGTCTGCCTATACTCAACTTTTGATTCAGGGTTTACTTGGAGTGGAGTTTTAACCATCCTTGTATAATAGATCTGTACTGTGGAAAAATGTTGAAATGAATTATTGATTTGCATGATGGAAAAGAATTTTTTTTTAATTGATTTCTATGATGGAATTTTGGTGATTTCAAGCTAAGAGAAGATGATTTTTCATAAAGATAGCAAGCACGTTGATGATTTGGTTAATCCACCTACTTGCATGTGTGAAATTAATATATTGCAACTCAGGCGAAAAGAAGTAATATGCTGCGAAAATAAAGTAGAGATATGAAATTATATATACCTGAAATGGAAATATATGAACTCAAGTAACCTCAACTAAGGGCTACCTACAATTTGTTTCTTCTTAAAAAAAGAGGGCTACATATGTCCATTTTCCCAGATAACTTGGGGCCCTCTACATAAATATTTTTGAGATATTTAGTGATATACCCATTCTTAGCACTAATATTATAGATAAACCCTCCATCATTGAATTTCTATAAACAAACCCAAAAAAAAACCCCAAAAATGACAGCTGGCCTTATTGAATTTAATATTGATTATTAAATTACTTTAATGCCCTATTGAGTGTTTTGGGTATTTTTATGAGATTTTGAGGTTGGGCTTGTTTTAAGAAATTTATGGTAGTTTTGTAATTTATAAGAAGTTAAAGCCTCTTTGTTATGTTGTAAATGGGTTTTGGGTGTGTTTATAAAGTTCATTTCATATGGGGTATTTTTATAATTTAGGCCCCTATATTGGGTATATTAGTGAATCTCCCTATTTTTCTGCTTCTTGACCGTGTGTAAAATGTTCTATCAACTATCTCCTAAGTTCATATCCATCTCTCTTGACTACTCTTTTCTCTTTAAGAACTCACTTTATTTCAGTGATTCATGAATCCTTTCTTGGGTCTTTGTTGCATGCTGTCACACTTCTAAGACAGTTCTAACTAGAAGGCTTATTTAAACAATTGACCTTACCGAATTATTTACTGGTCTTTGCCAGATAGAAATGTGGTTATCCAACCTTTTGAACTATGGTAATTTAGACATTAATGGATCATATGTATGTGCGCCTATTTAAGAGTTCTGATCTTTCTCTATATCCTGCTTGTACATATATCGATGTATGCGAAGTTTGGTGGTGCTGTTTAGAATAAGTTATATTCTAGGAAATTTATTTCCTTAATTAATTAAGGGATTTATTTTCCTATTTTTATATAGTTGATAAATCATTATATAATTAGGAGATACTTTCCTAATTATTTACTGTATCTAATTCCTTGTAAAGCACCCTGTAAACTTTTATATATACCTCCTTATGGAGAAAAATAAGATTAACCTAATACATTCAAACCATATTCATATTTTAGCATGGTATCAGAGCAATCGATCCTCGGTTGTTTCTAAACTCTTATCTCAAATTTCTCATATTCAAATCCAAAACCTTAAATCAAATTCCTCATAATTTTTCCCCAAATCGAAATCCCTCAAATCTAAAATCGTAAAATCCTATTATCCAAATCCCTAAACACATACCCTCAAATCTTATACACATACCTCTTAAATCCAATTAATACATCAAATTCATAAATCAAATTCCTCACATCCAATTATTCACCTTCTCATATCAAATCTTACTTCCGCTGCGATATCAGGAACCCCTACGATTCCCCATCTTATTACAAACTCATAGAAGCATGTGGTCCATCTTGTTGACCCGGCTACCCAGACTCCTATTTCTATCACCACCACCAAAGGTTCTACTTTTCATACGTCCTCCACAAACTCCGCATGGATTATCGACTCTGGCGCTACGGATCACATGACATTTGATCCTAGCCAACTTATTAATCGCAAATCATCCAGTCCGTCAGTGGTGTCTAATGCTAATGGTACCCCCTCCCCTGTGGTTGGGAGGGCTCTCTATCTCTCTCTACTTCCCTACATCTAGATTCTGTATTACTTGTTCCATCTTTAGACCATAACTTGTTATTTGTTGCACAACTTACTACTACTTTAGGGTGTACTGTAACATTTTGGCCGACTCATTGTGTTTTTGAGGACATCTTTACAGGAACGACGATTGGTTATGGTACTCAGCGGGGCAAACTCTATTACTTGGATTGGGCACCGGATAGTGAGATCAAGGGTGGTCAAGCTTTCACAACTAGTGGAACTCATCCTGAGGGGGAGAGAGATAAAATTTGGTTATGGCATAAACGTCTTGGGCATGCCTCGTTTGGTTATCTTAAGAAGTTGTTTCCATCACTATTTTCCACTCTTGATGTTTCCAGCTTCCAGTGTGATACGTGTGAATTGGCTAAGAGCCATCGTGTCTCGTTCCCATTAAGTTCAAATAAGAGTTTGGTTCCGTTTTCTCTTATTCATTCTGATGTTTGGGGACCTGCTCAAATTGCTACTCCGGCAGGGGCACGATGGTTTGTCATGTTTATAGATGATTGCACACGCATGACTTGGGTTTCCCTTCTCAAAACTAAAGGGGAAGTCAGTTCCAGGTTTCAACAGTTTTATCAAATGGTGGAGACTCAGTTTCATGCCAGAATTCTGGCTCTTCGTTCTAACAATGGCGGAGAATTTCTCAACCATGATCTTAACCAGTTCTTACAAGATCACGGCATCATACATCAACACTCATGCCCTTACACTCCTCAACAGAATGGTGTGGCTGAAAGAAAGAACAGACACTTATTGGAAGTCGTTCGTGCCTCTCTCTTTGGTGCCAATATGCCACGATCTTTTTGGGGCGAAGCCGTCGTCTCTGCAACATACCTTATCAATCGGATTCCCTCTAGTATCCTAAATTTCCAAACACCACTTCAAACACTTCACCACCATATCCAAATACCTCCCACCCCAAACCTAGAACCCCGGATTTTCGGCTGTGTTGTATTTGTCCACTTACATGATCATCAACGAAGCAAATTGGATCCCCGAGCCGAAAATTGTGTTTTCATTGGGTATGCACTACATCAGAAAGGATACCGGTGTTATCATCCTCCTAGTCAGAAAGTCTATACTTCTATGGATGTTGTGTTCCGGGAAAATGACATATTTTTCAGCTGCACAGGAGGAGCATTGCCACACCAACACTTCTTAAATTTTCAATTTTTTTCCTCCAGAATCGTCCCAGCCTGAAAGGGACCGATCGCATGTTGAAAGTGACCAGTCGCCAATGACTCTGCCTGAAAACGACCGGTCGCAACCTGATAACTACCGGTCGCTTATGACTCTACTAGAAAACGATCGGTCGCAGCTTGGAAGCGATCGCTCGCTCCCCTAAAACTAGCCTCAGCCTGATCTGTCGTCTCCTCGATGTCCAACTGAGGAGGAGGAAATTGATGAGATTTTGCCCACTCCGGAGACTTCTTCAGCTCCAGTACCACACCAATCACTTGCTGAGGATGTTATTCAGGTAACATCTTGTCTTGAAACTGATAACATAATGAAATACAACATGATGATTTGATTTCAGAAGGCACAGAGCCTACATATCAGCTTCCAGAAAGGAAGAACCGTGGCAAACCTCGAGTACAATATGAAGCAGATCTTAAAGCCAAAGGGAAATACCCTATCAATAATTATATATCTCTCAACAGATTATCAGAGCCACGTGTGCACTATGTGAAACAGTTGGCTGACATATCTATCCCCAACAATGTAACTGAAACACTAGAAGACCCCAAATGGAAAGAAGCTATGAATGAAGAAATGCGAGCTCTCCAAAAGAATGTCACATGGGAACTCGTGCCCTTACCTCATGAAAAGAAGACAGTAGGATGCAGGTGGATTTATACTATGAAACTCAAAGTAGATGGATTCGTTGAAAGATATAAAGCTAGATTGGTGGTGAAGGGGTACACACAGAGATATGGGATAGACTACGAGGAGACCTTTGCCTTAGTAGCCAAGATTAACACTATTAGAGTCCTATTGTCTCTAGCAGCAAATCTCGATTGGCCACTACATCAGTTTGATGTCAAAAATGCATTCTTACATGGAGACTTGGAAGAAGAAGTATATATGGACTTACCACCAGGATGTAACATAGCTCGTGACAAGGAGAGTCATGTTTGCAAGCTCAGAAAGTCATTATATGGGTTAAACCAATCCCCTAGGGCATGGTTTGGCGGATTCACTAAATCCATGAAGAGTTTTAGATATATACAGAGTAATGCAGATCACACTTTGTTCTTGAAGCATGATGGAAGAAGACTTACTGCATTGATTGTTTATGTGGATGATATAGTTGTAACTAGAAACGACACAGGAGAGCAACTGAAACTGCAGAAGTATTTGTCTTAGGAATTTGAGATGAAGGATTTATGTGATTTGAAGTACTTTTTAGGAATTGAAGTAGCCAGGTCCACAACTGGTATATTTTTGTCTCAAAGGAAGTATGTATTAGATCTGCTCACTGAAATAGGAATGCTTGGATGCAAACCTGCTGAAACACCCATCGAGATGAATCACAAGTTATGTGAAGACATGGATCAAGAACCAACCAATAAGGAACAGTACCAATGCCTTGTTGGAAGGTTGATATATTTAGCCCACACAAGACCAGATATTGCATATTATGTGAGTGTGGTTAGTCAGTTTATACATTCACCCAGTGTGTCCCATAGGAGTGCAATTGATTGGATCTTAAGATACTTAAGGTCAACACCTAGAAAAGGATTAATGTTCTCAAAAAATAAAGATCTCGAAGTTGTTGGATATACAGATGCTGATTGGGCTAGCTCTATTACTAATAGACGCTCTACTTCAGGTTACTTCACTTTTGTGGAAGGTAACCTAGTCACTTGGCGAAGTAAGAAACAAAATGTGGTTTCTCGGTCTAGTGCTAAAGCAGAGTATCAAGGAATGGCTCACGGAGTTTGTGAATTACTATGGATCAGAAGACTATTGACATAATTGGGTTTCAAGCCAGAAAAGCCAATGGAGTTACATTGTGATAACAAGTCAGCCATTGATATTGCCCATAATCCAGTTCCACATGATCGAACTAAACATGTTGAGGTGGATAGACATTTTATCAAAGAAAAAATTAAGAAGAAGATTATCCGCCTACCATTCATAAGATCTCAATTGACAGATATCTTAACCAAAACTGTATGTGGAAGAGTATTTCATAAGTTGGGCATTGGTGACGTATATGCACCAACTTGAGGAGGAGTGTTGACGTGAGTCTCCTAATTAATCAAGGAAATTTATTTCCTTGATTAATTAAGGGATTTACTTTCCTATTTTTATATACTTGATAAATCATTGTATAATTAGGAGATACTTTCCTAATTCTTTACTGTATCTAATTCCTTGTAAAGCACCCTGTAAACTCTTATATATACCTCCTTATGGAGAAGAATAAAATTAACCTAACACGTTCAAACCATATTCATATTTTAGCACCATTCATATGGTTATCACTTCCCCTCTACAGGATATTAAAGCTACAATTAGTTGTTCAGAGTGGCTTTGTATTGTTGGTGGATCAAGCACTGGAGAGCAACGGGTTAGGTATTGTTTTACATCTCTGGTCAGCTCTGGGAAGTTTTCCAATGTGGATGTGGATGATTTGTCAAGTCATGAAATAAATCTTTCAACTGCTGCTGTACTTTTCTCCAAACTGGATAACATGTTTTTCTGTCTTCAAATGGTTTTGTGGTATCAAGGAGTGAAATCTTATTTGTGTAAGTAGGATTCAAATTATGCTTGACCTGGTTCAAAACTGCCCTGTTCCCTCTCCTACTTGTAACGCTATGTGAATTTTTTTTTAAAAGAAACTTTTTTATAGATACTAATTGGAATGCTCGTCAACATAACATGATTTTGTGAGGTCTCTGTGAGGTCTCTGATTGTTTTCAATCCTGCATTCAGCTGTCACTGGCATAGTTTTAAATTTTGATCACATTTAGCCCTTGATGTTTCAGTATCTGAGTTTGTCACATTTACTTTTGTATATCTTAGAAATCAACGGCAGAAGAGCTTCTTGATAAAGAGATTCCTCTGAAGTTTGTGGAGGTTGATGAAGAACAGTCCAGGCTTCTTGATAAATAATTATTATTGGGTTTTAATTTTTAAAGGCAATTTAGAATTTACATAATTTTTGTCAATTTAATTTGTAGCCTGGTGGAAATTCTGATGGTCTCAAAGGCAGTGATATAGACCCATGTCTATTATTTCATTATGGGATCCCATCGGGGTGTAACATGTTGGCTTATGATCCCATTCAAAAAATACTTGCAGTTTCATCCAAGTGAGTTCTCATAATTTATTTCTTGCACCAAAATAGCCTCATTGGTTTTCATGTTATGTCCAATTTTTAGTGTTCATTTGTATCTATCACTCTCAAGGATGGCAGAATTAAATTATCTGGCAAAGATAACACTCAAGCTCTGCTTGAGTCTGTCAATGCAATACCAAGCAAGTTTTTACAGGTTCTGTATAAAATATCATGTATACTTTCTTCAATTTCCAGCTGTTTTTGTTTGTGTGTGGTAATTTTCATGTAATATTATTTGGTGATATTTGTGTTCAGTTTGTGGAGAACCAAGGCATACTTGTAAATGTGAATTCCAAGAACCATATTGAGGCAAGTTTGATCCACTATGCTTATAATCTCTGAGATTTTCCCAAATTTTGATGAGTGCATGGCTTAGTTTTTAACAAAAGGAATGTGCGTCTCTCTCTCTCTCTCTCTCTCTCTCTCTCTCTCTCTCTCTCTCTCTCTCTTTCTCTCTCTCTCTCTCTCTCTCTCTCTCTCGTATGATTCAGCTATTAGCTCCATTTTCGGTGTGGTATCTCACCCTTATGTTTGCAGGTGTATCTGTTCATTTTGTCCCAAAGGATTGTTGGGTGTTTAGTTGCAGAACCAATAAAAGAAGCACACAAAGTCCTCTCATGTGCAGTCAATAAAAGTTATGAAGGTACTACTACAAATGAAGCAAAACTAACCACTCTCCAATTTGGGTGATAGGACCCGCCCCGAATTTTTCACAAAACCCGAGATGAATCCTGCGGAGACCCCGACATCACACCCGTGCCGGGTTCACTCCTTAAAATGGTAACCTTCTTCTTCAAAAGGAGTAAGGGCATGAGACTTTTTGCTGAAAATTCGGCAGAGTCTCCCCTGTAAATTGAACATTTCCCAAAATTTCCACCTGTAAAAAAAAACATAGTTTTATAACCCAACTGGCAGCACGCACAATAAAATTTCATGCAATTCATCTAATTTGCCTCCGGCCTTCAAATATTTCAAAAAAGAGCTGCCAACAAAGTCTTTAGATAAAAATTTCCTTAAACATGGCAAGAATAAGCTCAAACACACTTATAATTGCCGAAAGCAAAACTCACCACTAACTTTCCCCAATCCAGCAGGCGAGGTTTTAACATGCATCAATTATCATCTATAAATTATCACCATTTATTCCAGGGCCTCAGCCCATTATATCACACACTTTATTCAATAGTACACCTACACAACCCTCCCTTAGCCAACCGGGAGTATGAACAAAAATCTAAACATACCTCGATTTCAAACGAGTTTCAGGACCAACAACAAGGTCCGCATCACACGCAACAAAACACATCATTAGAGTTTAACCCGCGGCTGCGCCTAGTTACTTCAGGCTGCCTACGTACCCTTACTGAGGGATCAAGCCACACGTAGTTCTTTCATATCAACGGTCACATCTCCGATAATATACAATTAATTAAAGCAGAACCAATAAATGCATTTCCAATTTATCACCAATCAATTTCCCACTAAACACAATGAACACATTCTCAAACTCTTCCTTTATATCAAATCAACCTGCAACCATACCCTATGCCAGGCGGATGTTGCCAATCATTACTCCCCAATCCGGGACTCAGACCATTCATAACAATGGAGGGTAATCACAAAGCACAACCTTACGAATCTAAATCCAGAAACAAATCCACGTATAAACATATATAAATAAGCACACCCACCTCTCACCATCATCATGTACCAGGGGAAAACAATCCAATTCAGGGATTGTTTAACTAGACCACATGGAGGAATCCTCAACAACCATGTGGCTAGGGAGCGAGCCATCCAACCGGGAGACTAACTCTCAACCAGCACGTACAGCCGACACAATCAAAGCTTGTACGCCTGAAATACCAGTCCTACGCGCGCAGACTACCCCAAATCCAGGGTCCACAGCAACATCCCCTCACGGATGTCCTGAGTTCTAATAACTCCAAAAGTATCCAATGTTCGTAACCAAATGCAGATCAGGGGAGGTACATATGATGATGTACATCATGTACTAGGGAAAACAATCCAACTGGGGATTGTTTGACTAGTCAACATGGCAGAGCCATTCCTCAATTCACCATGTGACTAGGGAACGAGCCGTCCAACTGGGGGACTAACTCTCAGCCCAGCACGTACGGACGAAGAATCAAGACCCGTACGCCTGTAAACAGTCCTACGTGCGCAGACTACCACCCCTCAGGGTCCACGGCAACATCTCATCAAGGATGCCCCGTATTTCAACATATCCAAACCATATCATAATATTCCCGGCATCTCACAATTCCAGGATCCGTAACCAAGAAAGCCCACACACCCGAAACACGGCACATGTGTGAATAGTAACCAAGGAAGGTACGTATGATGGTGGAGTTCGTAACCCTTATCACAACATTATAAAATGATATTTTCTTCCTTAATTCAATTGTTCCAAACCTCTATACCTTTCGGATATATCATAATTCTAAATCAGATAAAAACACATTGAAACATTAACACTTCCTTTCTAAGGCATCGTATTAAGAAAACATCCGAAGGGCCTGGACAAACTCCGACGGGCCTGGGCAAAAATAAATCAATCTCCGACGGGCTTGGGCAAAATAAATCTCAAACATAAAACCCATAACCGAGGAGGTATTTATTTAAGATAGTGCGTATAGCACTTCAAACTGACAATTTATACTCTTTTCATACCTTTATAAATACATACAAATATATATATATATATATATATATAAATTCTAATATTGTAAGCATCTCAACGACAATTCACAGGGTGGCACTTATAGTGCCCTCAAGCATCTTTAAAAAAATAATAATATATATAAATATAATCCACTATTGCATCAACCTCAACCCCAAGATATAACATCCGATAAACCCCCAATTTATCACCATAAATTGATATCTCAAGACTTGTCACTAGGGTCATTATAATCTTCCTAGGAAGGTAACACTACCTAGGAAGTCTCACGGTCAACCCAGGGTCAAACTACCCAGTCTCAGTCAAACGGGCCCCCCGGGTCCACGACCTTCAAATTCCGATCCGACAGTTCCTCTAGGTCCTACAAGGTCTAGGACACACGTCCTGCAAGTTTGATCCGGATCGGACGGTTACTAAAACCCTAACCCTAGGGTTGGCTTATCCGGAGTATCCGGGACTTCGTTTTACGATCCGTCGAATCCTATACGATCCTGGTAATGCCTAGATCAGCATATTATAATCTCAGGACCATCCAACGGTCCAAACCTAACGAACCCAGAAAATATGCAATATGCGATATCCGTTCGGAACCCTAACGGTATCCAAATTGAAATCCGAGCACACCTACGCGCTCGTGACATCGAGAGGATCGCATTGGGACAAAAATGCCCCTCAACTACAATGCCCATGCGCCGCCACACGCGCCGGCAGCGCGTGGGTGTCCAAAGCGATATCGCATCGCCGGAAAATCTTAGAATCTCGTGCCAAGACTCCTACCCTAGGTAATACACCTAATTTGGAGTCACTTTTGTTCTTGGACATACCCCAAATGATCAATGGAAATGGCCGGAAATTCAATTTGAAAACCGGCCGAAACCTAATTCCAAAATCGAACTACAAACTCTCAAAATTTCTGGAATCCTATCCAACAGGCAGCTAGATCATGAAAAATAGTCGAAAATCCATACCTCATTCGTCCGTTTTGGTGGAGAAATGAGAGAGAACGACGACTTAGAAAATCTGTCAAAATCTGTCCGGAAACAGCTCGGATTTCTTCAATTTCCGGCCAGTACCGGCGATTCCAGCGGCTGAAATTGGTCGGGATGGGAAGAAGGAGACAGCCCGGTTCTTTTAGGTCTGATCTCGAGGCCAGCCGTGGCCTGTAACGGCAGTGGTGGCTCCTTGGAGCCACCGGCTGTGTAAAAAAATAGGAGGGGGCGTGCTGCTCGCGACCAGCAGAGAGAGAGAGAAAGAGGGTTTTCAGATTTTATTAAAAACCCATTTTGACATATTTACGATTATGCCACTGAGGGTATTTTGATCGTATCTCTCTCGTCACAACTCCAATTTGAGCCCACTACGTGTCTACGGACTCATCTCGCCGTGCTCTACGCAACGGTACTGTTGAAATGTCCAAATTCCATTCCCGATCAAAACGTCAACTCTAAACCTCACAAAATATTTTAGGGGCAAAATGGTCCTTTTATCTGAATAAATTAATATTCACCAATTTATTTAGGACCGGGTCGTTACATTGGGGATATCAGATTTCAAAGGGAAGTCATGAGAAAAGTCCCTTCTGTTCCTGAAGCTTTGAATGAGAATCTCAACGGTGCTATATTTTGTGAAGAGGAAGCAGTGCCTGTTGTCTGTGGCATCCGAGCCATTTGGGTCACTCAAGCTAACAGAAGAAAACACATAGCCACCCAGTTACTGGATGCCCTGAGGTAACTTCAACTCCTTGGTATTATTTCCTCTGGCTTTTCTTTTGGTGGGGAGTTTCTTTATATTCTCATCAAATGGAAACCAAATGTATGATATGGTAATGTTGTGGTTTAGATCCCAACCTGCAAGCGAAATCATGTCAGCTAACTGTAAGTAGATTTTAGCACAATAACTTGTCCAAGTTTCTTAAACAAAATATGAGTTCTTTTTGCTGGACAATTGACACTGAATATCTTGCTTTTGTTGATATTTGTTTGATTAACATTTTGCTATTTTCTTACACTTTTTCTCTCATAGGAAAAGTTTCTGCATGGGATTTGTCCTTGAACACTCTCAATTGGCATTCTCTCAACCAACATCAGCTGGAAAGGCTTTGGCATCCAATTATATTGGTGGTGGATATTTTTTGGTGTACAAAACCAACAATCTTAAAGGTCCAGATTCTATATAAATAAATCTTCATTACAATTCACATGCTTGTTCAATTATAAAAGTACGAAATTAAACTTATTCCAATTTTTCATCTTTTTTTTTAACGGAATTGAACCAAGGACCTAGATTGCAGGGGTAAATGCTTGGTCAAGCTAGATAAAAAAATGATTTCTCCCTCTTTGAACAGTTCAAAAACAGAATGAATAATTCATAATAATAAAACCAGATTACTTTTAATAGTGTATATTTAATGATTAGATGACAGGCAGAGAAGGCTACACTCAGAAAACTGTTTGCTACAAAACTTTATCTCAATTGTTGGTCCTCAAGAATCAAGACCATTTCAGTTCTTGTTGCCCACGTTGGAAGGCCATAAGCTCTGTTTCTGAGGTACCTATATGCTTTTTTGTTGTTTGGTCTCTAAGAAAACTGAGCAAAAACAAAAAGGAAGCAAATTGGATGGTTTTGGTTGTATCATTTCGCTTTCTTTGTTTGAATCCTGATTATGAGAGTCTGGCAATTGTGTTTCAGGTCAAAATGCTCAAGCTTTTGAAGCAGAAGTTTATCATGCATGGGAGTTAAGTAGTATTGGATATTATTGAGGTAAGATCATGAACTTGAATTCTTTAACTTTTATGTGCTTAGTTTGTGACTATCGGTGGTTCCTCTTCGTTTAGCTAATAACTTGTAATGATGGAGCCGGTTGCTCTTATTAGTAGTAATAAATTGGAAGGAGGTGAATGGATATCAAAATTTTCTGATGTGCTAGTTTGTTCAATTTTAATTTCAACAGAAACTTGCCTTTTCTGAGTGTTTCATTGGTATTTTTGTTTTTCTTTAGCTTCTTGTTAAAGATTTCTATATAGTTTTTCTTAATCTTATATGGTCTTTTCATTTAATTTCAGTATTGGAGAAGTGGGAAAAAGAAGGCATTTTACACCCAAATGGAATTGGACGAGGTTAGAGATGAATGGGCAAGTCATGTGCTAGACTCAATTTGAGTTTGAACATAATTCTCCTTGTTTTGGTAGTATTTTGCTTATTTATGTATGGATGATGTATGGATTTTGGTTTACTGGCAGAACTCATAAGTTTACATATATAGGAATGTTTTTTTTATGTTGCAATGGCATATATATGAAATGGATGAGATGCCTCTTATTTTGAGACAGAAACTAAGTAAAATATGATGTGAAATATGGAAATTGCTTACACTTTATTAGTAACAACGATGTCTATTGTGTATAACAACCTTAGTTTTGCCATAACAACTGAAGTTAAAAATTAAAAACAATATCAGCACTCTGTGGGAATTGAAGCCTATAATCCGAAGGGTCAATAATATTTGTAGAAAGTCAAACTATTTGTTGGCTTTTCACTTTAGCATAAGTACAAAACACGAATGCGTAAACCATAATTTGCAACAGCAGTGGCATCTTTTCTGAAGTAGTAAGTCAGAACATGCTTTAGTATAATCAAAACCCTTCATGCTGTAATGAGTATTTAGCATCACTGCTGATATATTCCCTGATGCTATTAAAGGTTTAGGCATCGGAGGTGAACGCTCTTTTGGCATGATAAGTTCATAATTTCATACATTCGCATGCCTTCTTTACTTAGTGACTTTACTTAGTTTCTCTTTATTTTTAGTCACTTACCTCTTTTTGTTTGTTTTGTAGGTTAAGACAGCAAGAGATCACATTTGATGCAATCCATGCTTGTTAAGGGTTGATTGGGATAAGAGGAATATGAGCTTAAAGACAAACCCAATTTGAGCCACACTCCTTGTCAGTCCAGTTTCGTAGGTCATCTTGCAGGCCTCATTTCAACAACTTACACAGGTCGGATGAGGAGACATCCTTGATAGAAGTTGTTCCAATGGGTGTCTATTATAACATATCCAAATTTCAGCCCAATTGGATAAATTTAGAGCCCTCAGCATGTCAATGACTGAACCAAGTCACAGAAATGTCATGTTGGCTGCCATCACATTTAATGTGGCTACATCCCTAGAGCCATGTGCTACACATGGGCAGCCACACATGGGAGTCAAATCAGCTCAGGAACTCAGAAGGATGAACAAAAGTCAAGCTTCCCATAAAAAAAACCATACCAAAACATGTATTTGGCAGCTGGAGCAGTTGGCAAGTATGGGCAGCTGGAGCAGTTGGGAGCAGCTAAGAGAGGTGTGCTGCACCAGCCAAAAGGGAGGACGAAATTGCACTCTATAAATAGAGAGCTGCACACTCATTCAAGAGAGGGCAGACACACACATTCACTTCATCCATTACTCTCATACACACATTCAGATTCACCAAAAAGATAGAAGGGAGCTTGGAGCTGTCTTGGGAACTACATTGCTGCCAGCTAGTTCTTCTCTTTTCTTTATCCTATCTATGTATTTCTTATTTTCTGTATTCATAGTTATGTTTAACTAATCCATTTAGTTAGGGCTTAGGATGAAGCCCTAGTCATGAATATTCAATGTTATGAATGATTTTATAGTTAATTGATTTCCTTGCTTTTATTATCAAGTTGTTAATCTCCAGTTTATTATGTGCTTGATGTATGTTTTCTTGGAGTAACTAACTAGGATTTTATGCATCTAGCACAGGTTGGGAAGGGGTTTAGATTCACCAATTCTACTCTCCTTTCACAAGCAACACATGAATGGCCTAAGAATCATTCAAGGGGTTAATAACCATAGGTTGACTAGGACAGATACCATGTTCTAGGACTTGTGTGATTATCATATTCTCAAGGAGCTTAATGACTCTTGTATGCTTTATTCTAAGTAGATACCATGCTTAGGTTGCATATTAGAGATCACGTGTTGTGTAGATACCATGCACAATCACATGCCTTAGGAGAATCATGCATCCTTCACCTAGATACCATAGGCTTGTATGCGATAATCTATTGTTGATGAAGCTTGAGTCAATTTCTATGCATTCATAACTTGGATAGGAAAACTAGTGGTGGATTCCAGGGCTCTAACACCTCTCAATTATTGTTTCACAATTTGTTAATTGCAGCCAGTGTTTACTTTCGAGCACTTTCATTTCACTTTCTTCTTTTCATTTTAACAACAAAACCCCCCATTTCGAGTGCATGTATGGTGCTAGGATTCTGTCCTAGACCTTGAGTAATTAGCAAGAGGCATTGTTGAATTCGACCTTGCATTTAGCTAGTTAGTCAGTTTCTTTGTTCTATGTTTTTCTAGCATTCTAAGTAATTTAACTTGGAACCAAGTTACCATTCTCCGTGAGATCGACCTCGTATTTACATAAGCTATACTATAAATGGTTCGTGCACTTGCGAGAATTAAAGTTGCTGTTTTTAATAACTCATTTTAGTTGTTAAGGATAGGCTCAACAAGTGTTTGGCCCCGTTGCCGGGGAACCGGTAACGATGGTGCTATAGTTAGATTAATTTGATTGTTTTGTTTTTGTTTGTTTCATTTGTTTCTTTTCGTTGGTTTTTCTTTTAGTATTCAGTTTTTGTATTTAGTTGTTATCTCCATTGAAAGCAATGAATTGAGTTCCTTGGTGTGTGCATGTCTGAATCTGACCAGGAGCAAAGTTCACCTGAGCCACTTTCACCAAGAACCGCTGATATACGTGCTAGTTTGAGGAGGAATTATTGTTCTTCAAGCGCTGATTCTAAAAGTTACGAATCTGAAGGTTCAAGCACGATGGTAGAGATTCCGAACAACAACAATAATGTTGAAGGAGGTGGTGTGCTTGTTGTCCAACCTCGAAAACCCCTGCGTGAGTTTTCTATTCCCAAAGTCATCGATCAACCTTCGTGCATTGTCTATCCTCAACTCACAATTGATAGGTTTGAGCTTAAAAGTGGTATGATTCATCTTCTTCCAACTTATTATGGTAATACCACTGAGGATCCTTACATGCATATTAAGAAATTCTTTGAAATATGTGCTACGATCAAAATTGAAGGCCTTGATGATAAGCATATTAAGATGAGGCTATTCCCATTCAGTTTAAAAGACAAAGCTAAGTCATGGTTATACTCTTTGCCTAATGCTTCAATTCATACTTAGGATGAGCTTTCTAATAAGTTTTTGCAGAAATTCTTTCCGGCTCGAAAGACTAACAAGATTAGAAAGGAAATCCTTGGTTTCACACAAAAGGAAGGAGAAGCTTTTCATGAATGTTGGGAGAGGTACAAGGAGATGATAAGTTCTTGCCCATACCACAACATAGAGAGTTGGATGCAAATGCAATCTTTCTATGAAGGTTTGCTTGATTCCGAAAGGATGATGGTAGATGCAACAAGTGGAGAAGGACTGATGAACAAAACAGCAGATGAGGCTTTTACTCTCTTTGAAACCTTGAGTGCTAACTCTCAACAATGGAGCCACAATAAAGGAAGAGAAGCTCCTATGAAAGCTGTGGTCTCTGAGGTAAGTACTAATAATGAGATTGCTGCAAAACTTGATGTTATGTGTTCTTTGCTTCAACAGGCAGTGACTGGCTCTCCAGGAAACAAAGTGGAAGTTCAAGATCAATCTTTTGCAGAGCACATGCTAGAACAAGCAAATGCCCTTCAAGCAAGGAATCCTAATAATGATCCTTACTCAAACACATACAATCCGGGGTGGAGAAATCATCATAATTTCAAGTGGAGCAATAACTCAAATATGCAACAATCTCAAGGACCTCCCCCAGGATTCCAAACACAACAAAGACAATTCTATCAAGCTCCCCAACAAGTGCAAGAGCAAAGGGGTGATCAAATGGGAGAATTGCAAGACATGTTCAAGAAGTTCATGGGGCAACAGATGCAAACGAATCAAAATCTTCAAAATGCAGTGAACAAACTAGAAGTGCAAGTTGGGTAGATTGCATCCTCGAGCAATAGAGCATCCGGAATATTTCCAAGCCAAACGGAGGTGAATCCAAGGCATCAAGAGCATGCTAAAGCAGTACACATCTTGAGAAGTGGTAAACAAGTTGATAATAAGGTTGGAGATGCCAATGAAGAGCAAGAAGATGGAGAAAACGTGGAGATCATTCAGCCACCACATGGGCAGCCCACAGCTTCCACCAAACAGCCCCTCAATGCTCCTGGAAAGAGCACATGCCCTAAGGTATCATCTAATGCTAATCAAGTTCCAATTTCAACTTATGCTTTTAGGCCTATTGCACCCTTTCCCAGCAGGTTATCAAAGTCAAAGAAAGATCAAGGCTTGGATGAGATAATGGAAACATTCAAGAAGGTGCAAATCAACATCCCATTACTCAATGCCATTGCTCAGATTCCAAAGTATGCAAAATTTTTGAAAGATCTATGCACTAACAAGAGGAGATTCAAAGAGCATGAACAAGTTGCATTGAGTGAAGAGGTAAGTGCAGTGTTACAAAGAAAGCTACCTCCAAAGCTAAAGGATCCAGGTTCATTTTCTATACCTTGCATAGTTGGTGATTTTAAGTTTCAAAAAGCTTTGTTTGATCTTGGTGCTTCTATAAATCTTATGCCATATCATGTTTATGAGAAACTTAACCTTAGTGAGTTGCAAGCCACAACTGTGAGCATTCAATTGGCAGATAGAACTATTCGGTACCCCAAGGGCATTCTAGAAGACGTTTTGGTGAACGTAGAAGGTTTAATCTTGCCAGCTGATTTCTTAGTCTTGGAGATGGAAGAAGCACCAATTCCTGATAATGAATTGCCCCTTATCTTTGGCCGACCCTTCATGGCTACTGCTAAAACCAAGATTGATGTAGAGCAAGGCACTCTCACCATGACCATTAATGGAGAAACTGTTGCCTTCAAAGTGTTTGATGCCCTGAAGCCAAATGTTGTACAAGATTGTTTTCAAATTGAAGTATTTGGTAATCTAGGGAAAGAGAGATTTGATGGCCTTCCATATTCAGTAGAATCATGCTTGCTGAAAAGAGGAGACAAGGAGGAGCAGGGGGTAGCCCACATGTTCAGTGCTACAATTCCCACACACAAGAAGGGGCTGCCCAAATTTAGAGATGTGAATATTCCAATCATTCCTACAATTCATTGTGATTCTATTCATAAACAGAAAAGGAAAAGAAAAGTAGCAAGGAAGCAATGGAAAAGGAAAACAAGCTTGGTGAACTCTCTTGCATTGCATGAGGTGTCTATTGAGCCCAAACCCCCCTATTCACTATAGAAAGTTTGGACGTCCGGCTGAAGACGTGAAACTTAGCGCTTCTTGGGAGGCAACCCAAGGTAACGAGGAGAAGATAGAACGTGCGAGGAAGCCTGCTTGCATCCTAATCGCTTCAAAGGGGAGTTTTTCTGAACTCTAACCTTTGGTTATGTCTTTCCCTTGTCTTCTTTCCTTTCATTTATGTGGCATTGCTTTTTCTTATACTCTAAACATTGAGGACAATGTTTCATTTAAGTTTGGGGGGGAAGGATTTAGTTATGTTGTTTCAAATTGTCAAATTTTAAAATTTTGAGTGTGTCTACTGGCCAAAAACGCAGGATTTTGTGTCTTGTTTCGTTATCCTTCCAAACACCTATGATAAGACTTGGATCTAATACTAATATGGTTTCTCAGAAATTGATAGTCATTGTTTAAGGACTTTGTGTGGTTCTGAGTTAACTCTGTCTTGCATGCCATCCTTGCACTTATTGAGCACTTTGCCGAGTTAGTCCAATTTCTTGCTACTTGGAGACGTTATGCAATTCTACTTATCTCATGATCTTGGTTTCGTGCTCTATAACTTATTTGAATATCTCTTGAGACAATTTGTTGCCATACAATGCTTAGGAAGTGATTTAGGCCATGTTTGAACCGTTTGAGCCTTTCTAACCATCCCTCTACATGTATTCATCCCTAGTTAACCCATTTGAGCCTATGTTAAGCCTTTCTTTGTGTAAACCATTCCTACCATAATGAACCTCTGTTTTCTTATTCTTACTTATTCTATGAGCAATTAAAGCTATCTTCAAAAGAGAGTTATAAAGAATGCAAGGTTTTTGGAGCAAAAGTGAATGCCATAACCCAAGTGTTGAAAAGAAATAAGTTTGGGGGTATTGGTAACTAATCAAAAGAGGTAATGAAGTGTGACCAATGTAGTCACGGCCCTAGGGTGTTATAAAAGAGAAGATCATGGTGTTCTAGGGTAAAGAGCCACAAAATTAGGCCAAATAAACAGATCTGAAGGTGCTGACATTACGTTGAAAATCTACTCATGTATGTGTTCCTTGCTTGTTACAAAGTTCAGTAATCTCTTATGCTCTTACTTGTGCTTTAATTGTGCTCAAAATATTGTATATCTCATATCCCTTCTTTCATTCAACCACTACCCTAAGCCTCATTACAACCCTTGTAAAGTCCTTTTGATCCTTGGTATTATATGGTATTATTGTGGAGAGCAGATTGGATAATGAGCTTATGGGGTTCAGAATTCTTGATTTTGCTCTAAAGTGTGTGCACATGTACTTATTTGAGTTGCAGGTGTTGTACTGATTCGGCATTCACACACTACACTTAAGGATGTCATTGTGAGCCTTGGTTACCCTTGAATCATGTGTGGAACTTAGATTGTGATTGTTGTGTTTCTTTGGAACCATATATTTTGATGATTCTTTGAGGATATTGTTTGGAAGGCTAGTTGCTTATTTCCTGTTTCCTAAGTTGTAGTTTTATTTTGTTTTGCTCGAGGACTAGCAAAATCTAAGTTTGGGGGTATTTGATAAGTTCATAATTTCATACATTCGCATGCCTTCTTTACTTAGTGACTTTACTTAGTTTCTCTTCATTTTTAGTCACTTACCTCTTTTTATTTGTTTTGTAGGTTAAGACAGCAAGAGATCACATTTGATGCAATCCATGCTTGTTAAGGGCTGATTAGGATAAGAGGAATATGAGCTTAAAGACAAACCCAATTTGAGCCACACTCCTTGTCAGTCCAGTTTCGTAGGTCATCATGCAGGCCTCATTTCAACAACTTACACAGGTCGGAGGAGACATCCTTGATAGAAGTTGTTCTAATTGGTATCTATTATAACATATCCAAATTTCAGCCCAATTGGATAAATCTGGAGCCCTCAGCACGTCAATGACTGAACCAAGTCACATAAATGTCATGTTGGCTGCCATCACATTTAATGTGGCTACATCCCTAGAGCCATGTGCTACACATGGGCAGCCACACATGGGAGTCAAATCAGCTCAGGAACTCAGAAGGATGAACAAAAGTCAAGCTTTCCATAAAGAAACCATACCAAAGCATGTATTTGGCAGCTGGAGCAGTTGGCAAGTACGGGCAGCTGGAGCAGTTCGGACCAGCTAAGAGAGGTGTGTTGCACCAGCCAAAGGGGAGGACGAAATTGCACTCTATAAATAGAGAGCTGCACACTCATTCAAGAGAGGGTGTTTGTGCCTAATAAATCACGGTCATAAACTGACCGAAGGGACCTCCTCTCGGCCCTAGCACCTACTCATGAACTGAAACGGCCACGTTTCGTTAGGCATTTCGCCTTCCTAAAAACAAAAGAAAAGCTGCAAAGGCAGAATCCTCTCGGCCTCGTGACCGCGGTATTATGGGCCGAAGCCGAAGGCCGTAAAGGACACGGCCGAAGATACTGTGGTTAAATCGCCACGTGGCCTCAGGGTCCCACGCCCCATTTAATGAAGTAATGCGTCTGACTATCGCAGCAAACCCACTAGTCACAAGAAGCATTTAATACACGAGGAAAGAAGGGAAGTGACTGAAGTCAGGATTTGGTGATGGAAATCAGAGTGGTTATGCGCAAATATTCTCACAAGTAATCTTACAACTTGAGGTCAGATCACCAATCACCAGACCAAGACATTAAATGCGTTCCCATGGCCAAGGGGGTAGAACCCACGATCAGGGCAGTGGCTGAGATTTACCAGGATCTATGGGGGTCACACCACCATGCTTCACGATCCCAAATGCCGATTTGACTACCTACTTACCCCGATCAAGCTCAACCACGCAGGTCTTTTCGGCCTCGATTGTCCCTCCAGGACTCCTCCTATAAATATGAAGCTCAAGACTACATTCAAAGGGTTCAAACACCAAACCAAAAGCCTCCAACGGAGCAAATTATATTTTCCTGTCACGCACTTTCAATACCTTTATTTGCTTTCCTAGGAGTAGTGGTAGATTGTAAGGAAAATCCATTCATCAATATATCATACGACCCTTGGTTTTGAAGGCGCCGGAGCACCATCTATGTTATCATCTCATTCACCCCATATATCATACGACCGTCGCTCTCTGAGCAACGCGCCGGAGCACCGCCTAAAACCCGCCTCCAACACCACCACCAAATAGCCTTGTGGCTCAGAGAGGCCGACGGAAAAACATAAAAGAAAGAGGGCTTACCAACGGCAGGGCGGATGGCACGGTCCTATGCGCCAAAGTTTTTTGTGCCCCCACCATAGCTGGCGCTCTGGAGGTTGGGGCTGCGATTGAAGTCACGATCGCTTCTCTGGCCAAAGGAGGGGCCGCCACCCTAGGTACGGCTGCGGCCGGCGTACTCAGTCGAGAAATCACGGCCGAGGCCTTCTTCCCCTTGCCAGCCTTGGGAAGGAGGGGGTCCCAATCGACATTCTTCAAAGCCCCCCTCACGGCCTCTTCAACAGGCCGAATGAATCTTGCCGAGATGCACTCCTCGTACTAGACTCTTCCATCCTCGTCATACGCATTACAACGCAACCAAGGCGTCAGAGTGAGGAAGGTCATCCCCTTTTGAAGTTGAAAGGAAATGCCAGCCACGCCGTGTTGCTGGGCGACGTCGGCCCTCCAAGACAAGAGTCGATTGGTTGACAACGGGGGAAGCGGTGCCGTCTGGATCAGGCCGAATTGCTGCGCCACGAAGTTCGGCAGATAAACCTCGGCCCCAGCCTTGGACAGGCCGTAGTGAAGGTCGCACGCGACCAGGAAGGATTCCCAGATCTCCCTCAGATCGTTCTCCGTTTCGCCATCAGGAATCACGGAGTGGTCGTGCGCTAGGAACAAAGGATACGGCCGAGCAAGGCACACCCGGAACTGCCTTCCGGTCCTCTCGACCAAGCCATAGAAAAATTTGTAGCAGAAAGTTGAGGTGTTATGCTTCCTGGGGGCCCGGGCGAATGTGTTGGCCAACGGCTTGGTGTCGGCAATATTGACTGCCCCTTCAGCTCTGGGAAGTAAGCTTGCAGCCAGAACTGGAAGGCCCATAGTGGACCACCGTGCTTCGGCTTCATCCTATCCGTGACGACGTCGTGAAGCGTACGGTAGATATGACCAAGGAGGAATGGGCCAAGCGCCAGCCTTTCGCCCTGCGCGAGATAGTCGGCCAGATGGGCGAACTCCAGGTTGACTTTGTTCGCCTGGGTGCAAAACACGAACTTGCATAGCCAGTACAGCAAGAACTCGACCTCGCCCAAGGGAGCGATGGGATCATCATCGGCGCTGTCCTCCAAGCCGAAGTTGCTGTAGAAGCTGGAGTAGTTGAGCATGTTCTTCGCCTTACTCCCAGCAAGCTTGGCGACCGTAGGCCATGCGGCCTTAAAACTCCCTTCAGCCTCAGGGGCGACCAAAGCGGCGTTTACTTACACGCCAAGAGGGGAGAGGCTGAATAGGGCGGCCATGTCTAGAACGGTCGGCGTCATCATACCAAACCGGAGGTTCATATTATTTGTGGCCGACGACCAGAAGCATAGGGTCGCGCCTAAGAGCGACCGGTCCATTACGAGCGGCCGATCGAACAGCGTGATCAAGTGGTAGATGCCTTGATCCTTCCATTGCTGGCCGAAGAAATGCTCCATCCTCGGCAGCCATTTTTCCCAGTCAGGAGTCAAGGTTGGCCATTGGGGCTGCGGCCTGGCGACATTCCAATCTTCCCCCCCCCCCCCCCCCCCCCCCCCCCCCCCCCCCCGGCCGAGAGAGTCCACCAGATTGTTCTTCAAATGAGCCACCAGCCTCTCTGGCATCCCACCATCTACAGAGGGGCCGTGGATGCAGGAATCGGTGGCAGCGCCGTCATCATCTGTCCAGGGCGTGACGATGTTGGGTAGGACCGAGCCCTGGATTTCTCAGCAAATGTCTTCAAACTCAATCTGGAAGACTTGGGACCGAGCTTCAACAAATGTGGAGGTGCTGGAGGCTATTGAAACAGACTGAAGTAAGGTGTGTTAAAGGAAAAAGTCGAAGAAAGGGTGATGAACACGAAGAACACCAAGGAGCCGAGCACTCAGAAAAAGGGGCGAAGAGTTCGTGAATTTTCTAAGAAATGCAGAAGAAGATTTTGAAGTCGTTGGTTACTAACAAAGAGATAACTGGGCAGAAGGAGGTGGAGTGCTGAAATGTGAAGTTCGAAAGGGTTTGAAGAATTGAGAGAAGAGTTTGGCAGAGTTTGGGCGTCCGAAAATTCTGAAAGTGTAAGGAAGGAATGAAGAAGGATAGGCTTTTATATTGGCGCTAGAATTCGAAACGAAAGGGCATGGTCCTCTCGAGAGACGTAACAGTCTGACAGCGTGCTCGAATACGCGGTGACGTGTCAGAAGCCCGAAGGCCGTCGTTTCAATTGACGAGACGAAGCGACGGCTCGTGCGAATCAAGGCAGTAATCGCCTGCACGAAGTGCTTGCGCATTAAATGTGTCGACCGACCTATGCCTTTAAGGCGCCAACTGTCAATCACTTCAGGAGGAATGCAAAGGGTCCACCCTTTGGAATCCATTCGGCCTCTACCCAGGCCGCGACCGAAGAATCCAGGGATGTGGGGGCAATGTTTGTGCCTAATAAATCACGGTCATAAACTGACCGAAGGGACCTCCTCTCGGCCCTAACACCTACTCATGAACTGAAACGGCCACGTTTCGTTAGGCATTTCACCTTCCTAAAAACAAAAGAAAAGCTGCAAAGGCAGAATCCTCTCGGCCTCGCGACCACGGTATTATGGGCCGAAGCCGAAGGCCGTAAAGGACACGGCCGAAGATACTGTGGTTAAATCACCACGTGGCCTCAGGGTCCCACGCCCCATTTAATGAAGTAATGCCTCTGACTATCGTCGCAAACCCACTAGTCGCAAGAAGCATTTAATGCACGAGGAAAGAAGGGAAGTGACTGAAGTCAGGATTTGGTGATGGAAATCAGAGTGGTTAGGCGCAAATATTCTCACAAGTAATCTTACAACTTGAAGTCAGATCACCAATCACCAGACCAAGGCATTAAATGCGTTCTCATGGACAAAGGGGCAGAACCCACGATCAGGGCAGTGGCTGAGATTTACCAGGATCTGTGGGGGTCACACCACCATGCTTCACAATCCCAAATGCCGATTTAACTACCCACTTGCCCCGATCAAGCTCCACCACGCAGGTCTTTTCGGCATCGATTGTCCCTTCAGGACTCCTCCTATAAATATGAAGCTCAAGACTACATTCAAAGGGTTCAAACACCAAACCAAAAGCCTCCCACGAAGCAAATTATATTGTCCTATCATGCACTTTCAATACCTTTATTTGCTTTCCTAGGAGTAGTGGTAGATTGTAAGGAAAATCCATTCATCAATATATCATACGTCACGTGTTAACGCACATCCCCTCAGCCCGGAGCACCAGGACGTGAGATTTGCGTAGCCAACAGAGGGCAGACACACACATTCACTTCATCCATTACTCTCATGCACACATTCAGATTCACCAAAAAGAGAGAAGGGAGCTTAGAGCTGTCTCGGGAACTACATTGCTGTCAGCTAGTTCTTCTCTTCTCTTTATCCTGTCTATGTATTTCTTATTTTTTGTATTCATAGTTATGTTTAACTAATCCATTTAGTTATGGCTTAGGATGAAGCCCTAGTCATGAGTATTCAATGTTATGGATGATTTTATAGATAATTGATTTCCTTGCTTTTATTATCAAGTTGTTAATCTCCAGTTTATTATGTGCTTGATGTATGTTTTCTTGGAGTAACTAACTAGGATTTTATGCATCTAGCACAGGTTGGGAAGGGGTTTAGATTCACCAATTCTACTCTCCTTTCACAAGCAACATATGAATGGCCTAAGAATCATTCAAGGGGTTAATAACCATAGGTTGACTAGGACAGATACCATGTTCTAGGACTTGTGTGATTATCATATTCTCAAGGAGCTTAATGACTCTTGTATGCTTTATTCTAAGTAGATACCATGCTTAGGTTGCATATTAGAGATCACGTGTTGTGTAGATACCATGCACAATCAAATGCCTTAGGAGAATCATGCATCCTGCACACCTAGATACCATAGGCTTGTATGCGATAATCTATTGTTGATGAAGCTTGAGTCAATTTCTATGCATTCATAACTTGGATAGGAAAACTAGTGGTGGATTCCAAGGCTCTAACACCTCTCAATTATTGTTTCACAATTTGTTAATTGCAGCCAGTGTTTACTTTCGAGCACTTTCATTTCACTTTCTTCTTTTCATTTTAACAACAAAACCCCCCATTTCGAGTGCGTGTGTGGTGCTAGGATTCTGTCCTAGACCTTAAGTAATTAGCAAGAGGCATTGTTGAATTCGACCTTGCCTTTAGCTAGTTAGTCAGTTTCTTTGTTCTATGTTTTTCTAGCATTCTAAATAATTTAACTTGGAACCAAGTTACCATTCTCCGTGGGATCGACCTCGTATTTACATAAGCTATACTATAAACGGTTCGTGCACTTGCAAGAATTAAAGTTGCTGTTTTTAATAACTCATTTTAGTTGTTACGGATAGGCTCAACATGGCACATGGTAACAACTTACGCATCGGCGATTAAGTGAATAGCGAAGTCGTAAACAATCTTTAGCGACGGATAATATCCGAAGCATATGACTATATCATATGCATCGCTTCCCAATACTTCGATTCTTGGGTACCTTTAGCAACAGATATTATCCGAAGCTAAAAGTCAATTTTCGCATAGTGGTGAAAAAGGGAATATTTTTTAGGTCAACTAATTACCTTAATTAAATCCTATCTTATCTTTGATTTAAGATAGGAATATATCTTCCTAAATCAAGGATCCAATTTGCAGCAAATCTATTTGATTATTTTCTGTTATCTTTTTGTGTAAGACTAATCCTAATTAAATAAGAATTATTCTTCAAATCCTAGCCAAGTAACGAGACTATAAATAGATGACCTCACACCACGACCCTAATTTTATTGACTATTTAAATTTATTAATTTATTTAATTATGAAATTACAATTTTTCCCTCAGGAATAGGGTTATTTTGGTAACTTATTAATCTGGAAGGATTTTGGGAAAACGATTAGAACCATAATGTAGATCGCGTCAAGATGAGTCCGTAGACATGTTGTGGGTTCAAATCGAAGTTGTAACGAAAAAGTTGCGATCTAAGGAAGTATAGCGGCAAAACCGTAAATATTTCGAAAATGGGTTTTCAAAAGCTGAAATTCCTCTCTCTCTCTCTCTCTCTCCCCGTGCGAAACAGCCCCCTCCCCCCAGTTTTTGCAGCCGACGGTTTTTGGGTCACTACTGCTTCATCCGGTCACCAATTTGGGTGGTACCAGTCCCAAAAGAACCAGCACACTTCCCTCTTCCTACCCCGCCCCTCAGTCGACGCTGCCTCCGTCGTATTTCGCAGGAAGAAACCCAAAACTGACCAATTTTTCTTGAAAATTTTCAACACTCGTTCCGGCGATTGCAGCCACCAATTTCCTCGATCTAGGTATGCTTTTTCATCATCTCAATGTGTTCTAGCTGATGGTTGGGTTGAATAGGATCGATTTCTGCATTTTATAACTCGATTTATCGCTTAAAGTTTCGTCGATTTTCAGCTAGTGATTCCGGCAAGTTTCGATCACTTCTGGCCATGGTCTAGAAAAAAAGTTGCTCCATTCGTTGTCCTGATCATGTAGGTGTAGGTCTTACCGATGGTTTGGAGATTTTCTGATCACCAGAATCACTTTGGCCACCCACCTGTTGTTGGAGCGTGTGGGGGCGCGTGGCCACTGTTTGTGTGGTCCTTTTGGTCCTAAAATGATCTCCATATTGTCCCGAGCACGATGGTTTACTCGGATTTGAATTTGGTTATTGTTTGACTGTAGAACAGATATATCATATTATGCGTTATCTGGGTTGGATATGTTATCGTTGGATCGACTCCAATTTCAAATGTGTTGATCTATGCACCTCTAGGATCAAGTAGGAATTCGTGGATTATAAATCGGAGTCCCGGAAGCTCCGATTCAATGACTTATAGTTTGCGTTAAAAGATACCGTCCGATTGCGAGTGATCCGACCGTTCGATTCGGATCAAACTTGCTGGGCATGTTTAATAAACCTTGTTGAACCCATAGGAACTTTTGGACCGGAAATCAAAGGTCGTGGGCCTCTCGGGCCCGGTTGACCAAATTTGGGCAGTTTGACCCCTCAGTTGACTGTGAGTCTTCCAAGCTAGTTTCACTCTTCGAGGAGTACTAGAATGACCTTATTAACGAGTCTTGACTGTTATTTGAGTTGTGATGATTATGTTGGGATTATGAGATTGTTTAGTATCGTATGAAATTTTTGGATATTAGTTTGATAATTGAAGTTATGGTATGGATGAGCATGGGATACTTGATCGATGGGTTGTGAAAGTGAGTCTTGGGTCTTGGCTATGATTATTAGTAAATAAGTGGACGCTCATTTTCAAGTGTACTTTGTTCTTTTAATATGGAATTTCTTGCATAATGAGTTTTGCATAATGCGTTATTTGGGTACCTTTATGGAATATATGCTCGAGAGTTTATTTCTATCCTATGAATAAATATTTGGGGAAAATTGAATTGAGGAAGGAAATAATAATTTTATAATATTTATATAAGGGTTATAAACCTCACCGTCATATTTACCTTCCCTGGTCACGATACCCACATGTGGCGTTGGATTTTCTGGCGTATGGGCTTCCTTGGTCATTGAATTTGGAATGGATGGATACTTGGAAAACAGTGGATATGATGTGGGTATGTCAGAACCCGGGAACCCTTGATGGAGTGTTACCGTAGACCCTTAGCGGGGTAGTCTGCACCCATAGGACTTGTCACAAGCGCATGAGTATTGAAGATTCTGTTGTGTGTGCTAGTGAGTCCAGTCCCCCGGTTGGATGGCTCATCTCTGGCCACATGGTTGTTAAGGATTCCTCCCTGTGGTTCAGCTAAACGATTCCGGCGTTGGATTATTTTCCCCAGTACATGATGTGTGCTATCATTTGTAAGTCCCTTTGAATACTAATACTTGGAAACAATGGACATGGATACTTGGATACATTGAAATGGATAGTTGGTTAGTCTTCGGACGTAGGACTTGTCACAGGCGCACGAGTATTGAGGATTCTGCTGTACTTACTGGCGAGCCCAGTCCCCCGATGTGGTCTAATCAAACAATCCTCGGATTGGATTGTTCTTCCACGAGTACATCATGATGGTGTGAGGTGTGTGTATGTATATATATATGGATACGTTTTCGGGTCGTGATTCTTGAACAGGTGCTTCGTGAGTACTATGTACAATTATGAACGTCTGATTTATAGTTTGGAAAGTGTTGTTCGGCAACATATGCCTTAGATAAGGTATGGTTGCAGGAATGAACTGGTAAAATGAAAAGAACTTATAAAGTGTTTAGTGGATGACTTGTGAAACTTGATGTTGATAATTGAATATAAATTTTATCGTTGGCTTTACTTTAAATAATCGTATATTATCTGATTGTTGAGTGTTGATTTAAGAACTTCGTGTGGCTTGATCCTTGACAAAGGGTACGTAGGTAGCTTGGGGTTTAACCTAGGTGCAGCCACAAAATAAATTGTTTGAACTATGCTTGTATTGTTCTATGTGGGGAAGTGAATTTTAGAAAAAGAAAGGTCTTCTTTGATTATTGTTTCGTTAAGTGTTACGAGGGTATGGACTTACAATGAGTTCAAAAGATAGAACGTTTTAGAAGATATTTGGTTATGAGGCCGGAGGCCATTGATGTTAATTGCATGTTGTTTATATTGTGCATGCTGCCGGTTGAGATTTATAAATGTTTTTGACAGGTTAAAATTTTTTGGGAATGTCTATTTTTCAAGGAAGATTCTGCTGAAATTTCGGCAGAAAGTCTCGTTTTTTTTTAGTAAGTGGGCCCGGCATCAGGATGATGTCGAAAATACTATAGGATTCGTCTCGGGTTTCGAGGAATTCCAAGTGGGTCTTGTCATATTTGCACAAACATTTTGGTGCTTTCATTGAGAGCTTCGAAATATAATCAAAGCATTGCTCTCAAATCCAAGGAATCTGTTTCCTTCCATTCATCACTCAACCAAAGTCTTCCAAACAACCATGGTTGGAAGCAAACGTACGAGAAGCAAAACCACCTTGGTGACTCAATCCGTAATGGGCCAAAGCCATCTGTCTCACGGCCTTGTGGTCAAGACCGTGGCTCCACTGCACGACCCCTTGGTCCTGAGCACCGCACGCACCGCACCTCTACATGGCCCCATGGCCAGCGCTGTATCACCTCATCACGGCCGGAACTATCTTTCAAATGCAAGGCCTTGTAGTCGGATCCAACAACCTTCGGGATCTTACAAAAGACAAAGCATTTTTTGTATAAATATTTGTTCCCCCAGCAAGTTGTATTATTGTTGCTCTTCCAGAGCCCTTTATTAACTTGGCAGTACCTGAAATGGTATTTACATTGGCTTTAGCTAATATTAAGTGTGAGAAATATTTCTTATCTCGAAGAATCGTATGCATCATGGCACTGTCCACTAGACATACATCTACATCACATATCTTGGAATTGCTCAAGGCATTGAGATTTTAGGTATTTCTTCATATAAAACAATAGGAATAATTAGATCATGGATCCATCTTATTGAATTAAAAGCACTACAGACAAAGTACATGAATTGAAACACTCAGCACACAACAAGCCTTTTATTTTAAAGCATTACACAGGAAAATGTAGAAATTTGAACACACAACATAAGTACAGCATAAAGATCAATATAGAATTAATCAACATTCATGTCATCATTGCCATCATTGTTAACCTTGTCATCATCATTGGCATTTCCTTCATTGATTGTGGGATCAATGTTTCCACTTGTTTCTGAAAAGAAATCAGAAACTTCTAAATGGGTGATGTCTATTGGCTTATTGAAATCACCAAAAATGTTATCGAAATCAGTATATTTTGTTTCTTTCTCTTTTTCTTTTTCCTTAATTGATTCTTGACATAGATTAACAAGATGTTTTGGCTTACGACATGTACGTGACCACTGTCATTTTATTCCATACCTGTAGCAAGCATCATCATCTTTCTTTTGGGAATTATGCACAACTTTTCTTTTTCCTTTTCCTTCATTATTATTCTACTGTTGGTGGTATGATGTGTTTTCCTTGTTTGAATAACTTCATCGACTTCGGGAATTATAACGACCAAGACCTCGAACTCGACCGGGCCCATATTTGCTTGCATCTGCTTCAGGCGATAATGTACGCATCTTCTCATTTTTCATTCACTTCACGGAATGGTTTTGAGGCAATTAAATGGGGCTCATGATTTTTCATTAAAAGCGCATTATTTTTGCAACAACGAGACATGAAATCAGTTGAGAATATTTATTAAATCCCCTTTCTCTGTATTGTTGATGCAGGAGCATGTTGGATGCATGGAAAGTTGTGAATGTTTTTTCTAGCATATCTTCTTTTATAACTTTGTCTCCACACAAGGTTAGCTAAGATACAATTTTGAACATTGTTGAATTGTACTCATTTACAAATTTGAAATCCTGCAGGCTCAAGTGCATCCAATCATATCAAGCCTTTGGAAGTATTACACTCTTTTGGTGGTCATATCTTTCTTCCAAATTTTCCAGAGAACTGCTGGATCTGTCACCCCAAGAAATTCAGTTTTCAATCCTTCATGACGATGAAGACAAAGGAAAATCATTGCTTTTGAACGATCTTGCAAGGATGCTTGATTTCCCTCCTTGATGGTATTTCCCAGGTTATTCGCATGCAGATGAATTTCCGTATCAAGAACCCACGTTAGATAGTGCTTGGCAGAAATATCTAGTGCAATGAAATCAATCTTGGCAAGATTTGACATTGTTGTGTATCTATAAAGATAGAAATACAGAATTAATAAAAATAACAGTATGCATCAATAATATAACTGTTCAGTATAATAATTTTAAGGAGATGATTGGATTATAATATGTATTTTATGTACTTGAAGCTACAGGTTCAAGTTTAATAAATTTTAAGACTTCTGGCAATTAAATTATCATATCATTCAACACTTCTGGTTCTAAGATTATTTTAATTTTAAACTTCAGATTTAAATCATTATGATGTGAATTTCAGGTTTCCACTCAATTCAAAGTAAGATTCATTTCTTGCAAGAGTATTCATGATATTACAATTATCATTTTAGTTTAGAACTTTGGGTTCCAAGAATATTGGTCTATGAAGTTCGGGTTCATGTATGATAAAAATTCATCATTGTCATATCAATATTGTAAGTTTATAGATAAGAAAAAGTTGATATACATAAAGTTTGGCCGTTAACTATGCATATATATATATATATATAATAAGTATGTTATATATAAGATAAATACCCTGCACAAAGGTTAGATATAAATTTACTACAAAAAGTGAAAAAGACGACCAGAAAAGACGACAATAGAAGAAAAAACCGTCGTTGTATTTAAAAAGACGACGGTAACAAAAAACCGTCGTGGATAAGTGACTTAAACAACTAAAAAACAGAGGTACTGTTGAATATTTTTTTATAACGACGCACACAAATAAAAAAGTGTTGTCTTATTAAAAAGGTTTTCTTCAGAGTTAAAATCTGACCAAAAAACAACGACAGCAGGTATGACAAGCGTCGTCTTTTAAAAATCAAGTGTCCTTTTTTTGGTAAAGACATGGTCGTTTTGAAAGAATTGTCGTCTATTATATGTAAAGATGACGGTTTTTTTAAAACAAGAGTCATCTATTATAAAGTAAAGACGACCCTTTCTAAAAAAAAATGGTCGTCTATTATATGTAAAAATCATGGTTTGTTTAAAAAAGGGTCGTCTATTATGAAGTAAAGATGACGGTTTGTTCTGGAAAAAGGGTCGTCTATTATATGTAAAGATGTATGTAACTAGTATGGGACTATTACATTCAATAAAGGGCTACCAAATAATGTTTTCAAGAGGCATGTAACTAGTATGGGGCTGTTATCCGGTTTTGATGCATAAAAACAGTGGAAGCATAAGGGACGTAGTGGGAATTTGCAGTTTTGTCGTCAGAGCTCTGATTGAGGTCCATGATACCTTTCTGAAAAGGAAATGAAGCCAGGAATCAGACTCAGTGCTTTGCACTGACATATAGTCGTTTTTGGCCATTTGAGGTCGTTTAGCCTTCCAAAAACGCATTTAAAGAGTTGAAAGTAAAGACGACGGTTTTTTTTTAAAAGAGTCGTCTATTATAGGTAAAGACGACCCTTTTTAAAAAAAAACCTTCGTCTTTACCTATAATAGACGACTCTTTTTAAAAAAAAACCGTCGTCTTTACTTTCAACTCTTTAAATGCGTTTTTGGAAGGCTAAACGACCTCGAATGGCCAAAAACGACCATATGTCAGTGTAAAACACTGAGTCTGATTCCTGGCTTCATTCCATTTTCAGAAAGGTATCATCGACCTCAATCAGAGCTCGAACGACAAAACTACAAATTCCTGCTACGTCCCTTCTGCTTCCACTGTTTTTATGCAGTAAAGACGACGGTTTTTTTTTAAAAGGGTCGTCTATTTTATGTAAAGATGATGTTCTTTTTTATAAAAAGGGTCGTCTATTTTATGTAAAGATGACGATCTTTTTTTAAAAAGTGTCGTCTTTTAAAACACGCTAAAAAATGGCCGCTTAAGTGAATTTGCACTCAAAAAATTTTCAAATTTTCACACGTCTTTGAAAACCTTACCTCTCATTAATAAGCATCGTCTTTTAAAACACACTTAAAAAAGGCTACTTAATTGAATTCGCGCTCAACAAATTTTCAAATTTTCCCCCGTCTCTGAAAACCTTATCTCTCCCTCCTTGAAACCCTCATGCACTCTCTAAAACACCCTCATGAAACTCTCTAAAATACCCTTCTATATCTTGCTAGTGAATTCTGGATTAGTCTCTTTGCGTTTCTGGTATGTTCTTTGTCTCCCTAATTTCAGATTTTGTCTCTCTTGATTTGTTTGGTTTGTTTACATATTTTTTTATATTTCTGGTTTCTTTTTAGATTTTCTGATTTGGTTATCAGGAGATGATGAGGAAGCTTGCAGATTTATAACTTTTTCTTTTGCAGGTTTTCTATGTGAGTCGTGTGTTTTTTTGTTGTTGAAAATTTGTTATCTTCTCTTTTCACCATCATTTTATTTATATATTTTTCCTTTTGCAAGTTCTCGATGGTCTTTTTTATGCTCATTTTACAAGTTTTCTATGGAAATATGGACCAATGGTAAAATTTCTCTTCCACCTAATTTTTTATGTTTATAATCTTAACTCTTTTTCTCTCTTTGTCATTTTGATTTATTTACAGGGATGATGGAGGAGACTTTAGTTGTGCATCATTTGTATGTTTGGATGAGGATGCTTAGATTAGGAGTACGTAGGTCTTGTTAGGAATTATGTTTGTTGTAATAACTATTGAATCTTCAAGTTTTATGAAAGAAACTATTTTTGAGTGTATATATTCATTAATAAAGCATTATGGTTGGTTTTCTAGTTAAAATCGTTGTATAGCATCGTAGGAAATAAAAAAGAACTAAAATGTAGCAGTTTGGAAACTTATTAGACGACGGTTTTTATAAAAAAAGGGTTGTTTATTGTATGTAAAGATGACGGTTTTTTATAATAAAAAAAACCGTCGTCTTTATAAACAATCCATGACAGTTTTCATAAAAAACCGTCATCTTTACATACAATACACGACGGTTTTATTAAAAATAGTCGTCTTTCCTCCTATAATTAACGATCTTTACCTGTAAACAACGACGATTTTCTTTAAAAACCGTCGTTTTTACAGATAAACAACGACGGTGAAAAGCCGTCGTAATTTGAAACACAAATAGACAGCAGTCGATTTCACGAAGGTTGGAAAACCTTTTACACGACGGTGGTTTTCCATCGTCTATTTCGATTTTTGTAGTAGTAAAAATGGATAATATCGAAGATTCATACTTTGACATAGCTTCCACCTGTATCAATTAACATGTGTATAGCTATATCTAAATGAAACTTGGTTAGTGAAAATAGCACTCATATTAAAGATTGAACTAGATATAATTAAAAATGGAATATAAATTTAGAGGGAAAAAAATTATACCAAGCTCAACCCAAGATCCTCGGGTGGTTAGAGACTTGTGCTGATCAAGTTATCTAAAACTGAAGGAATTATGGAGAAAATTTAGAAGAAGATAATAACTATAGAGTTGCTCTTCTGAAGCTTGTAATTTCATTCTCTTAATGTCTTGTATTTATAGGCAAAATGAAGTACAACTAATTTACCACACTTAACAAATAGAATATAAGGTAAATTACAATCACATCACTGTAGGTAAAAACATAGTGGCAGCAATTGTGGGAAAAAGGTATACGAAGGGCATCCATAATAATTAGATTGTTTTATAACTGAAAACACTTAATTCAAACAAACAAACAATTATGATGCAAAACCGCAATTAATTGAAGTTTTGAGCAAACCTGTAATTTTTTTAAAATTGCATAACAACCCTAAAATTTCAAAATTTGCATTTAGACCTCAAAATGGGTCTTATGAATTATCCTAGGGTGGGCCAGCCATGGGGATAGTGTGTGTGTGAAAATGGGACCACAAGTGGCACCATCTTTTGTACCAAAAAACATCTTGTATCTTCGAAAATTCTACCATCCTGCATGGATGCGCCCAAATTTCAGTCATTAGATCACTTTGAATCTTGTTGAGGCCCAAAAATCTAGGGTTGGGCCCAAATAAATTATCGGCCCAATGCAATGCCTTATTAAGAAAAGACCCGATTTGGAGCATGCGAAAGTTCGTCATTCACGCTCGCACGAGTCATGATCCACATGCCATGCCAAATAAATATGCAATCTGTCATGCTAAGAGTTGGAATAAGCACCAGCTTTATGAGCCCGAGCTAATTATCCCATCAAGCATCATATCCCTTTTTAAATGATACGAAATTCAAGCACGCCAAGCGACATGCAATGCCAAGCGAAAAATCATTATTATTACACCTAGCCACGCTACAAGCTTAAGTGGGCCCAAGCCACGAAAATGCCCTCGGCTTGCTTGAGTGGGTTGTGGTATGGATGGTAACGAGCTTTCATGAGGCCCATTGATGAGCCGAGAAATGGAAGTTTTGTGCTGATTGGGAGCCCCAGAACTCAAGCCCATTTCTTGAGCCCAAATATGTGGGTAAGCATAAAAGAGAGAAGAATTAGCCCAATACTCTAGAAGGATATCTAGTAGTCTGCCATAGCACTTAGACAAAGCCAACATCAATAAAAAGCCCAGAATTAAAAGGTTGTTTCCAGCAACTCGACGAAGACCCATTAGGCGCTGGAAATAATATGTTAATAAACCAATATCGTACGCACAAGCCCAGCCCAGCAACTTGTAGGAAAATCTGGCATCGTGCTTCACCCTCGTCAGAATCCCAAGATGGTCAACAAAGAGCCATGGCAGGGACCAAAGGAAATCCATGAAGGAAGGATGAATACCCATTGGACAAAAGACTCTACCCATTTTTCTTTCCTCTGTAAGTTCCATTTTGAAAACCAAGGAGAAAAGCAGGTGGTGCCTCACCCTCATGGGAAGATTCAGCCACACAAAACCCTTGGAACCACAAAGGGCTCCTTACCCATGGGCCTCAGATAGGAAAATTTCACTGAACAGGGTTGACTGGAAAGAAACAAAGAAAAGGGGACAAGGAGTTAGACGAAATTAGGGGTTCTTTGCACCTATAAAAGGGAGCTTCCTTTACCCAGCAAAATCAATCATCCAGAGTGCGACCAAGCTTTGTCAAGCAACTGGAAATTCACTTAAACCACATCCAGAGAGCAAGCTTCCTCTCTTACTTCCAAAACTCTGCAATTTCGTGCCTAATTCCTCCATCTCTTCCATTTTCTCTTCTGGTAAATCGTTCCACAGCTTGACAGAGTTTTCGTCAAGCTGCCGGAAACTACTCAACACACCCATTATTTCTCTCATCTCTCTCCCACTTCAACAAACCTTCTTAGAATCCCTTCCTCTTTTCCTTAGGACCCCTGTTTTGCATAAGAACTCATAGCTCTCTCTCTGTTTATGCTAAACTGATGATTGTTTTGCTCCCATGCCACAAGCTTCTCGTGCCAAGCTAAGAATCTACCTGTAAGCAGTTGTTGTTTTTGTTGGTGAAGGTAACCAGGATGCTTCCTAAGGCTTCACTACCATTTCGAAGCATTCTCGGGGCCTAATTCTTGAACTCAGACACATGGGTAATTTTACCTGTTTCTTTTTTTGACCTCCCAAGCCCATTTGTCAGGCTGCTGGAATAAAAAAAAACCCCTACAAATCTATTGCTCTTAATAAACATTGAAATTGAATCCCACCAACCTGTACAATCGGTAAAGGAAGAAAGAGGAAAAAAACAAACCGAAAAAGCTAACAGCCAACATGGGCTATATCAAAAAGACAAAAAGCATGTATATATATATATATATATATATTTATTTATTTATTTATTATTTATTTCTCTTTTGAGTTGATTATACGAATAGTATGCTTGTTTTTTATTATTTATTAATTTCTCTTTTGGGTTGATGTTTATGTATATGAAAACTTAAAGTAAGAATGTAATTAACTGAAAAAACCAATATAAATTAAAACAAAATTACAATAAACATAAAATTTTAAATATATTTAGATTAAAATAATTATAATAGGCATTAAAAAATTTGTTCCATGTTTTTCTTCCACTAATCTCACTTCTATTATTTCTCTATTACTCCACCAGTAACTAGCATGTGAATGATTTCTATAAATAAAAAACAAATATTTTAATAAAATATAAAAATATTAGGAATGACCAAAATTAGGAAAAATAATAGAATGATCTAAAGTTTCAAAAAGTAGTTAGTGAAACATTAGATGTTTACATGTCAAATATTTATTTATTTGTGGTTATGTTAAATTTCAATTTTAAGTAATCATGATAACATCTTGATTACCATTTATAAAATATATATATCTCGTTCATTGAAAATTTTGTGTGCATAAAATACATAAAAATTATACAAATGTTATTTCACCAAATATTTTAAAATCTAAGAATATAGATTTTTATAAACTTGTTCTTAGTTTAAAGTACAATCTATATATGCATATAATATAACATATTATTGCTAATAATTTCAAATCTAAGCATGTAGATTTTTTAAAAATTGATTCTTAATTTAAAGTATAGTCTATATTTGCATATAATATAACATATTATTGCTAAGCAAAAGAACAATATCATACACAAACATATGATCATATAAATACTTCTTTGTAAAATCGACCAATTACTAATCGAATTTATTTCTTCATGTTTTTAATGTGATTTCTTTTTTATTTATTTCGTTGTGTATTTATAAAAATATACATAAAATAAAAATAATCAAATATAATAATTCTATATTTAAAGAAATATATATATATATAAATATGTTATACCTTAATTTACAAAGAAAATGACTTATAGTACATTGCTAAGGTAAGAGTAGACATTGAAGAAGTAAAATTGGGTCCTTAGGCTTGTAAACACAAGAGTTTACATCATTAAGGACTACTATTACACTATGGGCATATGCATTCCATAAGCTTGTAAATCATATCATTAAGTTTGTACATTACAATATTTGGTTTCGCATTTACGAGACTTTGCACTTTGTTACAACGTTAAGGTGAATCCTAATCCATAACATTGTAATACTCATTTACAAAGAAAATGATCCCCCTTACAATATTAAGGTAAATGTGGACCTCAGAGAAGTAATTGTGAAACTTATTCTTGTAAACACTAGGGTTTACAATAATAAGGACCCATTTATAATTACTTGGATATCAAAGTTCCATGAACCTATAAAGTATATCCATAAACTTGTAATATCATAATTTACAATAGAAAGGATATCCCTTACAACATTAAGGCAAGAGTGGACCTTGGAGATGTAAACTTGGTCCTTATTCTTCTAAATACAGCGGTTTACAACAAGAAGGACTCATATTACAATGGTTTGGACATTGTTGAGGCCCAAAATATTCACAGTTCGGCCCAAATAAATTCTCGGCCCAATGCGATGCTTTACCAAGAAGAAACCCGATTTGGGCATGCGAAAGTTCATCATATGCGCTTGCACACATGCCACGCCAAACGACACGCCACGCTAAGCAAGGAATTATCATTCCGCACCTAATCACGCCACAAGCTTAAGTGGGCCCCAAGCCACTCAAATACCCGGGGCTTGCTTGAGTGGGTTGTGGTATGGATGGTAATAAATTGTCATGAGGCCCATTGATGGACCAAGAAGTGGAGGTTCCGGGTTACTTGGGAGCCTCGGAACCCAAGCCCATTTCTTAGGCCCAAACATGTGGGTGAGAACAAAAGAGAAAGTAGCCCAACCAAAATAGCCCATTACTCCAACCAAAATAGCCCATCACTTCAACCAAACTAGCCCAATACTTGATGAAGTTAGCCCATGTACTTGATAAACCAACTTATTGTCATAGAAGGCCCAAGCAACCCAAAAAAATATATCTGCAAATCTTCAGCACCTAGCTGAAAACAAAAGCCACGTTGAAAGCCAAAATATCCATGTGTGAAAGCTGCTGGAAAGCTCCAACACATGGGAGAAACAAGTTTCAAGCAAAAACTTCCAAATGACCAAGGGATATTGGAGCGCAGATCACCATTTGAACCAGCATGCATACCCATTCCTTCCCTCATCAGACCTAGCCTTGGAAAAGGAGAGAAAAGAAGGAAGAAAGATGGCTGAAAATAGAAGTCTGAAACAGCCGCAGGAAAGGGGGCTTTGAGCTCCCAAAAATCCCTGATTTTATGCAAATGGGTAGAGTGGATTTCACCAAAAAGGGATGATTGAAGAGATGAAGGGAGAAAGGAAGGAAAAGCTTAGCCAAAATGGGTAGAAGCCATTAGGTTTTCTTGGAAAATATCAGCTTCCAGCGGCTATAAATTAGGGCCTCTTCTACCCAACAAAAATCATCCACAACTAGAGAGCAAGCTTCCTCTCATACTTGCAAAAACCAGCAATTTCGTGCACTGTTCATCTTCCTCCATTTTCTTCTTCTGACAAGCTGCCAGAAGAACATAGTTCTTCCATTTTCTCTTCCTAGCCACATATGCTTGAAAACCTCTTCTTCCTCACCTTAAACACTCCCATTTCTCCCTAGGAAGCCATATTTCCTTTTTGGTGCTCAACTCATGCCAATTTTGCTCCCATGCCACAAGCCCCTCATGCCAAGCTCAAAAGTTTATCTGTAAGCATGCAAAAATTACCTGTAAGCTGCCATTATTTTGGTTGGTGAAGATAACCAAAATACTTCCTAAGGCTCTACTGCCTTTTCGAGGTATTTTGGGGCTTAATTTTCGAACTCAGGCTCAAGGGGCAATTTCTTCCATTTTGCCCTTTACGGCAGTCAGGCCTGTAGTAGCTGCCGGAAGAAAAAGCCCCTACAGACATAAACGTTCCATAAACTCATAAATGGATCTTTAATCTAGTATATTATAAGATTTAGATTCCCATTTACGTGTTTTTGCACCATAATTACAAAGTTAAGGGTCCTTATAATCCATAATCTTATAATACTATAATTTACATTAGAAAAGATCTATCTTACAATGTTAAGGTAAGGACGGACATTGGAGAAGTAACTGTGGTCCTTATTCTTGTAAACACAACGGTTTATAATATTAAGGACCCTTTTCACAATTACTTGGACGTCGAAGTTCCATAAACTTATAAAGTGTATTCATAAACTTGTAATATCATAATTTACAATAGAAAGGATATCCATTACAATATTAAGGCAAGGGTGGACCTTGGAGATGTAAACTTGGTCCTTATTCTTGTAAACTCAACGGTTTTAAACAACAATAAGGGCTCATATTACAATGGTTTGGACGTAAACGTTCCATATACTTATAAAATGGATCCTTAATCTGGTATATTACAATATTCTGGTTCCCATTTATGCATTTTTGCACCATAATTACAACGTTAAGGTTCCTTGTAATCCATAATCTTATAATACTATAATTTACATTAGAAAGGATCTCTCTTACAATGTTAAGGTAATGAGGGACCTTGGAGAAGTAAATGTAGTCCTTATTCTTGTAGACACAACGGTTTACAATATTAAGGACCCCTTTTACAATTACTTGGATGCCAAAGTTCCATAAACTTGTTATATCGTAATTTACAATAGAAAGGATATTGATTACAATATTAAGACAAGGGTGGACCTTGGAGATGTAAACTTCACGACTACAAAAAGTGACAAAGACGACCAGAAAAAAACGACGGTCTAAGGGAAAACCGTCGTTTTTTAAAAGACGACGGTTCTATAAAACCGCCGTGTAATAACACCTTAGACACCTAAAAAAGGGAGATTCCAATGGTTGTTCCTAAAAAACGACGCACCTAATTAAAAAACCGACGTCTTATTGAAATAGGATTTTCGCAGAGTAAAATCTAAGCCAACAAAGAACGGTAGAAGTTATGAATAGACCGACGTAGAAAGTAAAGACGACAATGTCAAAAAAAGCCGCCATTTTTACTCAGAAATTAACACGACCAAGTTTTCGTATAAGGCGCCATATAATTACAAATAAATCCACGGCGATATAATACAAAATACCGCCATATTAAATTAATGTACAACTACGGCAAAGATAAATATATCGACATCTTTCTCGTATAGTTCTACGATGGTATCTTTAACTCTCACCACGTTGGGGTTTTTCATTTAACGACGTATTATAAAATTTAACGTCGTATTTATTCACTTTATACGTCATACCTTATATTTAAACCGTCGTCTTAATAAGAATTTTTTTTAACAATTTATTTCTTGGATTTTGTTATCCTACGTCGGTAGATCAACTTAATGACAAGAATTGAAATAACCACGATGGTTTATATAGAAAACCGCCCACATAATCAGATTTTTCTGAGATCCCAAGGGTTACGAAATCTTACCAGATGGAACTCTGTTCCTCATCATAATCTTACCAGAAAGACAATATTTTAGAGGTTAATGATGTATGTGTATTTGTGTCTTTGAGATACACAAACGCACATACACATTAACATCCAAAAAATTGCCTCTAAAATTTGACGACGGCAGCCTCAGATTTGCAATCAGAGAGACAATTTTTTGGAAGTTGATGATGTGTGTGTTTGTGTATCTACACAAACGCACACACACATCAACATCCAAACAATTGCCTCCTAAAATTTCACGACGGCAGCCACAGATTTGTAATTAGATAGACAATTTTTTAAAAGTTGGTGATGTGTGTATGTTTGTGAATCAGATACACAAACATACACACACACCAATATCCAAACAATTGCCTCCTAAGAGGTGAGGTGAGACAGAGAAAAAGGCAAGAAGAAGTTGAAACCCTAATTGAAAACTAAAACTGAAAGAACTCGTGAAAAAAAAACTCTATTTATAATTAAAAAATCAAATCCACGTCGGTTATATTATACCTAACGACGTTTAACAAAACGAATCCACGTCGCGAAACAAATATATTGCGTCGTCTTAGTTAAAAAAGACGACGGTAGAACAAAAAACCGTCGTTGTTTTTATATTCGTATTTGATTTAAATCAGTCACCCAAACAAGGAACTTTACAAATTCCTCGGGAACATTAATTTCCATCATTTTAAATTTCCTCGGGAAAAAAAAACTCTATTTATAACACACTGTAATTGAAAACTAAAACTGAAAGAACTCGGGAAAAAAAACTCTATTTATAATTAAAAAATAAAATCCACGTCGGTTATATTACACTTAACGACGTTTAACAAAAATAATCTACGTCGGTAATTATAAACCTACCGCCATCTTACTTTAATATACTACGACAACAAAAAAGACAACCAAAAAAGATGACGGTAGAACAAAAAACTGTCGTTGTTTCAATTTTAATAGTTTGGTCTGTTCTCTTTCTGCAAGACTTGGATAGTTCAAAGCATTGACAATGTCTTCATCATATCTTTCAGCAAATTCGATTGCTCAGGCTTTAGAGGCCATCTGAAGCCATTTCTATTCTTTATCGCATTCTTGAAAACCCATCTTCTTCTTCTGAAGCTCTACAGATAAAGGAACAGGCTATCACAAATCTGACGGATCTTCTTAGCCAAGAAAATCGAGCAGAGGATCAGGCACATCTGATCTTCAGATTTCCCTTTGCAAAGAAATGGTGCAGTGGACCCGTGCTGAGAAGCGAACTTTCCTTCGACAGCGAGTGGAAGCGAAGCTTGCATCTCTTTTGATGGAAAGCAAGGAGTATTCAGAAGCACTAAGTCTCCTATCAGGCTTGATCACGGAAGTGAGAAGGCTAGATGACAAGCTTCTTCTTGTGGACATAGATTTGTTGGAGAGTAAGCTCCATGTCTCTTTGAGAAAGACATCCAAATTATTGTCTTTGAGATGTGAGAGAGAGTGTCTGTGAGAGAGGAAGAACTTGGAACCCTAAATGAAAACTGAAACTGAAAGAAACCGACAAATTTATACAATAAATTTTTAAAAACCACGGCGGTCCTTACACACAAACCTCCGTTTAATTTAAAATCAACGTTGGTTATTATTTAATATACGTCGTATATTATAAAAATCCACGTCGGTATATTACAAAAAAAACGACGTGTTAAATCCTTGTACCATGACGCGAGATATTAATTTATCGACTTTTATTTTGGAGTTTAATACGACGGTACCTACAACACTACTGTCGTATTTATTTACCACGTCCTAAGTTCAAATTATTGTAGTAGTTTTTTTATTTATATGTCGTCGTTCTCTGTAAACCGCCGTCTTATTTTTATGAAACAGTTTGTGTGTATATACAACTTTCGTCTACCTGACTTACACATGCACTGTTTCCAAATCCAAGAAAAAATTTCAATCTCCAAGAGAAAACTTTTCGTCTTTTTTCCTTGTTAGAGCACTGTCAGTGTATCTCATCGTCTTCTCTCGTCTTCGTCGTCGTCTCTGAACCTAAACACCAAACTCTGAGAGAAAGCTTTCATTGCACGCAAAAGGTAAGCTTTCATTTCTCACTATTTTTGTTGTTGTTTTGCATGCTCATACGGTTTTTGTTTTGGAAATTTTTTTACCTTTTTTCTGGCCAAAATCATTTTAATTCTTTCTAAGTTTGATAAAATATACAGACAAAGAGGGAAAGTTTCCAACTTTGAACACAACTACTTCAACTAAATAAGACGATGGTAGCTTCTTATTTACGTGGTTAAATATGTAGACCACGACGGTTCGTCAGTCGTCCTAGCGTCGTCTGAAAATTGATCTAAGTTTTTTTTAAAATTACCGTCGTTTTTTTATTTGCTTGTTTGATTGCAGGTTTGATTTCTCTGAACCATGGTTTCTGTTTTTCCTAATTTGATAAAATACAAAGACAAAGAAAGTAGGGTTTGGAATCTTATATAGACGACGGTATCTTATTATTCACGTCGTGTGAATGTTAATATCACGACGTTATATTAAGATACCGTTGTCTATATAAGATTCCAAAACCTTAATGCAACATGTCTTTGTATTTTATCAAATTAGGAAAAACAAAAACCATGGTTCAGAGAAATCAAACCAGCAATCAAACATTCACAGACAAAGAAAGAAGGGTTTGGAATCTTATATAGACGACGGTATCTTATTATTTACGTCGTGTGAATGTCAATACCACGACGTTATATTAATATTAACGTCGTTTGAATTTAAATATCACGACGGAGTATAAATATCGCCGTAATAAGTTCTTATTACGTCTTCTTTTCTACTATTTCGTCGTTGTTTAAGTACCATTGTTTTAAACATTTATTACGTCTGATGTTATTTTATTGCGTCGTGTAAAATCTTATCATACGTCATGTTTTATGAATAACCGTCGTTTGTGTTCTTAATTTTTTCCTGAAATACTTTCACTTGCAAGTTTGATTTGTCTGTAACCATGATTTCTCAAGACCAAAGTAAGGACTCAGGCTCGAAAACAAATGGAGGTAAGGAGCTTGGAATGGTAACTCCTCAAGACAAGTCCTTGAAGAAGATGAAGTTTGTTTCATCTGCTGAGACAGAACCAGCCAGCACGACAATAATTTCTAAGGATTCAAAGTCAGGTCGAGGTATGAGCACAATGCCTCGTGTTGTGAAGAGAAAATTTCAGAAAATCAAGCCAGTTGTTCAGTACAATAAAAGAGGGAAAGGATGTGGCCCTGCACATACTGAGATGCAGTCCTACATTGGTGTGTTGGCACACTCCAGAGTCCCACTTGTGGACAAGAAATGGGCTGAAATCCCCAAGGATATAAAGGAGCAGATTTGGGAAGCTGTTGACATGGTTTTTGTGGTAGGTCAAGGGGGCAAGAACCTGGTGTTATCTTTTGCTGCCAAGAAATAGAAGGATTTCAAGTCTACACTAACGAGGCATTATATCCTTCCATACATCAAGGAGAGGGAGAAATTAAGCCAACCCTCTGAACTATATAAATTCATAGAGAAAGCAGAATGGGATGCCTTTGTAGCTTCAAGGTTATCCAAGAATTTGTTTCTGTGCATTCTCAACATTTAAAGATTAGGGAGAAACTTGAGTACAAACATCGATTGTCTCGAAAAGGATATGCTGGTTTGGAGGATCAATTGGAGGAAACCATGCCTGGGGTAGAAATTGATTGATCTACCTTATGGAAGAAAGCTAGACAAGACAAAGATGGTAACATCCCTGATCCAAAGGTGGCAGAGAAAGCAAAATTAATTGTAAGCCTACTCACTCTGTTTTAAATTTTTATTAAAGTCTGTATTGCCTTGATAATTCTTAGTACGTCTTATGTTATATTTTGTGTCGTGTGAATGATATTACTACGTCGAGATGTTTTAAAAAACGTCGTTACAAGTCTGAATTTGGAATCGCTAATCTGTTTTTTGTAATTATAGCATAAGACGTCGGTGTTTTATTTATTGCGTCGTTTGAATGATATTACTACGTCGAGATGTTTTAAAAAATGTCGTTACAGGTCTGAATTTGGAATCGCTACTCTGTTTTTTGTAATTATAGCATAAGACGTCGGTGGTTTATTTATTGAGTCGTTTGAAACAACTAACCACGTCTTTATTTAAGTACCGTCGTGATAAATTTATGATAACATCGATTTCTATGTATTGCGTCGTGTGAAATTATATAATACGTCGTTTGTTTATAAATAACTGTCGTGTGTTTTCTTGTGCTGACTTTTTTATATATCTTTGTTTTAGGATGAATTGCAAAAACAAGTCTTTGAAGGCAGTGTCAGTGTATCTGGCAGTAATGATGTGTTAACCATGGCTTTGGGTCCCGAGCATCCAGGTAGAGTAAGAGGGGTAGGTGGTGGGATTTCCCCTAGGCAATACTTCAATTTACCTAGACAACAGAGGATAAAGTTTGCTGATCAATTAAAGGAAAGTTTAAGAATTGTCCTTCAAGAAGAGACTAAGAAGATGGAAGCTAGATCAAGGGAAGAGACTTTAAGGATGGAGGCTAAAACCAAGCAATTGGTACAGGCTGAGAGGGAACATTTACTAAGTCAGCTTTCCCAACTCATCCCCAATTTTGATCCAAGCATGTTTAAACCAAAAACTAGCCCCTGTCTAGAGCAAAGTCCCAAAAATCCAATGTCTGACAAAGCAAGCTGCTCTGGGGGAGATGGGAGATCCCTACATTTTGAGAATGATACTGCCAAAAATGGGGAAAAGCAGGAAGAAATGGTAACATATCTGAACTTTGAATTCTCTGTTTTTAAAAAAAAGCTATTAGACGTCGTTATTATGAAGAAAACCGTCGTTTGAAATACATACCACAACAATTTTATTAATAAACCGTCGTTTGGATTTCAATACCACGTCGTATTTAGTTTACTTGTTTTACACGCCATTAGACGTCGTTATTTTTGAAAACTTTTGTGGTGATTTAGACGACGGTTTTAGTCCTTACCGACGTAATAGATAAATCCCCACGACGTTTATTATTTACCATCGTTTAATAATTTTAAGACATCCATAATTCTTACATATCGTCTTATGTTACGCCTTACCACGACGTTTTGATTTAATTTTTTTATTTTCTGTACAATCTGTCTTATATATATTTCTTTATTACTTAAAACAGAAATCTGGGAATTTAGAAAATCAAGATGAAGAGAAGAAAGAAGAAAAAAGAGATGAAGAGAAGAAGGAAGAAAAAAAAGATGAAGAGAAGAAAGAAGAAAAAAAAATGAAGAGAAGAAAGAAGAAAAACAAGATGAAGAGAAGAAAGAAAAAAAGAAGATGAAGAAAAGCATGATGAAAAGGTATATTCTCATAACTTTGCCTTTTCTATTTGTTTTTCAAATTTCAGACGTCGATATTTTCTTTAAACCGTCGTTTGTTTTCAAATTAGACGTCAGAATTTGTTTCCTATGATGTAATAATTATTCAACACGACGGTGTTTTGTTACCGTCGTTTAAATTATTATCAGACGACGTTATTTCTTTAAACTGTCGTGTTTATTGAATTACCACGTCATTTTGTTTTGCTTTATTTCTTTAAACAGGGTATTGAAGTAGTTGATTATTCAAAGGTGGAGGTGTCATCTTCCTTACAATCCCTTTGTCGTTATGTGGAAACCACACTAACGCCTCAGGAGAAGATCATGACCTTTACAATTGAGAAGGAGGTGTTTGGTGCAGATCGCAGTACCTTCGTCTTGCCTGAAGATATTACACAGTTAGCAGGCATGGAAGAAATTGGGGCTACTGTGCTTGTAGTATATATGAGGTTTGTCCTTATCAAATATTTATTTCACACTCAAATTTGTGTGGAAAAAAAAATCATTATAGCATAATACGTCGGTGGTTTATTTATTGCGTCGTTTGAAACTACTAACCACGTCGTTAGTTATGTACCATCATGATAAATTAATGATAATGTCGATTGCTATTTCATTGCGTCGTGTGAAATTGTATAATACGTCGTTTGTTTATAAATAACCTTCGTATGTTTTTTTGTGCTAATTTTTTTTATATATCTTTGTTTTATATATTTAGGTGCTTATATGATCATTTGAAAGAAGCAAATATGTTCAACATGGTTGGCTTTATCGACCCTGCTCAAGTTAGTGCCAATGCTGGATCACTAACTGACAGATCATGATTGGTAGCCAGTTGACTTCAGAAGACAGATGGTGAACAGATTTTCATGATGCCTTACAATCCAGGGTTAGTCTCCTTAACAAGATTTTGTTTGTATGATGCACTGCATATAAAACTGTTTAACTAATTTTGTGCCGTTTGAAACATCTAACCACGTCGGTGCTTTATTTATTGAGTCGTTTGAAACCTCTAACCACGTCGTTATTTAATTACCGTCGTGATAAATTTATAATGACGTCGATTGCTACGTTATTTCGTCGTGTGAAACTATATAATACTTCTTTTTTATATAAATAACCGTCATGTGTTTTCTTGTGCTGACTTTTTTATATATCTTTGTTTTATATTAATTTTGTGCAGCCGTCATTGGGCCTTGTTGATTGTGAGAGCAAAGAAGGAAACTGTCTATTTTCTGGATCCTCTGACCGAAAATCGTGTGGTTGATGAGGAGGCCAAAAACATGGTGAACAGTGCTGTAAAAATTTATAATTCCCACATAGGCAGACAAGGCCGCAAAGCACCCATTTGGAAAACTCTGCCAGGCACACCAAAGCAACCCAGCGGTGTCGAATGCGGGTATTATGTCATGCGCTTCATGAGAGACATTATCATGGATCCTTCCTTGGAGTTTGAGAAGATGGTAAGAAGAAAATTTTCAGATACATTTTATGTGGTTTTTTGTATTATCAACGACGGTCCTTTAAAATTATCGTCGTTGAATCGATATACTACGTCGGTTATGAAAAATAGCGTCGTCTGTGATTGAATTTCTTTTTATTTATAAAGCTTAATAATCATTGTTTATGGATTGCAATTTGCCAAGGGAAAAGAGCAAGCGCCATACCCCCAAGCAACCATTGATGAAGTCAAGAATGAATGGGCAGAGTTTGTTTGCCTTCATATGGAGTAGAGGATTTTTAGAACACTTGATATTTTTATATAATGTACAAATTTTATCTATAATATATAATGTACAAATTTTGTCTATAATATACATCCTTTTTTTGCCTGAAAATTTGTTGAGGTTTTCTTAATTTAAAAAAAAATAAATTGCGTAACCGACGTGTAATAACTTTCCAACAACATATGGGATATGTTCAGAATCGTACTCGTCCCGAAGGTTGCATTGCTAAGCGGTATATAGCTGAAGAAGCTGTAGAGTTTTGTACCAAGCATTTATCTGATGTTAGCACAGTTGGAGTGCCTTCAAGCCAAAAGATGGGAGTTTCAAAGCCATTATCAAGTTGCACAGTGAGTGTAGTTGATCGGGACCTGTTGAACCAAGCACATCTATATGTCTTGGAGAATACGGAGGAAGTCCTACCTTATATCGAGTACGTATGAGTTTTATTCTTTAAGTTTCCATTTTAAATTATTTCTTATGTTTATCTTATATGTTTGGGACCATAATGCTTGAATTTTTCGTGTCATGTAGACAACATATGATCCACATCAAGACTGCTTATCCAAAATTTAGAAAGAGAACAAAGTGGTTGTAGGACAAGCACAATAGCACTTTCATTCAATGGCTACGCTTCAAGGTATATGTTATTGAATAACATATTGGACTTTTAATTTTCTTCTTTCTATGTTAGATTGAATTAAGATATGATTAATTTGCAGGTTCAAAGTGAACTTAATGAGGAAGACAATCATGGCATATAAGAAAATTTAAGGTGGCTAGCAGCTGGTCCAAACATGGCAGTGCCATCATATAGGAGCTATCTTATTAAAGGTATTAAATTTAACATCAAGGCACAAGATGATGTGTGGACAACTCAAAATAGTGGAGTTTATTTACTTGCACATACCTTGCAAGTTGCTAGTGCCAAGGATAAAAACCCAATTCTCTCAAATATGGGTTTCTATGGTGTCATTCAAGAAATTTGGGACCTTAACTACCAAAAGTTTACAATCCCAGTCTTTAGGTGTGATTGGATAGATAGTACTTCTGGTTTTGTAGTCGACGAACTTGGATTTACCCTTGTAGATTTGAGTAAAATTGGACATAGGAATGACCAATTTGTTTTGGCTTCTCAAATCAAACAAGTATTTTTTGTTGATGACCCGATGCATCGTGGTTGGTCGGTAGTGTTATCAATGCCTAATAGAGAATATAATGATGTTATTGGTGATGATGTCTTAGGTGATGTGAGAATTGAGTGTGAGCCATTTACTAGAGGGATGCCAAATGTTGACACATTTGATGAACTTGTGGGTTGAGTTTGGGAGTCAAAATATTCGAGATGGGTGTGAAGATGTATGGATTGAATGATGCTTATGTAATTGGCAGTGTATGACATTAATTTTTAATATACTGTAATGTGATTTCTTCACTTTCATTATACAGGTTTTGGCCACAAAACAATCAGTACAAAAAATACTGGTTCAAGATTACAAACACGACGGTCTTGATAAAAATGTGAAAAACAAACGTCTGTTCTAATAAAAAACGACGTTTTGGAGCATTCAACGACCGCAATATATTTACCAACGTCTTAAAGCAACGTAACAATGAAGAACCACGACGCTATTGTGAAACAGTTATTAAGGATATCACGTCGGAGAAGCATAAAGAGCCGCCATGTAATTCCAAATAACACGACTTCAATCCCATAATATCGACGTCTAAAAGACGAGATATCTAACCTGAACGTTACAAAAGACGACGTCGTCTTAACTTTACCACGTCACATGTTCTTTCATAAACGAAGTGGGAAAGGATGAATTCACGACGGTATTTGAAATCTATTGGTAAATTTGTCGACGTTAAGATATATTTGGACGTCGTTCCTTTACAAAAACAACGTTATATGAATGTATCCACGTCTCTTTTCTTATGATAATGTCGTTAAAATTTCTTTACACGGTGAATTTCGGATAAACAACGATGTCTAATAGGAATTAGACGACGGTAATGATGACATATAAATTATGAAACATGGCTGTCTTTGGCATGATAACGACGTTGTACATTGACGACAACGTCGTCTTTATAAATTAATGTGTCGTAAGTAATTACCTCAACATATTTCCCACGTCATTTATTTTCAGATCATGTCGTTAAAACTATTTTACACGGCGGTGGACTGAGAAACGTTGCCATCTCATATGCATTAAACGGCTATTATATTTTAAAATATGACGTATAAATTCTGTAATACGACTCTCATTTATTTGGTACCGACGTTGTTTATTTAGTACAACGTCGTCTGTTTAAATATATGCGTCGTAAGTAATGACCCTAACATCTATTTCCACATCATCATTAATAGAAAAATCAAAGTGGAAAATTCATTTCACGATGGTTGTTGAAAATGTAGTGACGTAGCAGAAGTCAATAACGTCGTCGATTATGTATTTAAAGACGTCATATTTTTATTTGTCGTGAAAGGTATATTTAACAGCGGTGAGTTTTAGTTATCGTCGTTGTATGTATATCTTGTGGCCATGTTCTGTTAATATATGTCATACGTTGACTTTTTAACGATGTTTTTTTGTTAGAATTGGTCGTCTATTCTCATTCTCAACTGGTTTCTTATCTCTTTTTCCAGTACAAAGACATCGGTTTTTATTTGTTAATGATGTTGTTTGTTTTAACAATGATGGTTATTTAGCGTCGTGGTTTGATTAGGGAAAAGATGTCGGTCAATTTCACGACCATTTGAAAACGGAATACACGACGGTGAATTCCCGTCGTCTTTTTCCTTTTATGTAGTAGTGCTTGGTCCTTGTTCTTGTAAACTCAACTGTTTACAACAATAAGTGTTCGTATTATAATGGTTTGGACGTAAACATTCCATATACTTATAAAATGGATCCTTAATCTGGTATATTACAATATTTGGGTTCCCATTTATGCGTTTTTGCACCATAATTACAACATTAAGTTCCTTATAGTCCATAATCTTATAATACTATAATTTACATTAGAAAGGATCTCTCATACAATGTTAAGGTAAGGATGGACCTTGGAGAAGTAAATGTAGTCCTTATTCTTGTAGACACAACAGTTTATAATATTAAGGACCCATTTTACAATTACTTGGATGTCAAAGTTCCATAAACTTATAAAGTGTATCCATAAACTTGTAATATCATAATTTACAATAGAAAGGATATTCATAACAATATTAAGACAAGGGTGGACCTTGGAGATGTAAACTTGGTCCTTATTCTTGTAAACACAACAGTTTACAACAATAAGGACTCGTATTACAATGGTTTGTACATAAATGTTCCATAAACTTATAAAATGGATCCTTAATTTGGTATATTACAAGATTTTGGTTCCCATTTATGTGTTTTTGCACCATAATTACAAACTTATAATCCATAATCTTATAATACTATAATTTACATTAGAAAAGATCTATCTTACAATGTTAAGGTAAGGATGGATATTGGAGAAGTAAATGTGGTCCTTATTCTTGTAAACACAATGGTTTACAATATTAAGGACCCTTTTTACAATTACTTGGACATCAAAGTTCCATAAACTTATAAAGCGTATTCATAAACTTGTAATATTGTAATTTACAATAGGAAGGATATCCATTACAATATTAAGGTAAGGGTGGACCTTGGAGATGTAAACTTGGTCCTTATTCTCGTAAACTCAATAGTTTACAATAATAAGGGCTCGTATTACAATGGTTTGGACATAAACGTTCCATATACTTATAAAATGGATCCTTAATATGGTATATTACAAGATTTGGGTTCCCATTTACGCAGTTTTGCACCATAATTACAATATTAAGGTTCCTTACAATCCTTAATCTTGTAATACTATAATTTACATTAGAAATGATCTCACTTATAATGTTAAGCCAATGGTGGACCTTGGAATGTAAACGTGGTCCTTATTGTTGTAAACGCAACACTTTACAACGTAAGGACTCGTAGTACAATTTTTTGGATATAAGCATTCCATAAACATGTAAAATGGATCCTTAATCTCGTGGAATAGAATATTTGGGTTCCAATTTACGTGTTTTTGCACAAGATTACAACATGGAATGACCCATTTTATACAACCAAGTACAAAGGCCTTGGAGAAATTTGAACATGTTTCACATACTATATATGCAATTCCAAACAGGCAAAGGTAATTGCATACCGTAGTGCAATTGCCAAACAGGCGACGGTAATTGCATACCGCATTGCAATTGCCAAACAGATGACGGTAATTGCATACCATAATGCAATTGCCAAACAGACTAAAGTAATTGCATACCAAAATGCAATTGCCAAAAATGTAATGGTAATTGCATACTGTAATGCAAGTGCAATCGAAAACATGTAATTAATATCTCTTAGTTTGGGAATTGCTCATTTTGTAAATTCGATGACGATTTTGTCTTTGAAGGTTAGTGAGATTTTATATTTAATTTGCAATTGCATCTATTTATGAAATTAGTATCTCTCTAGAAAAAGTACAAATTTGTTTAAGTCTTGGTTATTGCCAGTCCAAGTTGGTTTCTAAGTTTAGGCAATTACAACTTTTGTAACTTAATGCCAAACCTCGTAGCGCCATAATTGATGATCGGCCATTATTTATTATTATTAATATATTTTTATACCCAAAAAAAAAAAGTCTCCAATATGAGTACAAATGAAATATGAACAAAATTGGCTTTCTATTAAAGTTCAAAACGATGTATAACTACAAAATAACAAGACCAAGTAATTTGCAATTTTTTGTTTCTAACTGATATATTATGGCTCGAAAATTGCACTTACAATAGCAAAAATTAAATAACTTTAAATACATAACCAAAAATCCAACAAAAAAGGGCAAACTGTCTTCAAAACATTAAAATATTTAATATAGAATATAAACATCAGTCTCAACAAGTCTCATCCCATTGGAAACGCATTGAACACCTACATAAACATAAAATAAAAATCATTATTCTCAATTGTGTTACAAAATGCAATATAAAATGTGAATCCTATGTATTACTTTAATATAAAAAATACATATGATTGAATTCAATAATATGTATTACTCTAACATCAAGAACATATTTGATGGATATAATTATTTACTATGAAAAATAACACTATGCCATGACCCATTGAAAAACAAATTCAATGAGAGAGGTATTTCAATAAAACAGATTTATTGAAATATATTCAAATTGGAAAGATATTCTTGTATGACCGTAGAACAAAACTACCCTAAAACAGAGCCTTAACCAATAGTTTGGTCCAACCTCTATGTCAAACAGAAAATTAGACATCTTACACAAAATTCAAAGAGTATCAAAGAGATAGACTGTATAACTAGGGCATATACAAAAGCCAAGAAACATAAACAAGAAAGACCTGAAGCATGCAAAGTGTAAGAGATAGAAAACAATGAAAGAAACAGTAAAAGTGATCAAACATTAAAAAGCAACAAGGATTACACAAGCAATTGCATAATGTTACTTATGCAACTGCTAAATAGTAATGCAATTGACAGACAGAAATAAACTAAGCAACATGAGAAATGCAATCAACTGACAAAACTTGGCCTTTAATTGATTTCTAACAGAAATTGCATAGCTTAATTATTTTATGAGACTACCAGAATAAGAAATATTTGTATGCATATTGCATGAGTTGTGTTATTATTTAGATCACAAGCTACAACACAATTTCTACTCTTCTTTTTGCCAATGACACTATTTATGGTCTTAATCGCATAATGCACCACACTAGCTATCTAAAACTTGTGTTTTTCTGAAACAATTGCACTATAAGTTTCTGCCCTTATTCACTTGCACCTCCTATTCAATTTATATAAACGAGTTCTTATAAAGAACCATGGAAGAAGAGAATAACTCAAACAAAATCCTACATGTGCAAGCATTTGTTTTGTGCATGCAGCAACCCCAAATAAATTCACTCATTATCCATATCATACACACGTACATTATTAAAATAAAAAAGCCACCAAAATCACCGCCAAACTTATTATATACGATATGAAAAATATGAATGGAAATTTGAACATATAATATGAACTTGAGGAGCGCCATTCATATTCAACAAAAAGAAAATTATTATCACGCATAAATCGTATAATATGAATGGTAAATTAATCTCAATAAAGAAACAAGTTCTAGAACTTCAAACTAGCCTGCCAAAAAATGGAATTTAAATATAAAATTGCATACCAAGCGGATCTTGAGAGCAAATCCAAATAATAGTAAACTTGGAATGCCAAAAATATTCAACAAAAAACCTAAACAACACAAAACCCTGAAAATATTAGGCTAACAAGAAATGGAAAAGAATAAAAAGGAAATATGAAACAAAACCAAGGAAAAAAATTGTTGCTGATGGGTCGGGTTTTCAATGAATCTTAAATCTGTGATGAGATGGGGTTCAAGATTCGAATATACAACAATAAGACATTATAGCTAGGCTGAGATGAGATCGAAGATGCGGCATGCAGTTTGCATCAAGCCTTTGTCACTGTTGAGAGAGAGGAGAGCTTATCAATTTGTATATGGGAGAAAGACTCAGTCACTACCGTGAAGAAATAGAGGAGTCGACGTGTGAGATGGGTTGTTGGTCACCGTCGACAAAGTGATAAAGGAGAGGGTGCTTTTCTGTTTCTAAAAAAATTCTCAAATGAGATGAAGGAAATAGACAAAGGGAACAAAGGTGCAAAAGTTTGGTAGGATTGTCCTACCAAATTTTTGACTAACACATATGAATCACATCAAGAAATACCTAGAGAATCAAATAGATAAGATCTCTAGGAAAATTCAAAAACCAATGATGAACTTCTCAAGAACACATAAAACATTTCATTTCTTTTTTATTCTTCAAAATTCACACATAAATCCTAAAATCATGGAAAAATGATATTTATGTCTAGGATTTTAGGACCAACATAACCATGTAAACATTTCACACATAGACACACACTAGCACAAAAATCACCATGTACTGCCGCCACCCTTTTAGTGCCCTATCTTGATTTTTCTTTTCATATTACATCTCATTCCATCTATATCTCATATCCCTTGAATAAGTAACATGTAAAAGAAAATATAGCACATAAATCATATAGGTTTGAATTAAGCCCATATTAGAACCAATAACCAAAAATAAAGGCACAAAGAGACTAGACCTTGGCTCTTGATACCACTCGAAGGAAACATTGCATCTCATGTCTTGGAAATGAATTTAACCACAACATATAACACGAAAGCATTCATAATGGTGGACTAATTTTGCTTATTCTAGTTGAGCTAAGCCTTTTTCATTTAGTCTTCTTGACAAAGGATTGTGATGCAAGTGCTAACTTTATTAATGATACCCATTGTAAATGAATGCACAAATTATCTGGGTTTTGTAGCCTCATAAGCTCTTCAATGTACTTCAACTTTCTAGCAAATACCCAAGTCCTAATTTCTAAAGATGAGTTAAGAGGAATTACATGAAAATTAATGATGACTAGACATGCATATTTGACTAGTCATACATGGCAACACTATAATGCATGCAATGCAATGTATGCTTTTTACCTTCAAAGATGTTGATTCCATTTGAGCCATGACAAGGTTGATCTCAATTATGTAATCTCATCTTCAATGCAGACTTAAACTATCCTAAATTCCTTGAGCTTGAGTGATTTCATCCAAATTCCTTGAGCTTGAGTTTGAGTGATTACATACAAGATTACAATTTTGTCAAGAAAAGCTAAAAACATTAGCTAAACAAAATCTAACACCATCCAATAGGAAACCACATAATTCGATGGACGCAATTCCCCACCTCATAAGACACTTATCTAATTGAAAGACAATGTTTTGTTTTTTATTTTATCATTTCTTGGTAGACTTCAACCACTTGATCGTTTTCTATGATTTTTGGCTTGTAAACGTGATATAGTTAACAGTCCACCCACGCAAGGATTGAAATATTGGCCGATACACCGATATATCGGCAGATATATCGGTATTTTCAACTATCGACATCGATACTAGGGGGTAAGGCCATATCTTCCCCTATATCGACGATATATCCCCGATAAGTGTGATATTCTCGATATTTTGCCGATATCCTCGATATTTCCCGATACCCATAACAAAACCCAAAAAAAATTCAGAAGTTTTGAAGGCAATTGAAGCAAATTGAAACCCAAAAATAGCTAATCATTGCCCAGAACCCTATAATTTATTAATATGATAGAAGAATCTATGCACAGTCCACTGCCCACATACCTCCAATCCATCTAAAGAGGACATGGCGATCAGTTGATCTATAAGCATAGGAACTAGACCTAGTACTAACTCAAATGAATTTTATAATGGCTATGGTTATGTCATGTCTGATTATAGGGGAACTAGTTATGGAGCTCAAGATGATAAAAAAGATTATGGACCTACTAGTTGGTTAATCATAACTATCCCATATATGGGAGGACAATAGGGGGCTCAAGAGAGACCTATGTGTATCATGTTCAAACATGGCTTACAAACTGCTCGGGTTACATGACTTGGTATGACTATTGTATGAATCTAGATGGTTGTTCCTCATAGGAGCTCTTCATTTATGTAAATGGACACTTATCTAAATTGTAATCCAATGTTTAAACAAACTATGGATTTATGCATGATTTATTCATTCTAATTAACATTTTATTTTCGAACTTTTCATTAACACGCATTACATATCACTTATATTTCATCATATGTATATCTTATTATTAGTAAATTTTGAGTTTTATTTGTTCAATACATTCATTGATAATGTACATAACATCTATGAAAGTTTTACACCAATATTATGTGTTTCAATGCCTATATCTGTCATTTTTGTTGATTTTTTCCCGATACTTAAAACGATAACGATATATCCCCCGAAATATCCGTAAATTAGAGGCCCGATATTATCTGCACGGCCGATATTTTAATCCTTGCACCCACATTGCTGATCATATTCATTCATGCAGGGGATTTGGATTCAAAATTCTCTGGAAACTCCGTTTTTCTTAATGCATGTCCTTGTCCTCCTTAAACATGAATATAGATATATAGTCTGGAATTTATAAGCACAACTTTAGTTACTAACACATGACAATATCAGAGGTTTATGGAGCAATAATCATTAGTCCTCCAAGTTTTCATGATTTCTTTCGTTATGCTGATTCCTTTGGACTTTTTCGTTTTCTCTCTTTTAATTTCTTTGGGTATACGTAAGAGATGGAATATTAGTATACTCGTGATACTCTTCAGATATATAAAAGAGAAAGAAAGAGAAGGAATGTAGTAAGTGTACTTAAAGAAAGGTTGAAAAGAAAAAGCCTGATTCTTAATTCACCAATGCACTCCAACCACACTACTTTACGATGAAATCCTTTACTCTTATAACTGAGTTGTAAACATTTATCTGGTTGTGAATAGCTGTAAGAATGGTTGAAAAGAAGCAGTTCAAGCTCTTTGAAGAAGCACAGAAAAAAATCAATTTTTAATTTAACAGTGAAGCACGTGCTTAAAATGTGACTTTTTTAACAGAGATTTGGATGAAAATTGCCAAAAACTAACGTACGGTGGGGAGTAAATTGGCAAGAAAATTTAGTATGAGGTTAATTGGTAGGAAAACAAGTTTAGGGTGGAGATTTCGACAAGTGTGATAGTTCATAGTGTTTTTCGGCATATAACCCTTCTTTTAGTACAAGCGATTGTCAAAACTTAAATGAGAAGGAGGTTTTTCACACACACACACTATCAAGATGTCAGGGGAGTTTGAACCGCAGATTATTAGTCAAAAAATTAAAGTCATTTTCCACTGATAAGGTTTTTTTTTTTTTTTTTTTTTTTTTTTTTTTTTTTTTTCTGGGCAACTCGGCTTGACCCGCTTTGTCAATAATGTGTAAGAATTGAGATGGTATTCAACCGTATTCTAATACCAAGGGTATATTACTATTTGCATAAGAGTGTTTTGTCTGTTCATGGAGTGTTGAAACCTTGAAAAGGTGTTTGTGTAATTATCATGATCTGAAGGAGTTATATAAAAACCCTAAAAACCTCAAGGGTGTAAATTACTCTTTGTTGAATTTCTTTAATTACGTCAACGAATGGAAATGGTAAATTACATAATTGATTAACTCAATTGGATATAGTAAAAAAAAGAAAAAAGAAAAAAGAAAAGAGGACACTTGTCAAAGAGACGGAAAGAAGAGATAAAGAAAAAAAGAGAGAGAAAAAGTGTCCTAAGTGGAGTTAGCTTCAGAGGGTCTAAGTGAAATTCTCCGTTTCTATTATCTTCAACAATAGAAAATAACATAATTCTCACCCTTTGTGGACCCCATTGCTTTAACAAGTGATTGTTCACTCAATTGGGTATAGTAAATAAAACAGAAATTGCTGAGCCTCTCCTAAGTAAGCCCTTTGTCAGATCCATCTAAGAATGGCCATCTCCGCAGATGCAGCTGTTGTGGAACTTCTTGATAGCAGTAACTATGTGGATTGGAGTGTATTGGTTAAAAATTACTTGTTGGCTCAAGACCTTTGGGATGCAGTGGAAGAAGAATATGAAGACGATGAAGAAGAAGAAGAAAAAGGCATATCGAAGAGACGGAAAGAAGAGGGAGGAGGAAAGATAAAGAAAAGAATAGAGAAAAAAAATGTCCTAAGAGCATCCATAATGGGCTCCCTAAATCACGTCCTTAAACAAATTTTAGGGAGGAATTGTAAAAGTACAACTCCAACCATACTCTCTATCCACTTCCTAAAATAGGGAAACCTTTAGGAGCTCCTAAATTTGAGGAGAGAGAAAGGACTCCTAGTGGCTTCCTATAATTTAATGCTGCTTTATTTAATGTGTATTTCAAACCTTTATTTAATGCTAAACATTTTTTATTTTATTTTTTAATAGAGATGGACCAATCAAAAAAGAATTATAGCATTTATGACTCATAAACTAGAGAGCACGATTGAAGTTTAAATTTTATAGAGAGCTCCTAAAATAACTTTGATATATTTTTAGCTAAAATTAACTAAAAAATAGAGAGCATAATAGTGGAGTTAGCTTTAGAGGGTCTAAGTGAAATTCTCCGTTCCTATTTGATGTAGAACAGATTGAAGATTTTATCGCGATTGAGCAAGAAAAGGGACGTGGTGGGAATTTGCAGAATTGTCGTCCGAGCTCCGATTAGGGCGCAAAATACCATTTCGGAAAGGGAACGATGCCACGAGTCAAACTCACAGCTTTGCTGTGACATACGATGGATTTTGGCATTCTGGAGTCGTTTGGCCTTTCAAAACTGCAGTCAAAGTTCGAAGTTAATTCTAAATAAATTCTGTTTTTCCGTTTCGGAGTTACATAGTTAATTCCCAAAATAAATTCTGTTTTTTTTTCAGTTTCGGAGTTACATAGTTAAGTCTCCGAATTAATTCTGTTTTTTCAGTTTTATTGTAATAACTCCCCTAGCAGTTACAAGGGTTGAGAGTTGTGTATTTAGACGGGTTCGTCTAACGTTTTTGAAGTAGTTCAGATTTTAATCAAATTAATCAAAGAGAGTTTCTCTTAATTTCTGGTGGATTCCAGTTTCCTTGTTACTCAAGGTTTTCGTTTGAAACCTTATTTGCTTGTGCTGCGTCAAGTGGTATCAGAGCGGGTCTCTCCCGTCTTGGTATTCTTGTCTTATCATGGGTGATCGTGAAGCTGATGTCCCAGCCCCAATTACTCGAGCGGATCTGGACGCTCAAAACCAACGGATCGACAACCTAACCACCCAATTTGGGGAGATGCGAGAATTGTTGTTGCAAGCTCTTGGTGGCAACCATAGGCGAGGAGGCAGGGATGACGAAAGAAGAGAAGGCAGGGATGATAATCGAAGAGAAGGTAGAGATGGCGAGAGAAGAGATAATAGGAGGCAACTTATTCCGGATAGTGAGTCAGAGTCAGAAGAAGAACTTGAAGAACCACCACCACCGGCTAATAATCCTCGTAATCGTAATCGTAATTACGAGAATTTTGGCGACTATCGGATTAAAGCAGAAATTCCTAACTTTTGGGGAACTCTGAAGATTGAAGACTTCTTGGATTGGCTTGTAGAAGTGGAGAGGTTTTTCGATATTATGGAGGTTCCTGAGCATAAAATGGTGAAGATGGTAGCTTTCCGTCTTAAAGCTACAGCGGCTGTTTGGTGGGATCAATTGCAAAATTTACGGCAGAGGCAAGGAAAGCAGCGGGTTCGAACATGGCGGAAGATGAAGTCGCTTATGATGGAACGATTCTTGCCCACAGATTATGAGCAGATTCTCTACCGTATGTACCTAGGCTGTGCGCAAGGCACCCGTTCAGTTTCTGAATATACCGAAGAATTCATGCGTTTGGCAGAACGAAACCATTTGACTGAGACTGACAACCAAAAGGTCGCGAGGTACAACAATGGGCTGAAGATTTCCATCCAGGAAAAAATTGGTATGCAGAATATATGGACTTTGCAGGAGGCAATTAACATGGCATTGAAGGCTGAATTGTTGGAGAAGGAGAAACGCCAACCCAACTTCCGCAGGAACACGACGGAAGCCTCTGAATACACTGCTGGTGCTTCTAGTGGCTCGGGAGATAAGGGGAAAGCACAGCAGCAGAATCTTGGAGGACCGACAAAACCAGCAACAGTTGGCCAAAACAAAAATTTCAACGAAGGTAGCAGCCGGAATCACAACAGAGGGCAGCCCCGAAACCAGTCCCAGAATCCGTATGCTAAGCCCATGACGGACATATGTTACCGTTGCCAAAAACCAGGGCATCGTTCTAATGTTTGTCCAGAGCGGAAGCAGGCCAACTTTATCGAAGAAGCCGATGAAGATGAGGAAAACGGTGAAGTCGGGGAAGATGATTATGCAGGGGCTGAATTTGCAGTTGAGGAAGGAATGGAGAAGATTACCTTGGTTATGCAGAGAGTTCTTTTGGCACCAAAGGAGGAAGGGCAGCGTCATAGTATTTTTCGTTCCCTCTGCTCAATCAAAAACAAGGTGTGTGATGTGATAGTCGACAATGGAAGTTGCGAGAATTTCGTGTCAAAGAAATTGGTGGAGTATTTGCAGCTATCTACGGAGCCTCATGTCAGCCCTTACTCACTAGGTTGGGTTAAAAAAGGCCCTTCGGTTCGTGTAGCTGAGACTTGCCGAGTGCCACTGTCAATTGGTAAGCATTACAGAGATGAAATATTATGTGATGTTATTGACATGGATGCATGCCATATTTTGTTAGGGCGACCTTGGCAATTTGATGTGGATGCAACTTTCAAGGGACGAGATAATGTAATTCTGTTCTCTTGGAACAACCGGAAAATTGCAATGGCAACCACACAGCCCGCAAAGCAATCTGTTGAGCCCAAGACAAGGAGTTCTAGTTTCCTAACCCTAATTCGCAGCGAGCAGGAGTTGAACGAGGCTGTCAAAGAAGCGGAGTGTTTTTGTCCCTTGGTGTTGAAGGGGTTGTTGAAAATTGGCGGAGGAGAAGGTGACATTCCACAAGATGTGCAGCAGATTTTGAATCAATTTCAGGAACTACTTTCTGAAAATCTGCCAAACGAGCTGCCTCCTATGCGGGACATACAGCACCGAATTGACTTGGTGCCTGGAGCTAGCCTTCCGAATCTGCCCCATTATCGGATGAGCCCCAAGGAGAATGACATCCTGAGAGAACAGATTGAAGAATTACTGCGGAAAGGATTTATCCGGGAGAGTTTGAGTCCCTGCGCAGTTCCTGTTTTGCTGGTTCCAAAGAAAGACAAAACTTGGCGAATGTGTGTTGATAGCCGGGCAATCAACAAGATAACAGTCAAGTACAGGTTTCCCATTCCACGGTTAGAAGATATGCTGGACGTTCTTGGCGGCTCAAGGGTGTTTTCCAAGATAGATTTGCGAAGCGGATACCACCAGATTCGCATACGACCTGGAGATGAATGGAAAACAGCGTTCAAGAGCAAGGACGGATTATTTGAATGGTTGGTGATGCCATTCGGATTGTCAAATGCACCTAGCACTTTCATGCGACTCATGAATCAGGTTCTTCGACCATTTATTGGTTCTTTTGTCGTTGTTTATTTCGATGACATTTTAATTTACAGTACCACAAAAGAAGAACATCTTGTGCATTTGAGACAAGTTTTAGATGTGTTGAGAGAAAATAAGCTGTATGTGAACCTTAAAAAATGTACTTTCTGCACAAATAAGCTACTGTTCTTGGGTTTTGTTGTTGGTGAGAATGGTATCCAGGTAGATGACGAGAAGATCAAGGCAATCCTTGACTGGCCAGCTCCAAAGACAGTTTCTGAAGTTCGAAGCTTCCATGGCTTGGCCACCTTTTACAGAAGATTTGTGAAGCATTTTAGCACCGTTGCTGCACCTATCACAGAATGTTTGAAGAAGGGCCGGTTCAGCTGGGGAGAGGAGCAAGAGAGAAGCTTTGCAGAAATAAAAGAAAAGCTTTGCACCGCACCGGTTCTAGCTCTTCCAAACTTTGAGAAAGTTTTCGAAGTTGAATGTGATGCCAGCGGTGTGGGAGTCGGAGCTGTGCTCTCACAAGACAAGCGGCCAATTGCGTTCTTTTCTGAAAAGTTGAGCGATGCACGTCAAAAGTGGAGTACTTATGACCAAGAGTTCTATGCGGTTGTTCGAGCTTTGAAGCAATGGGAGCACTATCTTATCCAGAAGGAATTTGTTTTGTTTACAGATCATCAAGCGTTGAAGTATATTAACAGCCAGAAAAATATTGATAAAATGCATGCTAGATGGATGACTTTTTTGCAGAAATTTTCGTTCGTTATCAAGCATACTTCCGGCAAAACCAATCGTGTGGCAGATGCGCTGAGTAGGAGAGCTTCATTATTAGTCACGCTGACTCAAGAAGTTGTGGGGTTTGAATGTCTGAAGGAATTATATGCAGGTGACGATGATTTCCGGGAAATTTGGATTAAGTGCACTAATCAAGAGCCAATGGCAGATTACTTTCTCAATGAAGGTTATTTGTTCAAAGGCAACCAGCTGTGTATTCCAGTTTCTTCTTTAAGGGAGAAGCTCATTCGGGACTTGCATGGTGGAGGGTTGAGTGGCCACCTAGGCCGTGACAAAACAATTGCATTGATGGAGGAGAGATTTTACTGGCCACAGCTCAAACGTGATGTTGGAACTATTGTGCGCAAGTGCTACATTTGTCAAACTTCGAAGGGGCAGGTACAAAACACTGGATTATATATGCCATTACCAGTTCCTAACGATATTTGGCAGGATCTTGCTATGGATTTTGTCCTCGGATTGCCCCGAACACAAAGGGGAGTGGACTCTGTATTTGTGGTGGTTGATCGGTTCTCAAAAATGGCGCATTTCATAGCCTGCAAAAAGACTGCCGATGCATCAAATATAGCCAAACTGTTTTTCAGGGAGGTTGTTCGCTTGCATGGGGTTCCTACATCCATTACATCTGATCGTGACACCAAGTTCTTGAGTCATTTTTGGATCACTTTGTGGAGACTGTTTGGGACTACTTTGAATCGTAGCAGCACTGCCCATCCCCAAACTGATGGCCAGACTGAGGTTACAAACCGGACATTGGGCAATATGGTGCGAAGCGTCTGTGGAGAGAAGCCGAAACAATGGGATTATGCATTACCGCAGGTGGAGTTTGCATACAACAGTGCAGTCCATAGCGCTACTGGGAAGTCTCCATTTTCCATTGTTTATACTGCTATACCTAACCATGTTGTAGATTTGGTGAAACTGCCTAGAGGCCAGCAAACCAGTATGGCAGCGAAAAATTTGGCTAAGGAAGTGGTAGCCGTTCGAGATGAGGTCAAGCAGAAACTTGAGCAAACAAATGCTAAGTACAAAGCTGCTGCGGATAGGCATCGACGTGTTAAAGTGTTTCAAGAAGGCGATTCTGTGATGATATTTCTGAGGAAGGAGAGGTTTCCAGTTGGCACTTACAGCAAGCTTAAACCGAAGAAATATGGTCCTTACAAAGTGCTCAAACGGATCAATGATAATGCCTATGTTATTGAGTTACCGGATTCCATGGGAATTTCCAATATTTTTAATGTTGCAGATTTATATGAGTTCCGTGAAGATGAGGTTCTTTATCCCGAACATAACTCGGGGACGAGTTCTTCGGAGGTGGAGAGGACTGATGTAGAACAGATTGAAGATTTTATCGCGGTTGAGCAAGAAAAGGGACGTGGTGGGAATTTGCAGAATTGTCGTCCGAGCTCCGATTAGGGCGCAAAATACCATTTCGGAAAGGGAACGATGCCACGAGTCAAACTCACAGCTTTGCTGTGACATACGATGGATTTTGGCATTCTGGAGTCGTTTGGCCTTTCAAAACTGCAGTCAAAGTTCGAAGTTAATTCTAAATAAATTCTGTTTTTCCGTTTCGGAGTTACATAGTTAATTCCCAAAATAAATTCTGTTTTTTTTTCAGTTTCGGAGTTACATAGTTAAGTCTCCGAATTAATTATGTTTTTTCAGTTTTATTGTAATAACTCCCCTAGCAGTTACAAGGGTTGAGAGTTGTGTATTTAGACGGGTTCGTCTAACGTTTTGAAGTAGTTCAGATTTTAATCAAATTAATCAAAGAGAGTTTCTCTTAATTTCTGGTGGATTCCAGTTTCCTTGTTACTCAAGGTTTTCGTTTGAAACCTTATTTGCTTGTGCTGCGTCACTATTGGTCAACGATATCACCGGAGTTCATCAAACTTTATTGGTCAATTCATAATGTGGTCGGACAAAAGTAAGTATGAATGAGTTGTAACTGGTCCCATTAGACGCGTTTTTGGGTTTACCATCAGTGTGCTGGTGGCAGTAGCCAGTAGGGGCCTATACCAATTAAAAGACTCTTCTGATAAAAAAAGACTCATAATGAGCGGGTGTATACAGTGTATATATATATATATATATATATTGCTTTAACAAGTGGTTCTTCACTCAATTGGGTATAGTAATTAAAACAGAAATTGCAAAGCCTCTCCTAAGTAAGCCCTTTGTCAGATCCATCTAAGAATGGCCGTCTCCGCAGATGCAGCTGTTGTGGAACTTCTTGATAGCAGTAACTATGTGGATTGGAGTGTATTGGTTAAAAATTACTTGTTGGCTCAAGACCTTTGGGATGTAGTGGAAGAAGAATATGAAGACGACGATGAAGAAGAAGAAGAAGAAGCTGATGATAAGTTCAAAGCTTGGAGGAAGAAGAATGCCACGGCTTTACATAAAATCCAAATTTCGTGCGGGCGGAAAGCCTTTTCCCTCATTAGAAACGCCACTTCAGCCAAACGCGCTTGGGATACTTTGGCAGAAAAGTTCAAGCCAAAACCATTTCATCCAAGTAAGTCACCAGTTCAAATCTTGAACCTCATCAAACAACCCCCCGGGTGTACTTGGTTCTCTTTCTGTGAGAAGTAAATATTTTACTTAAATAAGTTTATTTGAGGGACACCTTTTATAGGGACCACTCCGCATTGTATTTCACTCATCCAAACCGCCTATTTTGTAGATATTCATTTAATAACATTTGACCATTCAAATTATTGAAATTTAAGTACTTTTTTGAAGTATCGTGTTCCTTGATTTTGTCGGTCTCAATTAAATTCCTTAATGATTTTCAATTTATCTGATTTTTTCAAGGATGATCTAAGAATGAAGACTTGAAAAATAGACGGTTTGAATTGTTGAAAAAAAAATCGTAGGGTGTCGCTCAAATAAAATATATATAATATACCAAGACCACAATTTCTGCTGCTTATGTTAAGGACTCCTAATCATTTTACTTTTATTTCTTTTACATTTTGGTCTCCCTTTTACTGTATACGAAAAGAAATTTATATCCTTATGCAAATTACATGTGCAACAATGTGGAAATTAAATCTAACAGTGTCAATTTAGCCCTTTGACTTTATTTATTTATTTTTAAATATCATAAAACTACCCACAATCATATTTCTATTCCATTCAAGATGTCGGCATATAGTGGCCCTCAAAGTAAAAAAAAAAAAAAAAAAAAAAAAAAAAAAATGCTATGCATGGGTACAATATTTTCAATTATTAAAACAAAAAATAAGTGGATTATGCTATATGAAATAATTAATTAATTAACACAAACTTGGTGCAGGATATGACGAGCGTCTGTTTAAGCCGTTATTCGATGCTACGAGGCTTGGGGATTGGAATAAAGCAAAGGAGTTTCTTACCCTACATCCAGATGCAATAAGAGCAAGACATCCGTACTCAAACAAGACAGCTCTTTACATGGCAACAGAACTAGAGCACGAGCATATTGTGGAAGAGTTGGTGCAGTTGATGTCCGAGGAAGACTTGGAAATAACAGATAATTATGGTTGGACAGCTCTTGCTCTTGCTGCACAAAGAGGAAATATCAAAATGGTTGAATGCATGGTTGGAAAAAGCAAGAAAATACTTAGTATTACCACTAACCAGAATTTGACTCCAATTCTCTTGGCTTCTAACAATGACCAATGGGACGTCGTTCATTATCTTTACTCCGTCACTCCCATCGAGGATCTAATGCCAGAAAAAGGCCCATACGGCGCGGCACTTATTTACTACTTTATAACTGGAAGGAAATTTGGTAAAAATTTTAATCTTATAACAACTAATTTGATAACTCGTTTTTTTCCTTATAATAAAATTTCTTTTTCTCTACTACAGGTATGGCTCGGGAATTAATTCGGTGTTGCCGACAATTGGTCCTTACTAAAGACCACTATGGGGCATTTCCGATAGAAGCATTTAGGCCTTCTGCATTTCCGAGTGGAACACGCCTCAAATTCTGGCAACAATGGATCTATGATAGTTAGTGTCCACATTTTCTTTTCCTCTTACAATTACAATTTAGAATGTGATGTGATACTCTGATACTATTGTTGGTTTATGTGTTTAGGAAAATTGGAACAATAGTACAACGCCTTAGGTACATAGAATTAGGCTAATTGGCCTCCTAGTGATGTAGCTATTGGCTACTTCACCTAGTTGATAACTCTAGGCTAATGACCCTTCACTTAGGCCCCGTTTGTGATTGCTTTTTTTGGCAAAAAACCTGCTTCACTTTACAGTTAAACAGTTTAAGGTGTTTGGTAAAAATAAAATATCTCGATTATTTTAAAAGCAGTGGCCTTTTGACAACAGCTTTTAAAAGTAGGTTATGCGTTGCTTTTCAAAGGTGCTTTCAAAAAAGCAGAGATGAACCTTTAATGAATTTTTTTTAATTCCCAAAATACCATCATTCATTTTAAAAAATGGCACCTCCACTTCCACATCCAACTCCACCACTACATTCACCGCCTTCACTACCACATCCTCCGCCACGGCCACCACCTCTACCACCACCTCCTCCAAAACCTCCACATCCACCACCACCTCCACAACCACCACCACTGCCACCACCACACTACCATCACCACCACCACCACTACCACAACCACCAACTCCACCTTCATTCCCACTACCACCTTCACCTCCATCTATTTCACCACCACCTCCACTCTATCACCACCATTACTACAACATGATTAGTACATAACACTTTCAACATCATGTCTATTATCATTATTCACAGTTACAACAATTTTATATTAAAATTTACCAAATGGTTTTGACACTGCTTTTTGTACTAACAGCACTTTAAAAATATTGTTTCTCAAACATGGAGCTGCTTTACTTTACAGCTAATTATTTTCAAATCACAGCATAAACAACTTTTTTTTTTAAAGTGACAGCAATTTCAAACTGGGTCTTAGATTGATGAGTGTTTGGACATGTGAGTGGAAATAGCAGCACTCTTTAAAAATAATAAAGCTTAACAGAGTTAAAGTTCAGTTAAGGGTTTGGACAAATGTCAAAATACTATACAAGGTACATGAAATTTGGGGACATCAGATCTCAACCTCATGAGGGGACATGCATATAGAACATATATATGCAAATTTATTATGACAAGAGATATCCATAATTGTAATATAAATAGTTATTCGAAATATATTGATTGAGGTTAATTACTGTAATTTTTTTGAAAGGTATACACATAGATTGCGCCATCAATGATATTCGTGTAAGTGTTCCAAATGAAGGAAATGAAGAACATAATCGAACAAAGATCGCTTGGTCAGGTATGTTACGACTTAAATGTAAGACTGGGGTTTTATTTGGCAAAATGGAAATCATTTTTTCATATGTTATCAAACTGTTCTTATAGTTTCTAATACTACACCCAATTTGTTTGTTTTCTTGCATTAAGTATAGTGAAGAATAGGTAATGTTCATGAACAAATAAGAATTTATCATTGCATAGGTTTGAAGACAATCGAAGGAAACCAATCTACACTAACATGGTATGAACTTACATGAACTGTGGGCCCTGCACCTCAACCGACTCCCAGGAAAATCCAACTCTGACCCACAGCCTCATTTTGGGCGGTTCTGGATGCCACATCTAGGGGGCTATTTTATACAGACCACTACTAACATAAAGTGGAGGAGTCATCTGCCTTATCTAAGGACCTCACTATAGAATTCTTGTCTAGTGGACTCGCACTAACAGTAGGCAAAATTTTTAAAATATTTGTCGGTCGACCATCATTCATTCATTGCTTAGACTTAGATTTAAAAAAGGGATTAGAAATTGGAGAAAGTTGACGAAACTCAGCTTCTGCTTCAAGAACGATTCTATTACTATCTGAACGTTTCTCTGCACCCATTTTGTCATCTAATTAACAGAGATATATACAGCTATCCCCGTCATGTGTTTGGATTTTGAATTTCCATTGCAGTGCTAGGTTTCTTGCAAGGTCTGAACACAAATCTCCTTGAAATTTTGGGTATGCTACATTGTTTCCATATTTCCTTTGTTCTCCATTATTATTTTAAAAGTTTTTTTTCTTTCTGGAATTAGTTGTATAACATGTTTTTCCAATGCCAACTTAGGAATCAAACGCCTACGAGAAATGAAATTGGCCCATATTGAAGCCCTTGAACTCCTAGATAATATGTGTGAAGTGACAAAACATTCAGATAGCGAAGACTTTCTCTTTCCGGCAGTTTTCCGAGCTACCGAGCTAGGAATGTTTGAGTTTATTGACCGTGTATTGCAAGCAAGACCAAATATCGTGTGGGCGTGTAATTCAAAGAGAAGGAACCTTTTTCAGTTTGCCATTGAATGTCGTCAAGAAAAAGTTTATAACCTTTTTTATTATAAACTCAGTAAAAGACGAAGAACTGCGATTGGAAATATTGTAGATCAGGATAACAATTGCGCGCTACATGTGGCAGGGACGCTTTCACCATTAGCAAGGCTCGATAATATCTCAGGTGCAGCTTTGAAAATGCAGAGAGAACTACAATGGTTCAAGGTCAGAACATATAATTCAGTGTTAGTTTTGTTTCTCCCTCTTATTAATTAGTTTCCAACATATATATATATATATATATTCTAAAGACCATTTTTTGTTTGGAAATTGTGGGAATTAGTTTCTAACATAAATTGTTGAGGCTAAAATGAGTCATTTCCTTATTGTGGGTTCGTTTTTAGTTACAAAAAAGTGTAAAAAAGTTGTCAGCAGAGTTAAATTTAGGGCTTGTCCAATATAGGTCCCTAAAATTTCTATTTCCTAGACATATATCCATCATTCTATAAATCTATGTGTAAAACCCAATTTCAAACTTAAATGACCAGTAGGATATAAGAGGTCGTAGTATTCTTATGTTTTTACATCCTTGCCATCAGACTTCATATTTTATTTATAATTTATTCCAAGCATTTCATTAACTACCATAATTGTAATTAAAACTCCCTATTAATAGCATATCAAACACCCCATTTCTTTTGGTTGTCATTCCCTCTAACATATGGCCCCTTAAAATTGCAAATAAAAAAATATGTAAATTACATATCCAATAATGTACATATGAAAAATATAAATATAAATATATCCGTATAAAAATATAGGTATATTATTTACCAAAAAAATTAACAAAAATAGGTCAATTACTTTGTATTTGAAATTTCCGTACATTTTTCATAAATTAAAAATAGGTACACAACAATTTATAGAAAATAGGTAAATTATTTAGAAGAAAAAAAAAGTTCATTATACTAGGTAAATTTTTTTACTAGGTATACATAATCAGAGAAAAAAATAGGTTCATTATACTAGGTAAATTATTAGAGAAAAAAAAATAGGTACATTATTTTGAGAGAAAAAAATAGGTACATTATTAGAGAAAAAAATAGGTTCATTATACTAGGTACATTATTAGAGAAAAAAAAGTAGGTACATTATTAGAGAAAAAAAAGTAGGTACATTATTTTGAGAGAAAAAAATAGGTACATTATTAGAGAAAAAAAATAGGTTCATTATACTAGGTACATTATTAGAGAAAAAAAAGTAGGTACATTATTTTGAGAGAAAAAATAGGCTCATTTAAAAAAACAATTGTTTTCATAAAACAAACAATAAAAGATGATCAAAATAAAACAAGTAATAAAAAAAAAATAGAGAAAATATAGGTTCATTAAAAAATTGTTTTAAAAACAAAATAATAAATAGATTATCAAATTATTTTTTAACATAATTAAAATGTACACTATTATTCATAAAACTATAATAAAAAAGAATACTGGTAGTATAATTCATAAAAAGAAAACAACATTAATTCCTAAATTTAATATTGAATTTAAATTATTAATACTTTAAATAGATTACTAGTTGTAATTCATAGAAGGAAAACACCATTAATTCAAAAATAGATTACTAATACTTTAATGTGGAATTTAATATTTAATTTCAAATAAGTTTCTAAATTGGTTCCTACATCCTTTACAACTATTTTGAGATATTTCCAAATTGAACGGGTATCATTAATTACACCCCCCAACACCAACCCAAATAGGGTTAGGTTTGGAATCCTAAAATTATAATAAATCAGATTTTTAGTTATATTAGGTAACTTCCTTAGTTGAACCTAGTCATCGGGTATTATTTGAAAAAATTGGGTATTTTAAATAGAAAACTAAAGGAAAGGGTTGTAGGTGATTTAAAATGAATTTTATGGGTCTAAGCTCAATTTACTATTAAATTTATTCATTCCAATATTGAAAACTAATGTTTCAATTTAAAGGAGCATCGAACGCATTTTCTAGTCAAAAACCAATGCAACATAGAAGGAGTTAAACTAGCCTATAGAAACAAAAAATGTAGAATGACAAGAAAAATAGAAATAAAGGTAGTACTCTCTAATCATCAACATTGTATTCTCTGTTCTCTAATGGTTTAGGTTTATATGGCCTATCAAATTTAAAAAATTCAAGGGTTGGTTGGAAAATTAGAATAATAACCTTTTATACTCATATGAATCTTTTGTTCAACAAAATGTAGGAGGTCGAGAATATTGTAGTACCCTTGATTAAAGAATCTTTAAATAAGGAGCATAAGATGCCACGTGAGATGTTTACCAAGAATCACAACCAATTGGCGAAGGAAGGAGAAAGATGGATGAAAGAAACTGCATCTTCATGTACAGTTGTAGGCGCTCTCATTATTACCATCATGTTTGCTGCAGCATTCACAATTCCCGGTGGAAACAATGGACAAACAGGCTTCCCAATATTCCTGCATAAAAAGTTGTTTATGGCTTTTATAGTTTCAGATGCTGTATCCCTCTTTTCTTCCACAACTTCGGTGTTGATGTTTTTGGGAATCCTTACATCACGTTATGCGGAAGATGATTTCCTTAAATCCTTACCAACAAAGATGATAATAGGCCTTTCCACCTTATTCATCTCTATTGCCACCATGATGGTTGCCTTTTCTTCTGCCCTTTTCATTATGATCCATGAACAATCGTGGATTGTTATTCCAATGATTTTCGTTGCTAGTGTTCCAGTCACCTTATTTATTTGGATGCAATTTCCTCTTCTAGTTGAGATGTACATTTCTACTTATGGACGAGGAATATTTGACAGGAAAGTGAAATCAAGGGCATAAATTCTTCTATTTGGAAGAGGAATATTTGATAGGAAAGTGAAATCATGGACATAACTTCTTGATGGTACGTGTAAGTGTTAATGTATAACTTTCGTAATGTTGTAACTTCTAAGAAGCTTGTATGCATTTTCCATGCCATGTATGTGTTCGGCATCCTATAATACAACTGAAAGTTCAATATCTATTTTATTTGCTCTTGTGTTTGGATAATATGTTGTGATTCTCGGTGAAGAAAAGCGTGTGAGAAAAGAAAATAAGTGTTGAAGTTGTTTGACTTTGTTTTGGGCTCTGCCCGTTACATACAAAGATCGAGCAATGAACAAATCAAGTTCATGAGTCGATTTTATATTATATATTTAATTTTATTCTTAGTATATTTTGGTTAATATTATGGAAGAATTTTGATATTTTGAATTATATTTCCAATATAGGTATTTCGACTTCCTCTGGAGCAAAACATAATCAAATGGACAAATTTTGGAGTAATTCTAGTTGGAGGACGTACGTGAGTCACTTAGTTTGACCGTATCAAAATATCAGACTTTTCCACCAAGCGATGATTTCCTGGTGAATAAATGAAGGAGCGATGCGCAGTGTTGGAATAGTGACGTTTTGGGCTTGTATTGCATTTTTGGAGCCCAGGATGACCTCGGATGGGTTCATGGCCTTCTGGAGAAGTGTTTGGAATATTTTTATCTTTAAAATGAGCTATCTTGGGCCAGATTTGGAGGAGATTTGAGACCAAAACGTGGTTGGGCAGATTGTGGGCAGATTCTCCTAATCCAATTTGGACTTTATTTCCTTGTCTTTTTTTATTTTAACTTAGTTTCTTTGTGGGGATTGGGTAGCTAGGTTTTAGGAGGTATTTAAGCTCCTTTTCACAGAAATTTGAAGGACTCCCTTTTGACTTCTTTTTGGCTTTGGGAGCAATTGCTAGGGATTTGGATTTTCGCTACTTTCAGGTGTTTTCATTCTTATTCATTCGAATGATATTTTCTTGGATTTCAATTATGATTATGTGTAACTAATTCTCTTTTGCTAGGGTGAAGCCTTGAACCTTAGCATGAATATGTGATTTTTATTTAATTGCTTATGATTGAGTGCATGCATACTTTGAATTGTTAATCATTGTTTTAAACTATCTAATTGTCTTAATGCCTGATCACCATTAGGATCTTTAGAAAAGTAATTAAATGCAATTTTGGTCGGAAGGTTCCCTGAAATTGATGCTAGCTTCTTGTGATTAATAATTGTAAGTTCACTTAAGGCGAACATCACGCTCTTAAGGATTGCATGGTTTTTCAAAGGATTTTCACAAAACTTAATGAGTCTTTCATGTTCAGATTTGATCCGAACGTCCGGACAAGTTGCATGTTAGATATACGTTCTATGTTGGAGGTTCCAAGTAGAATATAAATTAGGAAAACCTAACCTTCAAAGTGGCATGCGCAATCATAAGTAATTGGTAAAAATTCATAGGATTGCTAGGTGACGGTGAAACCCTAGTGCTTTCATACATTGATATTCAAAACTCTTTCTTCCAATCGTATTTGTTTTTGTTTAAATTTGTTTTTAGTATCACACAAGTTCATATTCATCTTTCTCTACTTTTAATTTTAGGTAATAAATTGGAAATTATTTTCACATAAATTGCTAAATAGTCCTTGTGGAAAACGACCTTACATGAACATCTATACTACAATAACCTTGTATTCTTGCAAATATTTTACGTGGTTTTAACCTTGTTTGCACAAGTACTAAAAACCCTATCACAAGTCAAAGGTGCCACCATGGTAAAACCTCTGTACCGTAGCAATAGTAAAATAATGCTTGACTGGATCTCGGAACTTGAAGATTATCTTAAAGTCTTGGTCTTGCAAAATGAGGCTCCGGAGACGGGGAATCTTTAATAATTGTGCAAGTTGCAACATGATCTTTCCATTCACGTTTCCATATATATATATGGGGGCGGATCAGTGGCACTATATTTTTGACACAAGTTTTGACACAATTTTTGGGCCATTAGATTACTCCACTTTTAATGGTTGAGATTACATCTGACATGGCAAAATAATATTTTTTTCTTTAATTTATATTTATATATTGGAATTATAATTAAGAATTCATTCTCTCTCATCTCATTAATTATATTTAATTAATTAATTCTCTCTCTCTCTTTCTTCTACAGAGAATTGACGCCTCCTCCTCTGCCTCTGCTTCTTCTCTCTCTCTCTCTGGTCTTCTCATCCCCAAAGCCACCCTCAACACCACCACCACTCCAACCCCTACCATACCTAAACCACAAATCACAGGGACTCTCTCTCTCTCTCCTTCCTCTCCAGTAACGCCATCGTTTCTGGACAAGGAAAGAGGGATTTTGAAGATCGCCGATCTTGGACTCAGCTGTGCCTTCACTGTACCTCGCAAGAGTTACACGCACGAGATTGTTACTCTGGTACAGAGCACTGGAAGTTCTGCTCGGTTCAACTCATTACTCTACCGACGTCGATATGTGGTCCATCGGATGTCTTTTCGGTACTTAATTCTTACTTGCTCTCACAATTTCTTTGTTTTAGTTTGGATTTAAAGTCTCAATTAATGACTTGTTAACTAATTAATTTGATTGATTGTGCTAATATTTGATTCTTAAGTCACTCTCATACTTCGGAGCTGTGAAGCAACTGGAACTAGATTCTATTCATAGTTTCCAGAGTTAGCTTCCTGTGAGTTAAAGTTTTATGATTTTGATGTGATTTCAATTATGGGTACTTTTATTTTTGTTATTTATGCTGTTGTTTTAGATTGGTTTGTGATGACTTTCATGCTAACTTTATATTTGCAAGGGACTAAAGATATGATGACAGAAGCTATGTTTTCTCTCAACACTATGACAGAGGATGGCAACATCAAGGAGGTAAGCTTTTCAACAACGATAATATCTTAATAGATTATATGAGAGACTTAATATGCTATGCTTCTAGTAGAACTCAAAATTTATTGCTTGCTCCATATATTGTTTGACTCTTGTTGGCTGGCCTTGCCTCAACCCAATTCATACTGCCATATTATCTTTAATCGATTTTCTATCTGCCTATATTGATCTTTCAAGTTCTCAGCTCTTTGATTGAATCGGATGCTTGAATTTGAGATGTCAAAATAGGAAGATAATAATTATATTTTAAAATTAGTATGATAGTCTACTCCATTATATTTAATATTGCATTAACATATGTATTAATGTTTTTCTAAGTTGCATCGTTAAGAAAGATTAATATGTTCAATAGGTAGAGCAGATAATTCAAGTGGAGAATGGTGAAAAAAGTACTCCAAAATAGAAAGTGGCACAATTAAAAGCACCATATGTAGGGATGGTATTTGACACAATGGAAGAAAAGAAAGTGTACATTATGCAAAAAGATAGCACAACATGACAAAAGAAATTGTCCATCAAATCTGAAAAGAAGAAAGAATGAATCAGCAAATCCATGTAAGTTTGTTCACTTTTTATTATTGTTATTTCTAATAATAAGGTTAAAAGCTTGTGTTTAACTTGATTATTATGAATCTAAATTCAGGCAAAGAAGAGTTAGAAGACTTGTGCCAAGATGTGGAGAGTGATGACTAAGAATATTGTTAATGGTGAGTTGTTTTTAATTTATAGCTTTGATCAATGAGGTATTTCACTGAATAAATTATTTGATCAATAAGTATGGTTTGAATGAAAACATAGGTTAAAGTTTTTAACTTGTCCTTGTATGATTATTTTTTTCTTCCCAGCTTCGGAGTTTCAGTAGATATCAATGTTTCATACTTGAATTCTGCTTACTCTGGTGAGGAGGTTGAAGTTGAGGCCAAGGCTTTACGAGTTGGGAAGCCTGTTGGTGTTGCCAGTGTTGAGTTAAGGAAGAAGAAGACATGCAAAATTATAGCTTAGGGCTGTCATACCAAGTATCTTGCTCTCACTAGCAAACTCCGAACAGCTTGGAAGTTGAAATTTTCTTCAGACTTGTATGGAATATTAAGAAGCCTTTTTTGCTTAGACTTGTATAAAATATTGAGAAGCTTTTTGGTTTTGTCAATATTGAATTTAGGAAGAAGAAAACAGGGGAAACATTGTTGTCAATTGGTGCTTCTCTCTACACTCAATTTCTTATGCTTCTGGCTTCTTAAAAACTTTAGTTGGTGCTTGTTTCATACCCTGGATTGCAGCAACCAAAGAGCCTCCTAAAAACTTTAGTTGGTGCTTGTTTCATACCCTGGATTGCAGCAACCAAAGAGCCTCCGCCAACAGGAAAGGCTGGAAATTTCCTGCAAATGGTGAACACAATAATGGTGGATGCTCTGTTACAGGCTTATAGCAAAATAATAACACAATTCTCTTCAAAAGACCTTATAGAATGAACTTGCTCGGTGTCACACAACTGTGCATTCTATTGATGAATATCCCAAAATACATAGGCAAAATTATCTACTTGTCTTGAATCATTATCATTTCCAACCATCTGTAGTAAATCCTCCACTCGTGATTGAGCAAGATCGAGTTGCTTTTTCCGCTCTCTAATTTCCTTCTACATCTATAAAAATGTGGCATGCCATGTGTTGGTTTAAATGCATTGGATCTGACACTTTCTTAAGTGTGAACTTTGAACCAACAATTCAGTGTTCCCATTTACAAATTTTGCTCATGGTTATAGTTCGAAGAGTTTCACATACAAACAATGCTCAATAGCATCTCTCCTCAGACTGATACTAATTTGAAAAAGTTGTCAAAAACCACAAGATTCAATTGCTTAACTTATATATCGTAACATGATACAACTGATTAATGAAAAAAAAATATAAATCAAGAAAATTGAGTTGACTATTTGAGTCATAATTCATCAAAATTGTATTCGTCATTGTAATTCTACCCATTAAATTCGTCATTTGCAACATACGTCACTGTATCCATTACTGTCATGCTCAAACTCTTCATCACGATTGTTCTTCTCATCATATCACCATGACTGCCACATGTAGACTTTATGCCTTCTTTAAATACAGGTGCATAACCCTGATTTTACATGCTATTCGATTTGTTTGGCTTTTAGTTGCTTGTAGTATGTGCATCAGTTAACGAGACCTTAGATGTTGACAGAACATAATATGGGATTTGCACAGCATGAATAAAACAAGATTGATTCTGAAATAAGAGATGTAAAAGATGCTTACAAGCTCTTCATTTAATTTATCCAAAGCATCATACTTGATTTTTGAACTCAACCTCTGCAAGAACAAAATGTCACATTAGCAATAGAATTCTCAATCACCAGCAACCAGAAATAGATATTTAAGCATATCATTGAGCATACACACTAAGCTAGCCTCAGAAACAATATTGAAAAATATCAAAATTTACAAGCATACTAGCTGAGAGCCAATAGAAGCTGAAGGAAACTATCAGTCCAATAACTGCAAGCATAAAATTTCTCAGCTTTGACCAGTTGAGTTTAAAATAAGAGATATAAAAGATGCTTACAAGCTCTTCATTTAATTTATCCAAAGCATCATACTTGATTTTTGTTTTTTGAACTCAGCCTCTGCAAGAACAAAATGTCACATTAGTTTCTGTTAAATAAATTATAAGTAGCACAAACTAAAAATTAAGCACCAAAAAACCCGTAAACCAGTTCATTAACTTACATTCTTAGTATCCATCATAGTGGAAACTTTGACATCCTTTTCTGGCCTTTTTTTGCAAGAGCAGCTATCTTATGGCTCGTTTTCTACTTTTTCCCTGCCAATTTTATAGTTGCATATGGGGATTAATAAATAAGACTCAATGCTGGCAGTAAAACATACACAGATAATCAAATGCAAATAAGATTGAAGTGAAAACTTTCAACACAGTTTTGCAGAGAGGCTCCAATAACAAGTAAGAACTAGGCAAGAACTCTCATGAATGGCAAATAAGTTGGATGAGACTTCCAAGCATATGCTTCAGAGCACGATACACATATTACATTCAGCAAACATAAACTCAAATACAAGAAAAGAGGTAAGTTTTGAGAGTGACTTAAGAATCAAATATTAGCACAATCAATCAAATTAATTAGTTAACAAGTCATTAATTGAGACTTTAAATCCAAACGAAAACAAAGAAATTGTGAGAGCAAGTAAGAATTAAGTACCGAAAAGACATCTGACGGACCACATATCGACGTCGGTAGAGTAATGAGTTGAACCAAGCAGAACTTCCAGTGCTCTGTACCAGAGTAACAATCTCGTGCGTGTAACTCTTGCGAGGTACAGTGAAGGCACAGCCGAGTCCAAGATCGGTGATCTTCAAAATCCCTCTTTCCTTGTCCAGAAACGATGGCGTTACTGGAGAGGAAGGAGAGAGAGAGTCCCTGTGATTTGTGGTTTAGGTAGGGTAGGGGTTGGAGTGGTGGTGGTGGTGTTGAGGGTGGCTTTGGGGATGAGAAGGGACCGGAGAGAGAGAGAAGAAGCAGAGGCAGAGGAGGAGGCGTGAATTCTCTGTAGAAGAAAGAGAGAGAGAGAGAGAGAGAGAGAGAATGAATGAATTAAATATAATTAATGAGATGAGAGGGAATGAATTCTTAATTATAATTCCAATATATAAATATAAATTAAAGGAAAAAAATATTGTTTTGCCATGTTAGATGTAATCTCAACCATTAAAAGTGGAGTAATCTAATGGCCCAAAAATTGTGTCAAAACTTGTGTCAAAAATATGGTGCCACGGATCCGCCCCCTATATATATATATATATATATATATGGCGCAGATTTCGAGCAAATGGTAAGTCACATAATCCTCACCACCCTTCGCGGACCCCTTCGCTTGAACAAGTCTTTAACAAGTGGTTCCTCACTCAAGTAGGTATAGTAAATAAAACAGAAATTGCAAAACTTCTCCCGAGCATCCACAGTGGGGGTGTATAATGGGATGTATGTTAAATATACACCCATTATTATTGGAATCATCCGTAATGGAAGTGTAAATAAATAAATAAATAAATAAATAATATATATATATATATATATATATATATAAAACAAGACCACAATTTCTGTTGCTTATACTAGCACTGATGTAAGGACTCCTAATCAGTTTACTTTTTGTTCTTTTACATTTTGGTCTCCCTAGAATTACTGTATATATAAAAAGAAATATATATGCTTATGCAAATTACATGTGCAACAATGTGGAAATTAAATCTAACGGTGTCAATTTACCGCTTTAGCTTTATTTATTTATTTATTTATAATTAGCTAATTTCCTCCATGAATCACAAAACTACCCAATCTACCACACAGTCATATTCCTAGCAATTCCATTCATGATGTCGGCAAATAGTGGCCGTCAAAGTCATAAGAAAAAAAATGGATTATGCATGGGTACAATTTTTTAAATTATTAAAACAAAAAATAAATGGGTTACGTTATATGAAATGATTAATTAATTAACACAAACTTGGTGCAGGATATGACAAGAGTCTGTATAAGCCGTTGTTCGATGCTGTATGGCGTGGGGATTGGAATGAAGCAAAGGAGTTTAATACCCTACATCCCGATGCAATAAGAGCAAGACATTCGTACTCCAACAAGACAGCTCTTTGCATGGCAACAGATCTAGAGCACGAGCATATTGTGGAAGTGTTGGTGCAGTTGATGTCAGAGGAAGACTTGGAAATAAGAGATAATAATGGTTGGACAGCTCTTGCTCTTGCTGCAAGTAGAGGAAATATAAAAATGGTTGAATGCATGGTTAGAAAGAGCAAGAAAATACTTGATCTTTGCTAAAGACCACTATGGGGTACTTTCGATAGAAGCATTTAATCCTTATGCATTTTTGAGTGGAACACGACTCAAATTCTGGCAACAATGGATCTATGATAGTTTAGCATCTGCATTTTATTTTCCGCTTACAATTACAATTTAGAATGTGATGTGATACTATGATACTATTGTTGATTTATGTGTTTAAGGGGTTTAGGAAAATAGGAACAATAGTTGAAACAAAGTGATTTTATTAATATGGAGGAGAATAGTACAACACTTTAGGTACATAGAATTAGGCTAATTGGCCTCCTAGTGGTGTAGCTATTGGCTACTTCACCTAGTAGATAATTCTAGGCTGATGGCCCTTCACTTAGATTGATGAGTGTTTGGATAGGTGGGTGAAAATAACAGCACTAAAAATAATAAAATTTAACAAAATTAAAGTTCAGTTAAGTGTTTGGACAGGTGTCAAATACTATAAAGCAGTGGCGGATCCAGGATTCAAAAGTCAGGTAGGCGAAACTTACCTTAAAAACTCGACGGTACGAGTGAATTTTATTGATAAAAATAAAAAGATACACTAGTCAGGGGGGACGTAATGAGCCTTACCCTCAAATATGCATATCTATACATAAATAAAAGCTTAACAAAAAAAACAAGAAGTAAATGCAATGCAACACAAAAACTAAACTATTTTAATCTAAAATTGTACCCTACGAGGCTTAGAAATCTTAATTTCTTCAATTATCTCTTCATTCACTACTACAAAAATCGAAATAGACGACGGGAAACCACCGTTGTGTAAAAGGTTTTCGCCCGGTCGTGAAATCGACTGCCGTCTATTTGGGTTTCAAACTACGACGGCTTTTCACCGTCGTTGTTTATCAGTAAAGATGACGGTTTTTAAAGAAAATCGTCGTTGTTTAGAGGTAAAGATCGTTAATTATAGGAGGAAAGACGACTGTTTTTAATAAAACCGTCGTGTATTGTATGTAAAGATGACGATTTTTTTTATGAAAACCGTCGTGGATTGTTTATAAAGACGTCATCTTTACATACAATAGACGACCCTTTTTTATAAAAAGCGTCATCTTTACATACAATAGACGACGGTTTTTATAAAAAGCGTCATCTTTACATACAATAGACAACGGTTTTTTATAAAAAGCGTCATCTTTACGTACAATAGACGACGGTTTTTTTTATTATAAAAAGCGTCATCTTTACGTACAATAGACGGCGGTTTTTTTATAAAAAGCGTCATCTTTACGTACAATAGACGACGGTTTTATAAAAAGCGTCATCTTTACATACAATAGACGACGGTTTTTATAAAAAAGCGTCATCTTTACATACAATAGACGACGGTTTTTATAAAAAAAACGTCATCTTTACGTACAATAATGCTTTTTGATTTCCTATGATGCTATACAACAATTTTAACTAGAAAACCAACCATAATGCTTTATCAAAAATAGTTTCTTTCATAAAACTTGAAGATTCAATAGTTATTACATAGTTAACCAATCTTTATTCTACAACAAACATAATTCCTAACAAGACCTACGTACTCCTAATCCAAGCATTCCTCATCCAAACATACAAATGATGCACAACTGAAGTCTCCTCCATCATCCCTGTAAATAAATCAAAATGACAAAGAGAGAAAAAAAGAAGAAGCTAAGATTATAAACATAAAAAATTAGGTGGAAGAGAAATTTTACCATTGGTCCATATTTCCATAGAAAACTTGTAAAATGAGCATAAAAAAGACCATCGAGAACCTGCAAATTTTCAACAACAAAAAAACATACGACTCACATAGAAAACCTGCAAAAGAAAAAGTTATAAATCTGCAAGCTTCCTCCTCATCTCCTAATAACCAAATCAGAAAATCTAAAAAGAAACCAGAAATAAAAAAAATATGTAAACAAATCAGACAAATCAAGAGAGACAAAATCTGAAATTAGGGATACAAAGAACATACCAAAAACGCAAAGAGACTAATCCAGAATTCACTAGCAAGATATAGAAGGGTATTAAGAGATTAGGTGACTTTCAAATCAAACCTTTCAACCAGCTTTGATTCTCAAATACAGAACATCCCTCTACATCTTATGGATTTGCTAAGACCTTAATCTCTCAACTCCTTCATTGATATCGATCTTTTGATGATTTTGTAGAGAGTTTTATGAGGGTGTTTTAGAGAGTGCAGAAGGAGGGAGATATAAGGTTTTCAGAGACGGGGGAAAATCTGAAAATTTGACAAGCGCGAATTCACTTAAGTAGACCTTTTTTAGCGTGTTTTAAAAGACGACGCTTGTTAATGAGAGATAAGATTTTCAAAGACGGGTGAAAATTTGAAAATTTATCGAGCGCGAATTCACTTAAGCGGCTATTTTTTAGCGTGTTTTAAAAGACGACGCTTTTTTTAAAAAAAATTTGTCATCTTTACATATAATATACGACGGTTTTTTTATAAAAAGCGTCATCTTTACATATAATAGACGACGGTTTTTATAAAAAGCGTCATCTTTACGTACAATAGACGACGGTTTTTTATAAAAAGCGTCATCTTTACGTACAATAGACGACGGTTTTTATAAAAGCATCATCTTTACGTACAATAGACGACGGTTTTTATAAAAAGCGTCATCTTTACATACAATACACGTTTTTTTCCACTACACTCCTTGACCCTATATGAATACAATGACTGAATTTGATCTTCAATTTAAAATATTTACACTAGTGGATACCACAAAATCTTATGTTATATTTAACGAAAGTATAAATAAACTCTTAATTGTTAGTGAATATTTTTTTTTATGGCATACACATTTTAAGAAACTAGTTTCAACGATCCAACCGTCAAACTTGTTTGTTTATACTTCGAGATCATCTACACCAAAAATTGAAAAAAATAAACATTCAGAGATAAAGTAACGGGACAAAAAATTTCGATGGTTATAAATGAAAAATCATGATTTAACGGTTATTTTAACTCCGATTTTGATGATTTTTTACCGCTACACTCCTTGACCCTATATGAATACAATGACTGAATTTGATCTTCAATTTAAAATATTTACACTAGTGGATACCACAAAATCTTATGTTATATTTAACGAAAGTATAAATAAACTCTTAATTGTTAGTGAATATATTGTTTTGATGGCATACGCATTCTAAGAAACTAGTTTCAACGATCCAACCGTCAAACTTGTTTGTTTATACTTCGAGATCATCTACACCAAAAATCGAAAAAAATAAACATTCAGAGATAAAGTAACGGGACAAAAAATTTCGACGGTTATAAATGAAAAATCATGATTTAACGGTTATTATAACAAACCATCATCTTTACATATAATAGACGATCATTTTTTATAAAAAGCATCATCTTTATATATAATAGACGACCCTTTTTTTAAAAAAAAATCGTCATCTTTACATATAATAGACGACGGTTTTTATAAAAAGCGTCATCTTTACATATAATAGACGACGGTTTTTACGGTTTTTATTATAAAAAGCGTCATCTTTACATATAATAGACGACGGTTTTTTCGGTTTTTATAAAAAGCGTCATCTTTACATATAATAGACGACGGTTTTATAAAATCGTCATCTTTACACATAATAGACGACGGTTTTTAATAAAAATCGTCGTCTTTACACATAATAGACGACGGTTTTTATAAAAATCGTCGTCTTTACATATAATAGAAGACGTTT